TCCTATCAGCGGCTACGTTAGAAAAAGATCATAGTGCATCTAGATCTGATAGCAAGAAAGATAAAGAAAACGCAAAAGAAGCAAAGGAAGTCCCCAAAGAGGATAATCCGAAAGAAGATCCACCTAAAGAAGAAAAGCCTAAAGAGCCTAAACCTAAGCCTCCCAAACCTAAACCTGCTCCTGCACCGGAACCAGCATCAGGTCCAAAAATGGTGACAGACAAAGGCAAATCTAAAGTTACGGGTAAAATGGTTTCAGGCTGGCTGTAGTGACTGAACTGTTATGTACGACAAGTTAGTGAGAGAAGTGTCTGAATGAACAAGAGCCGATCAATATGGGAGGTACCGAAAGCAGTTGCTATCTCTGCTTATAGCATACGTAGAAAAAAAGATAGTAATACTTATAAAGAGTGGAAGGGCCTTGTGTATTCGGAATTGGTACTTAATTTAAGTGCAATAATTAGATATACGTTTGTTTTTGTTAGAAAATAGAATTCTGTTAGTGACTTTTCCGTATTCCGTGATTGTTATATTTTTTTAAATCAAATATGAAATACTAATAAATTTTATATTTAGAAAAGCCTGCCACTTACACTTAAATATATTTATTGTATAATTATTTAAATTTAAGAATTTATGGAGATTTAGGTGTTTTTAGCTAGCACTTGGTTCCTAACGTAATTCCATTTGTATTCTTCATATAAATTAAGATCGTCTTAAAATATTATTTAATAAAATTTCTTAATGACATAATATTTATAATTAAAACAATATAATTCAGTAACAAGTAAAAATGGTTTTATATTAACGAAGCTTAGACAAAAGCGCTTAGACGAAAGCGAAGATTATTTTTGATAAGGTTTCATTTAATTTCATTTGGATTGATATTTTTACAAACCTTTACCACAAATAGATTTCTGTATTGCCATAGATTTTAATTAGCGGAAATATATTTTTATTTTCAAAATGGGACTAAATCGGACTAGACAAAAAATAACATGCTTTCTATGCCTTCAACATTTATTATATGCATTTTTACTTAAATATTATTCATCAAAATATTAAATAGTATTTGTATTTATATATTATTAAATAAACCAAACATAATAATAAAATATATTTGATTGTTATACGATGTTTCATTCATGTGTTTATTGCGTACCGTGAAACTGTAAATCCATAAAAACTGTGTAGAATCATTTATTTTACGAGTTTAATCTAGTCATACTTCTGTTGATTATTTATTTAGGAATAAAGAGCTTGTTTATGATATTTTGTTTTATTTGAAGAACCTGTGTATTCACACGAAGCATATTCTGGGGGTCTCAAGAAGCAAGTTGCAATAAAATAAAACTTATAATTCAATTACAAAGACGTGTGGTAGCTCGATGTAGTTACCGAGTATGGACAATTTGACACCGTTGTACCACTGTTAAAGGTTGATGGATTCAGTTTCCGCACTTAGACTCTCACTAGGTCCGTTGTTCGTAAACTCAGAACAGAAAAACAGTACAGAAGTCTCCTGGGCACTTCGCAGGCCTTACGAAGCGACCTCACTGCTCCAAGGAATTATGTACGGTGCTGTTGTTAGCCAGAGCTACGCATTCCAGGACTAAGTGGGTAACTAATTCCTCTGCGCTGAAACAGCAACATGGTGCAGTCTGTCGCACGTAGGAGAAGAAGATGTTTATTAAGGAGACAGTGATCCGTAATTGTCCCTATCATTGTTTTGAGATTAGTTCTGTTGAGGCTTAGAAGTCGCTTTGTTAATATAATTACTGTTGACGTATTCACTAAATAAGAAAATCAAAGACCCGACCCCCCATCCATAGTGATTACGTAATACTTTACTCAGTTTCCGATATGTGGACATAACATACAAACTTAGCACACCAGCCTCACTCATACTCAAATATTATAAATTGTAGGAAAAAGTTATGATTTAAGATTTATAGCTGTATGTATTGAATTGTCTATGTGTGGCAAGGTTCAGTGAAAAGCAATATATTATTGTAAGAATTTATTGCTGATTCACAGATATGGCTGGCAACTAACAATTTCACATACACAAAATATTTCAAATAAATGTACAATTAAATTATACAAAATCATAGACGCTATATTAAAATGATAATTAGTCTCTTATACCTATTATATGTTAATAAATGATGCTATAATTATATTATTAGCTTGTACATAAGATTAAAATCTGTATAATATCTTAAGTCGTACACAATCTTGTAACAACAAAACATGAATTTGGTTTTACTCTAAAAAATTGCACACATATTAACAGATCTGTTCTCAACAGTTTGAATTAAATACATTTTATACAATATACCGTGTTTTTTATAAAGTAAATAAATCTAAATTGTTATGAAATTATCAATACTGCAACTCAAAATACCTGAATAGCTTATTCATAAAAACCATTTAAGTATTAATTATGGCAATAATTGGTTCCTTTTAATCACAATAATAATACATACTGATAGAAAGAATGTGAACTTGAGGAAACGGAAGGTATTAACGATTGATATTATGTCACGTAGAACGCTTTATATATTTGCGAGGCCATCACTCCACATATTCCGTGGTCATAACAGTGCAATAAAATGAATTAATTTTTAAATATTTACGAAATTTTCTTTATGAATATAAAATTAATATTACAATCTTGATACAATCAATATGTTCGGCCTATATTGAGGACAAACGAAGGGACCGAATAGCATGGAATCAAATCACACTTAGGGCGGTCTATCAGACGCCCGATTCAGATTCATTTGTCACGAATTCGATGCTGAAACTACGCACCCCATATCTTATAATTCCAACACATTTAACACGAAAAACATTGCGTTAAATACTAAGAAGCAAATAGAACCTTTTTAAACTATTGTTGTTTTTTTAAAAACTGTTCCTGCTTTAAGTTAACGCTCCTTGCTTTAACCACCACTACCTATTCGCATTTCATTGATAAATATGTTTATTTAGTTTTGAAAAACAGATACTAAAGAAAACTGTACTGAAAAAACAGGTGATGTAGCTATTGGGTTCTTGACACCGATTTCTGTATTTTTTTTAATAGACAAGTAGGTGATCAATGTGTGCCTGACACACGTCGTCGGCTTTTTTAAAAGCATGCCGGTTTTCCTTTACCATAAGAAGTGTTAAATGCGCAAATAGAAAGTCAACAGGCGCATAGCCGGAGTTCGAACGTCCTCAGGGTTGGAAGTCACATGCTGAAGCCACTAGGCCAACACTGCTCTTAAAACAATAACTTATTGCGTTTTTCTAGCAGGCTTAATAAGGTATAGTACAAATAAACTAAAAATAGGCAAGACGTAGGTTACCTAAAACGTAATTAAATTAAAATTATCTTGTTAAAACTATACCATAAAAAATACCATTGCTTTTAAATGATATTCACTTACTATATATATACAATTGCGAAGAAATTTGTATATAATTAATTACAAAACAAACATTTTAATTTATAGTCGAAAGTTTTTAATATAGATAAGGGATGGTTTTAAAGAGGGTTAAGTTTATACAACAAAAACCTCGACGCACAAGAAATTTAAAACAGCCTACGGCTTCTAGATAATTAGGAAAGGTTATTAGCAATTTAACTAAAGTCTTACAACTGTCAGAAACCATAACATTGTTAACAGTTACGGAACTTAGTTAAACAACTCTGTTATAAAAAATATTTAAATGTTTTACACATTCTAATATTTAACTGAAAATGTTTCAGTAGAACGATTGTAACTGACAATGTTTATTTATGTCTTAACTTAAGCTTAAATATGGCAATAATTGAACGTTGTAGGTATTTAACAAACCTAAGTATTAAGACTATTACAAATGATTAGAATGCATAATTAATAATACTTCGTAAATAAACACCAATGTCAAACGATTACATTTACTTAAAACGGCAGACTCGATATAAATATTATTATAAATGTATTATTCTATTAATGATTATTCGCGTGAAACATTAATAATAGTAATAATTTATTGCAAGAATATGGTACAAAAATGTGTAAGGTGGTACAATCGTAAGTTCGCATATTCTGCCACACACAATGGCGCGCAAATTTGTCTTAAGGAATTTATTATTAGTCAATGTCAATTATTATAATTAATTTTAATTCGATAACGTAATATATTTTAATAATGTGATATTTATTCACTACAAATAATATAAGACTTTGCTATAACGATCATAATATATGTAACTTCTTTGTAAAATTTATTTTAGGACAAATTTGCACGCCACTGTGGCAGAATGCGAACTTTAGATTGTACCTCCATATATTTGTACCATATTCTTGCAAATAAATTTTTATTATGAGTTTTCATTTATGTCCGTTAACTACTACTATACTATAACTAATATATAGCTAATGTGTAGTACTCGCGTAAATTAAAACTTAATACTTTGTATAAAGAAGCAAAAAAACTATTATAATTACATCAGCCGGCTTACACATACAATACGCTTTAAATACATCATACAAAAGTGACTAGAATATTTTTGCATATTACGGCAATGATGAATCTTTGAATTAATAAATAAGGAGAAAAGGGAGTAACTGGAGTGCCTTGGTTAACACAATATCACACGTGCAAGAATGCTAAGTATAATTGTTTAATAATGTGGCAGGTTTACACTTGACGCACACTTATTAATACTTGTGGCAAGTATATTAATCTAGTTTGGAATTGGAAATACAATAATTAAAATTTTGATATTTTATACAAAATATAGGGAGATAGTGATTCTATATTAAACAATGGATTAAGGATATAAGCGAGTAGAATTAAAAAAACTGTTTGGACGGTTTTGATAAGGCACACATATATACACAATACAAAAGTAGAAAATACAATACTTGAAATTATTCGTGGATTTTCTTTCTAAAAATATATTTTCATATCGCTTTTCTACGTTCCTGAAGCTTACTAGCAAAATAATAATTTCAATATAAATTACAGCCAAGTTTTCGATGTTTTCCTAATACTCCTGATGTTCTCGTCCAAAGATCTTTGCTGTAGAGGTTCCGGGGTTGGTATCAGATACTCCGTACTGTCCGTCACGGAATTGACCGGTGAATCCGGCTAAAGAATATTTATTAGAATCAATTAACATGGAACTAAAAAATATATCGCAATTCTATATCGCTCGTCTTCAAATAGTTTTCGTGTAGTTATAACTATTATCGAGTACGTACTCGTATAATATTCGTACGTAATGCGCTAAGGACAAAGTTATTCTTCTTTACTCACCATGGGTGGAGGAACTGGCACTGCTGGCACCTGAGACTCTGCCTTTGGCGCTGGTTCAAAACCAGCTGTTGACGCACGTTGGCATATAGGAGTGCATGGTGTGATCTCCATTGTTGGGGCTTGGATCTAAGTAAAGAAAGTAGGCTTTTATTTATTCATTTGTTTATACACCGGTGCACCACAAAAAACAAACAAAGGAAGGAAACAAATGTGTGGCCTGGATAATAGGTGCGGGCGGCGTGTACAAATATAATGCTAATAATGTCTAAAAAGCTTTGACTATAAAGTATCACGACGGACAAACAGTGGTTAAATAATGGTTCATTAGGATTCAGGTCAAAATTTCATATAATAAATTTATATTACCAAAGAGTTTTTATTGCTATTATTGTTACGAAATTTCAAATCTATTATTTTTTTGATAATCTGTGGTCGCTTTAGCTTTAGCGCCTATTCGTTCTAATACTTTATGTATTTTATATATATGTGAACGCATAAAATAGTGTATGAAATTGTATATAGGTATTATATCTAGATATGAACAATTTCCTAAACTGTTTATTTATTACCCTTAGGTACACTTCCAAATATACAAAAATATAGCCCAATTAAAATAATTAAATAAAAAGGAAAGCAACTGGCGGCTTTATCGCTTTCAAGCGATCTCTTCCAGGCAACTGTGAGAAAAAAAAGTTAAATTAGATAAGGTGAGAGCAAAAACTGCAAAAACTACATTAGACATATTATAGTAATGACATATAGACAAAACTAATGCAACAAATCAAAGCAATTAAAACGTATGTAAACAGTGAAAGGGACCATCATAAAAAATATATTTTAATGAAGAATTACTGATTGTAACGTTAATTCAACGAAAGTGGTGGAATTCCATAAAACCTTAGCTTTGTGACACGGTGGAGGAGGCAGGGCGCCCTTCGGTCGAAGCTCTCCAGCAACTGGTCTTGCCACGGCGTCTCCGCATCCATCTGCATCCGTTACCTGAATTGTGAAATTGGTTTCGTTTTTGTGTAGTGTTGTGGTTGGTAATATGAGGATACCCATCTATGGGTGTCTTCCACAAGTGTTGCTTAACCTTTATGATCGATAAATTTTAGGTGTAAATGCATACCGGGAATCCTACAGTGTATATTTTGTTTACTATTACATGAATTAAACTTCAAACTTAAGGTAGATATTTTATATTATTTTAAGTAGTTTAAAATTTCTTTATCTTTATATTGAAGAACATTTTCTTTAATAACACAACATTATTCAAAATTTAATAAACGTAAAAGTGTGTGATAATTTGTTTAAGATGCCTTATAATGAAACTTTGTAGAGAGATTATTTATACTTACTTGCTGATCATTGGATGGTGATGGTGATTTCCTTTTGACAACTTTTGGGACCGTAGTGGGATCAGTCACGCGTTTTGATTTTAATGGACTTGGATCCACTGTAAAAAAAATATATCAAAGCGCTACGACCTCAGGGATTAGAGTCGCACGCCTAACAAATTGCATATTCTTGATGGCGAATTAAACGGAAAATAATGTTATTGTTTTTTTTTAATTTTGTTTTTGATTGAAGTAAGCATTGGTTTATTATAACGTAAACGAACCTGATCGTAAATCTCCAATAGCAAGCGTTTGGCTAGATCCAGGGTTTGGACTCGAGCTCCGAGGTCTATTGGGTGAAGAACTTCGTGATCGTGGCTAATCAAAAAAAGGATAATGATCAAACTTTGATCTGCAGCCTTCGAAAGTGGATGTTTCAAGGAAAATAGCTTAATCAGGTTATGTTATTTCATACAGTAGTTTATTTATTCATTTGCTCAACAGTATTCCTACAGCTACTCACTTAAATATATCCAAAAATTTACATTGTACACAAAAGCCAAAAACGGAATACACATTCAAGCATAAACAAAGCACAGCTTCACCTATATATACAAAAAATATAACAAAGTATATATGTAATATAATAAATTCTAAATTCTAAGTTCTAAGATTCTTTGATCGTTATAATAAAAGAGTAATTCATACATAAATTACAATATCAATTTTCGGGCCGCCATCTTGTTTTAAATGGAAAACTTTAAGCATGTCTTTTTTCCTAGTATATTTTTCAATGTTATGTACATTAAAAAATACTTTGGGACAAGAATAATCCCAATATTTCTTAATGTCACTTTGTTTGCACAGCTTCAACATACAGCTAGCCATAATACATAAAGGCAATAAACGGAACACAAATTTAAATATAATACACAGTTATTATGAAGAAATACGGGTTTACCAAAATTCAATTTTACTTAAAAAAATACACATTTTTTGAAGACGGAAGCTGAGGATTCCCTATTCAGCGAAAAGGACGAATAGGTCAATTCTCAGCCAAGAAGATGTGATTACCAAGGAGCTTCTTTGGAAATAGCACGCAGAGGCACGATAACTTAGAGAAGCTTGTGGTGATGGTAGAGTGGAAGGTACGAGACCAATCCCCTACAGGCGCTGAGGCTTGACGAAAACAGTTGGAAATGGAGGAAGATATGCCACAGTAATGAAGAACTAGTTCATATTATTATTGTTAATTTTATTTTAAGATTACTTATGTTCTAATGTAATTGATGTGTATGTGTGTTAAATTTGTGATGTCATATTTTTAAGCATACACATTGTTTTAGGACTTTTAAATAAATAAACACCACTAAAGAAGAAAACACTCGGACGTCTATGAGTCGGTGGTACCTCATCATTACAGCTTACCTGACGGGCTGTGTTGCTTTCTTGGTTTGTAGGCGCAGGGCTTCGGGACATCACTGCCCCCGGGACATTTAAAAGGTTGTCTGTAACGGACATTCAAATGGTAAACATACAACATACAGAAGGTTTTCTGGTTCGACAAAAAATATGATTTTGACTTTTCCTAATTACCTTATAGAAAAATATAAATGTATATTATTTATTATTCCAGTATAATACGCGAAATAGAACTAATTTGAGCGTACGACCAACCAGGCTCCAAAAGATAAACCACTCCTTATATGGAAATTGTATTAGTTTTTTCAACAAACTCCCAAGCGAATTTACAGAATTATCACTAAATAAATTCAAAGCCCTCGGTAAACGAAAATTAATCAATAAAGCGTTTTATAAATTTGAGGAATACTTAAATGATCCTAATCCTTGGGATTGATTTGCTCCAGTTCAAACAATTTGTATGACTCAATACTTGGCGATTAAAAAGAGTGGCGGAAAATTTCTTGCCAGTTCAGTAAATGTTAATTTACAATTAATTTAACTTCTTTCTCACAATTCATAAGTGTACTTGTTTACCTACATGAATAAAGATATTTTGAGTTTGAGTTTGATTCGATTTTTATTATTTTTATTTGTCCCATGGCTGTACTTGTATGTCTACTAATTATTCGTTGAGCGAGGAAAGCACCAGCTCTGATGCCCAGATTCCTAATTAAGTTTCACACCACTTATTTAATTACTTATTTAATTCTATAAATAAGTTTACCGTGGACCCTGTTAGGCACTGGAGTCCTCATATCAACAACGGCACCAACATCCTGAGAAATATCCTTAATCAGCTCCGTCAGTGTGTGTCCGGGAGACACTGGCATTTGAACTGGAGATGTGGACCGGGATCCTTCTAAAATTAATTTCAACAAATCGTATTGATATACATGTGTATTAAATCAATGTAGAAATAAAGAGCTTTAACATCATCATATATATAATTTATATATAAAAACGACGAAGTTAAGTCCTCCTCCAGATTCTTTTGTTCCCGTTTTATTTCCTAATCATTTTTATTTAAATTACTTCATTTTTATATAATAGGAGGCAAACGGGTAGGAGGCTAACCTGATGTTAAATGATACCGCCGCCCATGACACTCACATTGCCAAAAGGTTCGCAAGTGCGTTGCCAGCCTTTCAAGAATTGGTACGCTCTTTTCTTGAAGGACCCTAAGTTGAATTGGAAATACTTTAGTGGGCAGCTGATTCCACATAGTGGTGTTGCGCGGCAAAAACTGCCTTAAAAACGCTCAGTTGTGGAACGACAGACGTTGAGGTGATACGGATGGTACTTTGTATTCTGCCTATGAACGTTAATGAAACTCAGCTGCGGGTCCGAACAAAAACATACATAGTATTACTAATTAGTACATAGTATTGTTAATTTAGGCTCACAACCAAGTTCCGATGCAGCCCTAATCTATTATTCATCATTAACACAGGAGAGAGAATATTTTGTATGAAAACAGTATTACAATAAAATCCCTTACGTACGTAATAAACAACAGTAAATATTTAACTATAAGTTATATCATTTAAAAGTTCTCGCTAACTTCCAAATCAGGCGCCGATCATCAAGTACGCTTACCGCAGACGTTAAATTAACCTAATATTAGGGCACAGGTTAGTAGGTTATCGGCCTCCTGTGCCTGACAAACGCCATTGACTAAGTCAGTCAGTGTTAGTCTAAGGCATGGCCGTTTCCTTACGATGTTGTGCTTCACCGTGCGAACGAGTTTTAAATGCGCACATAGAAAGAAAAAGTACATTAGTTCACAGCCTGGTTTTGGCATTAAGGATGAGTGTCGCAAGATCAACGCCTTAGACTAACACTGTTTACAACATATAGCAAGATATAATATGTAGTAAAATGATGTTTCATTTGTAGTATTAAATAATATGACCACAATTACCTGGTAGCGGTGAACGCATAACAAGTCGTTTAGCATGTTCAATTGCCTGCTGCAGTTTCTGCTGACTTCTGAACGACTCACGGGTTCGGCATCGACCGATTTGAGACCTGTAAAGACTGAAAAATATTTTTTTTAGTTACTTGATAAACCTTAAATCCTGATATCAGTAATAGCATTTAGACTTGCGAGTTTTTTAAGTTTTATTCCAATCCGTTTGAAGACTATGTGTTTTTAATATGGGATAGTTTGTCTTACTTTACTGCTCTTTTTATTTACTTTCTGCATTATTTTAATAAACACAGGGGCTCCCCTGTGTTCTTGTTAACTAGATAACAATTATTTCATTGTACACGGTGCATGTTTAAAACATTTATTTAAAGAAAAAGTAGTCTTAGGGTCTGTTTCACAATTTACGGATAAGTTCTAGATAAGTTCCAAATTAGCTATTTATTACTTATTGGTAGGATAAACACTATTGTTGTGTTTCACGACTGTCAGATAGCGCTATTCGTCACATAAAGTCCATCATAGTTAAGAGAACCAACCCTATTAATATATGCTTTGCTAGCACTAAGCCGAATGTAGGTCGTGCGTTAGCAACGACCAATACTTAGTAAGTAAATCTGAATGTATAAATGCACGAAGAAATAGATATTAAGTTGATTATTGTTTAGTTCTTAATTAAGTGCTGTCACTCTGTTGATTTAAATAAATTATTTTTAAACCAAAAGTCCGTTGCCGTTCCTTTACTGGCGCAGCCGGTAGGATCTCCATAGTTGCCTGGAAGAAGTTATACCGCGTTTTTTTTCGTGATCTAGTACCAACCGGGTAACGTACGTTTTAACGTTTTAACGGAGATCGCCGAACAAATAAATAAGTTAAGGACAGCACGGCATCGGTGGAAGAGCAGCCAAGAACTAGCAGTATCCCGGAGGAGCATGGTCAAGATAACAGGACTGTGAGTAAAACTTTTCACTTCCCGTGACTTTCCTTGTTTTCCTCTTGTATTAGTTATACGTAAATATTTCGGATTGGAAAACGCCGGAAAAATATTTTTATTAAACAATCAAAATATTGTTAATAGAAGTTAGGTTTATACAATTATTTTATAGGTAAATTTTGTTTTTATATTCAAAATGGAAAATATTGTAAGAGTACCTGTAGAAATGGTAAAAATTATTCCTGTTTTTGATGGTGATTCTAGATTATTACCATTATTCATTAAGAAATGCGAATATATTTTACAGACATTTCAAGGTGGCAATTTACAAAATGAATCTGTTTCACGTAATTACTAGTCGATTATCCGGGGAAGCCGCAAGTCTAGTTGGGGAACGGGAACAAATAGATACTTGGGATAACCTTAAGTTATTATTAAGCCAACACTTTGGCGATCCAAGGTCAGAAGATTGTCTGGCTATGGAATTAGATTCCCTAAAAAAGGATAAGAACGAAAGTCATTTAGATTTCTGTCATCGTGTCCAACATTTAAGGAGTATTTTATTCTCCAAAATAAATGAAACCATTAACAACCCCGAAATAAGACAGGCCAAACAAGCGATATATAATAATTCGGCATTAAACGTTTTCTTATTTAATTTACCAGCGTACCTTGTAAGATTAGTGAGATTACGTAATGTTACCACGCTGGAAGATGCTTTAAAAACCGTGTTGGAAGAACAAAATTTTCAAACGGTTTATGATAGTAAGAACCCAAGGTCCAATCAAAATTTTAGACCTAATTATAATAATTTTAATTCATTTCAAAATAGGAATTCTCATCCGAGACAAGTTAATAATTTTAATTCTCCAACCCATAACGTCCAAAGGAACTCGAATGCATCCAATTATCAAAATAATTTAAATAATAATTCTTTCCAATTTAGAAATGATAGAGCATTAAATAATCGAAACAATTATAACACGGTATTTAGGTCACCAGTAAAACAGTCGTCGTCACAGCAGCGTCGGCATTTTACGAACAATGGATTACAATACCAAGAATCGCCTATGCCATCGACCTCCAATACCGATATTACGATGAGAACAGCCAGTTCAAGACGCGTTAATTACACTGATATTGATAATAATATTCAACCATCTTGTTCTTATAACTGTGAATCGAACCCGACTTGTTCGAACCATGAACAAATAGGAAATTTTTTTATGAAAGCCTCAACAATACCGAAAAGATAAAAATAAATTATACAAAACTAAATTTACCTCATATAATTATTCCAAAATTAAATGCACTAGGAAAAACCGATAAAGATAACCAATCAATGGTAGTTAATGTAGAAAATGAAAATAGTAATTCTATGTCTTTCTCTGAAGCATCTAGGTCTGAAACAACTGGTCGTATAGATGAACGTGATATTCCATTTCGAATTAATTCCCGGTCATCATCTCGTACACTAACAAGTAACTCTAGTACAGACACAGTACATTCCGCAGATGATATGACTACAAAAAGAGTTCCTACCCTCAAAGAAGCCATAAATACTAAACCAAAACTATTTTTAACACATACATGGTATTAAAATGAAATCTTTGTTAAAATTAAATCTCATCCAAAACAAAATATTTCAGAAATATACTTACCATTAAATAATTCGGAATTCCTCAAAGAATATATTAAACCTAAAATTAAATATTTCATTTATTACGACAACAAAGAGCATCGATCATTGTTTAAGGGCATAAAACGTCCCTCACAGGTTAGTCCTCGTAGTGACCCAGGCAGTAACGATCCGGGTCCTTCAACTTCAAAAGGTTGCGAAGAATCCAGGCGTTCTCCCTCAGAGAAGAAACCGCCCTTATTTCATATGATAAGTGGATAATAATTAAGACATTAGATATTAAACTTATTAAGGAAGAATTAGAATTAAATATGCATAGATATATATAACTAAATAGAATAGTAGAATTACAGTTATACCAGATTCTAAATAACTTTCGTTACATTTATGAGAGCATACAAGAAATTGAAACTGCTATTGCATTTAGTAAATTGCACACCTTACACCAATCTATTATTAATTCTACAGAGTTATTAGGTGTTTTTAAAGTGATAGAAAAACATGCACAAACAATTTATCCAGTAACAAAAAACAACTTACTTAAATTAGAACGTAATATTATATTAAAGTCTTATATTGATAAGAATAAATTAGTATTTGTATTAGAAATTCCTTTGATAGAATCAGAAACGTATAACTATTACAAGGTTACTCCTATTCCTATAACAAAATCCTCTAAAACTTACACAATTATTCCTAAATATCCTTACCTTTTGGTGAATGGTTTGAAATACAGAAATGTGTTGAGCCCTTGCGAGAGTATAGAAGACAACAAATACTTATGTTCAGAAGAAAATATGGCAACAGACAATGAGGAAACATGTATCGAGGAATTAATGTTAATAAAGAATAATTACAGCCTATGTCATCAACATCAAATATGAATTGAGAAGCTAAAAATCCAGAAGATAATGAATAATAGCTGGTTGATATTCACAGCAGATAAAATAATTTTGTCAGAACACTACAGAAACGACATCCGTCGATTCAGTTTACTGGGGACTTACATCGTGACGCCAAGTCAAGGGTGCAACATGCAAATTGGTAGAACAATCTTCGGTCAATCAAGCAATGTATCGGATGTGCATATACAGATGCCACTGGTGGTGATTCCCGAACTTCAGGAAGATTTAGCAACGGCAGATAAAAAGTTAGATTTGACAAACGTGGACTTCAGTGACGTAAAAGAAATGTTAAATAATGTGAGAAATAGCAATAGTGAAATAGTGGTGGAAAGTGTGGTGACACATAACATAAGTGTATGGACATTAGTTCTTTATTTTATAGTAGTAATAATAGTAATTGTTATAATATTAAAGTTTAAATTGTATTCTATTTGCAATAAAAGAAATTCTCCGAAGTCACCTTTAGCCCCTTCGGATAATTTCTCTCTTAGGGAGGGAGGAGTTAAGAGTACCAACCCTATTAATATATGCTTTGCTAGCACTAAGCCGAATGTAGGTCGTGCGTTAGCAACGACCAATACTTAGTAAGTAAATCTGAATGTATAAATGCACGAAGAAATAGATATTAAGTTGATTATTGTTTAGTTCTTAATTAAGTGCTGTCACTCTGTTGATTTAAATAAATTATTTTTAAACCAAAAGTCCGTTGCCGTTCCTTTACTCGTGCACTCTGTATTTAAGAGTGTGGCTAGAGTTGTTATAAGCGTGCGCTGTGTCTGTATTAGTTTTTGGAACCTTATAGTCATGCCAAAATATGTAGCAAGGCCTCTGTAGAAGAGTTTATATCAGGATAGTTTGACTATCACAGAATCCATAGATTGGAAAGACTTTATAATAAAGGACAATTATGCGGGCAATGTTATGGCGCTGAGTCTTTGCTACATTCCATATCCATCCAGGCAGGTTATGTCTTTCTTTCTAACACCATAATTAAAGAATAAACTTACACCACTCCAGTAGCAGCAAGCGTTTGTTTCCATTTATCATTGCTGTTGGCAGCGGCGGCCATTCTAGCGATTCTGCGGAACCTGGCGAGGGCATCTTCATTCGTTGGCTTCCCCTCGTCATCCATAATGGAGACAGGAGCCACTTGGAAGTCCTTCATTAGCCTTCGTTCCCAGACCTTCATGCGCTTGCCTAGAACGGCTAGAAGAACGGATACATACAACCCTTAATTTTCACCCCTCTACGATCAACACCTATTTTTTATTATTGATAGTTATTTTTATTGAATTAAAAAAAAATCCTAGAAATAATATACATGGCAAGACAACGTTTGCCGGGTCAGCTAGTCTACATATAATAGTGTCAGGTACGTCTAATTAAAGGCGCCAAGTTAGACTGGTTCCCGTAGTTAATATGTAAGAAAATATTTTAGCAATGGTCTCACCTTTTTCCTTGCGATTTGTGAAAGAAACATCCATTCCGTTCCTTCCCAGCACTTCCAGGAGTTCGTATCTCAATGCAGATACATCTCCCTTCAGTTCATTAATATCATCTTCCGTGACAGGGTCCTCATCCAACTTCCGGTGCATAGCAGACACGTAACGCCATACTAACGCACGCATAACTGCTGTGTATCGCACATCATCCTCTTTCTCTTTTTCCACCTGGAAATATACTTCTAAAGTTATTGTGTCTGAGCTAACCATTAGATTCAGTCGTTGTAATACGCAACTTTGACGCCATGTCAATTGAATTACATAGAAATCTGGTTTCGCCCCCTATGGCATTCAATTGTGTTGCGTAGCGGGGCGGATTCTTTGATTTTCTTATTTGGTGATTACGTCAACAGTAATTATTTACTTTGTCTATGTCTAATTGTAAACTAATTGTCTATGCATGAAAACGAAATGCATTTTAGAGGATTCCTACTAAAAATTAATACGTTTATGTACTATTATTTTTGAGAGCTTTTCTTACTTTTGCTGAAAAGAAGGGAGGGGGGATAAATTGCAGTAAATCTGTTTACGTATTACTTGAATGGCCCCATAGACGTCATTTGTCACGAAGTTAATACATTTGCAGGTCACAAATGCACGCGTGTGGTTATTTAAAATGTTGACCTGTTTAATTAATATTTAACTAAAGCCTAAGCTTGTGTGACTTTGGTCATATCGCCCGTCGCGAACCAGATAACCTGGACAAGCTGGTTGTCATTGGCAATGTGGAAGGCAAAAAAAGGACGCTGGGCAGATCGCCAACCAGCTGATGTAACCAAGTCACGATTCTCACGGGTCTCTCCATAACAGCGCTAAGGAAAGCTATAGATCGAACAAATTGAAGGCAGTAGTCACCTTATAGTGACTCGACCTTCAGTGAAGAATATGACCGAGAAGAGTAGCTTTTCTTAATATTTACACATAATTTGTACCTACCTTATTCTAAAAAGTAATAAATTACAAATGGTTTTATAACAATTTCTGATTTAATTATAATAAATACTTTCGTCATATTCAAGGAATTAACAATTATTTACTCATGGAAAATTAAGCTCTTACGGTAAGGTGATCATAAATTATAGCCATTTATCTTTTGGATGTGAAACTTAATTTAACGACGACACACTGGGTTTTTAGTTTGAGGTTAACTTTAAGGTTTAAATTAAGCGGTTTTGTTTTTGGCACTGTTATGAAATTCATAAGTAAACTTAGTATACAATTTACTGAGCGAACTTTACAACTAACTTAGGAACTTCGAGACACTGCGATTCGAATATCTGTGAAGCCTAAAGATATTTTGGAATGGATTTAAACACTTAACATCAGTATTACTGCATATTTAATGAGTGTAACGTGATGTGAGTCATGCATGATGCCCTTCCCCTCGATGTATCGCATTTTTTTATTAATACAGTTAAAAGCTTTTGCCCGTGCGTTATACACAGATTTGTGTATAAGACCAGCCCTCAGACTCCAAGTTTAGATCCACAATATGTTTTTTTTAGATATATGACTTAATAATTAAAATAATAGATAATATCGTCTTTAATTGTGGCTTCTTTGACACTTTGACGCGATTTGAATTTTTTTTTTATAAATCAGCTTACCTTAACTTGAACTTTCTTGTTCTTCCCCATCAGACTGAAGATCTTCATAACTCGCTTTGGTGTTGGCAGTATGTTGAAGGGCGGTGGTAATGTGGGACTGTCTTCAAAATATGACATCCATAAACGTGTCCTTGCGAACTTCCACTCCACGTCTGAATGTTGCTGATTACAGCAAATTACACCAAATATTAATTTGGTTTCCATTAGAGAATGAACCAGACAAATTTTTATGTAAAATTAAACATATTTTAACGGCTCAATAAATCTATAATTGACAGAAACAAACCGCACTCGCAAGCGGAAATACAGCTATTTAATAATCTGAATTATAAAAAAACCTTTTCAAATTGAAGTTCGTAAAAAACCTTTGCATTCATATAACTAACTTAACTGGCTAACTTGATTCCGTAACCAAGTATTCGATCTTTGCCTTTAACCTTATTTATATAAAAAAAAATCAGTGGCGCTACAACCTCTTTAGCTCTTGGCCTCTGATTTCTGAATCTGTTTCCTGATCATTTTGAAATCTAATAGGCACATGCCGTCGACTTTTTGGGTCTAAGACATGTCGGTTTCCTCACTTAACACTTAACATGGATCGAACTACGACCTCAGGTATGAGAGTCGCACGCTGAAGCCACTAGGCCAACACTGCTTATTTTTATACTTACATCAATATGAGCGTACGAATTGGACATCATAGCGATGAGTAGATTCAGTAGAACGATCACATTGATCACGGAGTAGGACCCAAACATCAGCAGACCCCAAAACCTGGTGTAACTTTTGATTCCGGCCAGTTCGAAGCTATCCAGACCAACCATGCCGAAAGACGCCCAGAAAAGTGACTGCGACGCTTCAAATACACTGAGAAGAGATTAATAGATTACGCATAGAACTAATACTTTTATTTATTTATATTTATTTATAGCCTAATATCATAAATACACAATATTTTATACATTATAACTATTAATCTACGATAACCGATTCTGTGTGCCTACGGGAAAAGGTCTCCCCCGTTGTCGTCCATTTTTCCAATCTTGTCCAGGTCTTAGTCTTTCCAGCCATTTCCATGATTTCATCGGCCCACCGTTTATATTGCCTACCTCTGTTTCTTTTATGGCCTCTTTGTTGCCATAGTGTTACAATTATGCTCCATTTATCTGCTCCTCTTATGGTATGTCCAGCCCATTTCTATTTTAATTATTTTGTTTTATATGCAACGTCAGCAAATCCTGTTTTATCTCTTAAATTCTTGTTACTTATTTTGTCAATTCTTCTTTTCTTTATAATACTCCTTTCCATGGCTCTCTGGGTAACGCTAATATTAGATAAGACTAATTGAAGCATTAAACTTAAACCTAATAAAAATTACTATGACGGTATAGATGAAAAGCTCTTTGTAACAGGTCAAAAGTGATATTCAGAAAAGAGCCTAAGTGTGACTTCCGATACGAAAGCAACAAAGCAAATATTCACAATACAAAATTGTTGGCTTGTTCTATTTTTTTATTGAACTTAAATGGTTTGTTTTAGAATAGTCTCCTGACACTGCAGGTGTCCATGAGCAACGTTTAGCACTTAATCATACGTGACCCGCCACCTCTTATATCTAAATTAATTAATTAAATTAAATAACTTAACTTATTATTAAGACATAATAAAAATTAATACATTTGCATGCCTATTTATGTATGGCTGATTGTGCGGATTTTTATAATTAATCGATCTAATTGTACCACTATCTTGGCAAATAAACGATTTATTATTAAAGAAGTTTATAAGAAAAACATACATATGAGAACAAAAAATAATAATAAATAAATTTAAATATATCTAGCCACCGTACGCTGTTATTGCATTAGAGTCCGTTTACCAAAAACCTTCGCAGGCGTATTCAAAACGGGTCCACTATTTCCCGTATCTCAGGATGCAAACTGTTGTAAACACTCGCTGCGAAGTAGGTTATATTATTGATAAGTGTTATGCCGGCAAATTGTGGGATTGAAGTTAAATTTACTGCTCGTGTATTTGTTTATGTAATTTCTTCTCCCCATTTCACTATAAAAACCATTTGAATATTACCCCTAATGTGGTGGTCCGAGTGTATCACGAAATACTTTGTATTTGTTATATATATCATATCTAAATATAAGAAACTAAATTTATTGTGAGTTTCATGTCGATATATAACATATTTTCTTACCATTTCACTAAAATGCAATTTCTTATTGTTCTAAGGATAACTTGTAATCTTTCGTCAAATATCAAATATCGCAAACAAGAATTCAGAAATATATTAAATTCCAAGCATTCAAACATCCCTTTTCTTAATAAGAATAAAGAATTACGAGTAACCTCGATTTATTCCACACAAATTGTAAGCAATTTTATCTAAAGCGTGTAAATAATTAAAAACATTGAAAGAACTGTCCCTAAGTTAAACACAATCTACGTGATTTCAGCGAGTCAAATTAACAAAATTAATAGGCATGATAATCCATAGTTGTACGTAGCGTCATACAATCAACTTCATCGATTTTTAAAGTATTCATCTTAACATTTATATCTTCTTCTAATTGTATCTGAGTTTGTAATAAATAGCGCAAGGATGCGTTCGCTTCATGCAGCATTTGTTGGAGCTGTTCAGTGCTTTGTCGTAACATCTCACACTCGTAGTACAAGGATTGTCCTGGTGGATCACGGACTAGTTCAGCTCCTATACGCTGAGCTCTTCTCCCCAGTCTTGTATGAGCCAAAGCTGTATTCCCTTCCTTGTCACACAACGCCTTCTGCAGTTGAAGAATATTATTCATCATATCAGCTATTTTCTGCGTTGTTTCTCTATGCATGTCTTCCAGTTTTGCCTTTGTCCTCTTAGTATCTTCTATGCGCTCATTAAACTCGTGATTGCATTTGTTAAAGGAACACCAAAGATCATCAATCACTTGTTTTAGTAATACGTCAATAAATACACGTATTGGACGAGCACTGGTTACTTCTCTTGCAGCTTGTTGCACGTTCTTAGCTGAATATGCGTTATACTCATCAGCAGAAATATTTGCTGGATCCAAGTTAGCGTAGCCTTCATAGACAGACAGGCATAGATCAGTTGGCTTCAAAGATAAAGAACCTTTGTCCAGATCAATAGCTGCTTGCTTGTATTGCAGATCTCTGTCTAGAAGATATCTGGTAGCACGAAGGCGCCTCATTTGTTCGTTCAATTGTTCCAAAGCACGTTTCAAAAGACTTTGACCGCCTAGAATCGTAGTTATTTCCTGTTGAAGAGCATGCTCAACCTCATCAACAACCAAATCGATTCCAATACGGCCATCACGCAGCATTAAACACTTACGGCAAATGGTCAGAGCATTTGATTGAAGTGATGCAAGGCAGTCTTGGAGACGAGTCTTATAAACACCGAGTGCTTCTAGTTCGAGGCATATTTCTTTTCTCTGCAGCTGTAGTTCTTTTTTATTGAATTCTACATCACCAAGGCGTTCTTCTATACGTCTATCAGACGTTGCTTTCATGATGGACGCGCGTTCACCTGTTTCGTCTCGAATCCTTTCACTTTCTTTTAAAATTCGGTCTGCTAGCTGCTGCTGGTCTTCTGTATTTCGGCTTCGCATATCGTTGGATAGCTTCCATTCTGCTAAGGTGAACTTGGCAGATCGTGGAGGCATACATACGATGGCCTGCTCAGAAAGTCTCGTAGTTGAGATGGGTGCACCAATAACATGACGCACACCAAATTGTTCTTCACCCATGATTGAAGATTTTGAACTATTTGCAAACTTTAAATAAAACTACACCAGCCGAAACGTGATACGTATTGTTGGAATTGACATAACTAATAGTTGTCATGGTAACTGGGTCACGTCAATAATATTAAGCTTGGCGTTCAAGAAAGAAGTTTTTATTCATGTCTGTATTTTTAATATCTTATAACAGGAAACTTTTACGGATCAACCGTATTGTTAAGAACTGTTAATCGTTACAAACCAAATTTTTTTTTAAAGTCAAAGCCATTTATTCATATAGGTAACACAATGTGCACTTATGAACGTCAAAAAATATATATATGCTTCTAATTATACATTTACTGCCAGTTCTCAAATCAAGGGCGTCGAACGGAAGAGAAGAACTGGCAATAAACTCTCCGCTACTCTTTTTAATCGCCGAGATTTTTTTTCACAACGTTTGTAAGGAGCTGCAACCATTACACCATGTTCCACATGACATCTTAAGTAATAAATAATAATAAAATAAATTAAAAACAAAGATTTGTCCTCTTTCAGCATGGTGAAATATGATCACGCACATACATTCATTATTTCTTAGATGGTAGATATGAATGCACAAAAAAAAACATTTATTCAATTAGGACAGAAGTATGAAAACAAAGTATACACTAAAGTTTAGCTGTCCCTTGAAGGGAGATGAGCTGAGCTATTACTCCATCATCATTGTACGAGCCAAGGTACAGGCACATTTTGCATACTCAGGCTTTCTTAGCTATGAGCGTGACGATTACCTAAATCGTCGGAGTTACGCCCCAAGAGTATAGCCCGATGCAAGCACTCTCTTAAAAATTTACATTCGATTCATAGAAATTAACATTTAACTTTATTATTTAAAGCAAATGCTTGAACCGTTACATACACGCTGATTAATACTGCCCTGCGATTCTGTAACTCACTTTTCGAACTCACACAGCGGTTTTCACAGTGGAGGTTGCGCTGTGAAAACGAAAAGTGAGTTACAGAATCGCAAGGCTGGAGCTAAGGTGCTAACTAAAGACACGGGTGCGTAAACTTTGCAAATTATTTTTGAATATTAGTTTCAGTTTTCATATATTGATTATAAATACTTGTCGACTTATGTATATTGCGAAAATAATTGACATCCTATAACAAATAGAACTTTACGATTACTTTCAAAACAACTCTAGCGATTCTAGCCACACCTAACCCTGAACTCACTTTCCAAAACTTCTCCATTTAGTGCAAGAGTCACCCGCGTGTTCCCAATCCGGGAGACCGCCGGGTAAAGCGTAACATTTTTGCTTTTCCAAATCGGCGAAATACCAAAGCAATTGATTCAGACCTGTTTATTTATTCCATACAATGAAAATTTTTAAAGCAAATAAGTTATGTTATGTTAAATAATTGTAAATTTATAATAATACATAACTTTAATCCGGTTAAAAAGTTTTTTCTTTAAAAGCAAATAAGTTAGCCAAAATTCTAGATACAGATTTTTTTTTATTATTAAAAGTTACGTTAAGGTAAATATTATACGCTTATGTGTATTAATACAATAGATTCCGTATTATAATGTGCATATATAAATAATAATATGTTCTATATATAGTATTGTCTTTGATTAACATAACCTTTACACATTTAAAGAAAAAAAATTATTTCGCATATTAATCATTTTAAGAAAATTTTATTAAGTTGTGTGTGTGAAAAAAAAAAAAAAGGCGCGGGGTTTAAGTGGGAAACAAAAATGTGAGAACCCGCGCTAATACTATTTCGGAGAAAACATACCGTTTTGTTCAAGTCAACTAATCATTTTAAAAATCTAATATATTTGGGAAAAGCACAAGACTATAGATAAAGAAGAACTTGACGATGTCGATGACCATTCTCCCAAGGGAGATCTGAAGTGGACCCAGGTGAGGGTTTATAGAAAACAGATGTACCAGTTTCAACGCACTGAAACAAAAAAAAAACGTTATCAGTAGATTTTGTAATTATTTTGAATTGAATTTTTTTATTTTATATTAAGTTTGGTAATTGTATAATTTTTCAGTGTAATTGTAATTTTTTTTTTCTTACTAGGGTCGCCTGGAAGAGATCAGTTTGTTAACGATATAAGGCCGTCCGTTGCATCCCGAATAATTAATGTTATTTGTTTTTATTTTAAGTTAACGAAGTATAAACAAATAAATAAAAATAAATTGTGCCAGTTTAAAATTCTATGGAAACATCAATGACTCGTACAAAATACTGATAGTTTTAATAGCGAACCAGTAAGAAAATTTACAATAAATCTAAAACCGAAATTTGAAATTGAGTTCTATTACTGTTGCCCTCAACAAAAAATCTTAATAAATTTATCTAACGAAACTGGATGATCCCTGACGTTGATACCACAACCTTAGAAAAACAATAGAACAACGTATTACTGATCGGCTTGATTCTCTCTCTCTCTACTCAGAGTCATTGCGTCTCTATGCGTATTCTACAAAGTGTAAGTAGTGTGTTCTGAAGAGTTGTTTGGGTTGATCCCTCCCGCCTCGTTTCAATACCGTACAAGCCGGTTTAATTTAAAATTTCATCAACATCACCTTGATGCCTGGAATCCATAATCCACTTTACAAGGCACTTTCTTTTGCGAACTAGCGAACTGTGGAATCGACACCTGACCTTCCCTGGGAGATACGACCTCCAATTGTTTGAAGATACTGGCCTTTGAGGAAGAAGTATACTCCTTCTTCCTCAAAGGCCAGTATCGCTCTAAAATGGGTGTCCATGGGCTGTCCATGCCTTTTTTTTGCGTCCCTTAGGCTTACTTAATTTATAAAAAAATTGAAAATTTTAGCTTTCGCCTTATTCTACGTTTGTAGAAAAATCGACACTAACAATAGAAAAAAGGTATTTAATACCTAAAGTTTTATTATAACGCATTATTATTTAAATATCACAAATAAATATTTCTACATAATTAAAGAAATGGAATTTTTTTATTTCCAACTTCAGGTGTCGGTGTTTTGTGAGGGTGTGCGGGCGCATCGTAAAAAATTACTCTCATCATGTTTCCCTAACGCGCCAAAAGAAGTATAACTTCAAAAAATTTAACGTCGTAATTTATATTAGAAGCGTCGTATCCTTATTAGTTCTAAGCATACTGTAACTCATGCACGATACACCGATAATAGGTGGACCTTAAATACAACTGTATGGAAAGGACCCAGAGGAAGAAGGAGAAAAAAGGTATATAGACATAGGATAGAAGACATAGAAGCGGTAGCAAGAAACGAATTGAGAAAGAGAGCCATAGACAGAGTCAATCGGAAAAAGCTGGAGGAGGCCTTTACCCGTGAAGGGGTTCTGATCGACGGTACTGAAAGAAGCTAGAATATAGAATAAAAAGCAAAAAAAAAATCTAAGCTGTGTATTATAATTTGTTTTTGTCATGATTAGAAATTAAACGGGCTTTATTATTATTATTATTTTTATTATTATTATTATTATTATTATTATTATTAACGGGCTTTATTATTATTATTATTATTATTATTATTATTATTATTATTATTATTATTGTTGTTGTTATTGTTATTTTATTATTATTATTATTATTATTATTATTATTATTATTATTATTATTATTATTATTATTATTATTATTATTATTATTATTATTATTATTATTATTATTATTATTATTATTATTATTATTATTATTATTATTATTATCATTATTATTATTATTATACTGTTACTTAAATACGCAACCCTTACCTAAACACGTTAGCAGCAGCAAATAAGCCTTCAGCAATCAACTGCGGGTCGAAATCATCCCACTGTTCTCTTGGTATAAATCTTGTGTTGGGGTCGCGTTTTATCTCAGCATTTTGCTGCAAATAAGCCACAAAACGTAGCAACGCAACGGACACATATAACGTGTTTCGGGTGAAGTCGATAAAGTTCCACATGTTGCGGAGATAAGCGCGAAAGCCTTCGGTGTACATCTCTTGTGTTTCTTCCCAAATGAATCCTGAGGAGGGAAAAATTACTTTCAATCGGGGGTATTCTACACAGAACAATCTGATACTATATTTTACGTTTGCACTCAAACATCACACATGTTAACATAAGGACAATCATCTTCTACTATATAAAAATAAGTCGGGTTTTCCTTCCTGACGCTATAACTCCAGAACGCACGAACCGATTTCCACGGTTTTGCATTCGTTGGAAAGGTCTCGGGCTCGCAAGGTTCATAGCAAAGAAAATTCTGGAAAAATTCCAACAGAAAAGCGGGATCACCAAACGAAATGTTACATAAAACGAAGCCATCTGGTGGCGAAACGGAGTTCGCCGAGTTTGCTAGTTACGTATAAAAAGACGTTATAGAAAGGAAATATATGTGTAAAAATTACATGAGAACTTCAAAAGGCACCAGACCAGATCCATGCAACTTCCTCACAATCGAGTAGCCCTCAACATCGCACCACACAACTCCCTAGGAGACTCTTTGTATTGAAGAAGAAGAATATACAATGTAATTACATAATTACGAAGGAATAAATATATTTGCAAATAATGAATATAGCAATGTTTCTAAAACGAAAGGTCCCCATGGAGTTGCTGAAACTGTCCACCGAGTCATATTTCATCACAGTTTTAATGTAAAATAATATTACTAATCATTTCCTTACATACAATTTTATTTAAATATACTCATAAAAAAAATATTTGCCAAAATTTTATAAAAAATATTAGATATTGTCTCTGTTTTGGATGTGAAAATGTCGGTAAAATATATAATAAGAATACTTTCACGCGTGATTATACCGGCCATGTATGTCTAATTAAAATAGATAAAATAATATTTACCAATCACATATATAAGAACAAGTATTTCCAGAACAGTGGGGCCATTCCCCCTCTGTCTCTTCAGTTCTTCTTCTACCTTCTTCACCATCCACTCAGGCCCGAATAGTTGAACGACTTGAACTTCTGCTCTTTGTGATACCAATATCAAGATTACTGTAATGAAATATCGACTACGTCAAACTCAAACTCAAAATATCTTTATTCATATAGGCAAACAAGTACACTTATAAACGTCAAAAAAGAAGTTAAATTAATTGTAAATTTACATTTACTACCAGTTCGCAAGTCAAGGGCGTAGAGCGGGCAAGAAGAACTGGCAAGAAACTTTCCGCCACTCTTTTTAATCGCTAAGTTTTGAGTCATACAAATTGTTTGAACTTGGGCAAATCAAATCAAAAAAAATTATACCATAAAGACATGTTTTTAACTATTACAAAATTATATTACGGCTAAAATTAAATACTCACGTAAAAAGAACAAATAACTTGATGCATGTATCAAAAACTTCATGAATGGCTTCCTCATCAGCTTCCCAGTATCACAATTCGGAGCTACCATATACAGTAGACAGTAGTACGGGAATAGTAATGCTACTCGCATAATGATGAACATTTTCTCTATATTTGACTTGCGTCGGAAGCCTGGAACTCCCGCGTACCATAGAGACGCTAGAAGTTGCTGTATTTTTGGATGAGCTACGAACTGGAAAATACAATATCGAATATAATATTTGGAATTGCGACTAAATTTATTCACGTCTTTCCTCCAACTTCGATTTTGTTCCCTTTGGAGTAGATAATAATAATAATAATAATAATATTTTTTATTAATCAGACAAATACAGTGCATTGATTGATTAGTAAGTTAGTAACAATAGTTTCTTAAGATCTATGTTAGTAGAATTAGTAAAAATAAGAAAAAAAGTAGTTAAATAAAAACTATCAGGTACAAAGCCCTGCGGAGATGTCGTAGCAGTGTCGTAAATAGAGATAAAAAAAAAAGATAGAGACTCTTGGGCCGTGGGGTTCAAGTGCACAGGCAGTAATTATAGATTATGTTGGCGCCTAGTATATAGTACCGGGCGCTGCTGCTTTCCTCGATCAACGAATAAGTCTCGCAATACAGCGAGGAAATGCTGCCAGCGTTAAAGGTACACTTCTACACGGACCAAACTTTTGAATTTTGTTTTAATTTTCTTGTTATTAATTATTTTTATTATTACTTTGTAGGCTAAGAAAATTGTATGCTTGATTATTTTACATTAAAATTAGCAGCGATTTCTTAAACAATAAAAATTATGATTTTAAGTGTAAAACAATTGACTAAAAATTACATTCTTTTGTTTATAATCGACAGCCAGTTCTAATCTAGCCAACTTCATATGGTCTCCTTCTTCAAATGGCTCCTCGGGATCATGATTCAAGATGATGGCCAACTCCTGAGAGCTTCGAGACTGGTTCAGAAGATCTACAGCGAACCTTTGCACTTGACAACGTAGTTCTAGGTACTCTGCTTTACATTCCTACAAATAGTAATTATAATAATCAAGTGGCGCTATAACCCTTTTCATTACTAATCTTTATAAAAATAAAATAAGTCAGTGGTGCTACCTTTTCAGGTCTGGGCTTTAGAATTTTGTATCTGTTTCATGATCGTTTGTCAGTCTAATAGCAAGTAGGTGATCAGCCTCCTATGCCTGACATACGCCGTCCACTTTATGGGTCTAAGGCAAGCCGATCCTTACGATGTTTGTGTAGGCATGTGTCAGGCACTACTTGCCTATTAGATAGTCAATGATCATGAAACAGATACAGAAATCTGTGGCCCAGTTGTAGCGCCACTGATTTTTGTAGGATCAGTTCAGGTTCTTACAAATTTTTTAAAATCAATCCTTTGAGAAAGCTCTATCTTACAACTTACCTGTTCAGCATACGCCAAGTTCCGTAGTTCCCAAGACAGTTCAAATGCAGTCAAAACTGGGTCGGTAGAAGATAAAGCTATAAGAGACGGAGACGCCATGGCTTTGTACGCGTTGAGACGGGCGAGAGAGTGTCGTAATGGATCTTCAGTTGAATCTATTATACATTCATCGCAGCCGCATCTGAAACCCATAAGTCACTTAATATAGCATGAGAAATACTTCTGAAGAGAAGAAGAATAAAAACGAAAGATAAAATGTGATGCGTCACTATAATATCAGTAAAAGAAAAGTATTTTTTTTATGTAAGGTAGGAGGCTGACCTGATGTTAAGTGATACCCATGGGCATATACATATGTATGTGTATATATAAATAGAAAGAAAAGAAGAAGAAGAAGCCAGAAGGCTGGTAGTGCGTTTCCGGTCTTTTAAGAATTGGTACAGACACAATTTACGATCTAGCCTTAAGAACTAAAAAGTAATTTAAGTCGAACCTATTTACTAAAAAGGATATTTAACATAAGCAAGTGTCAGTCTCTATTAAAGGAACTGTACACTGTTCTTGTGTACTACTTCTTATCCACATACACCTGTTCAGCACTTAAGACTAACACTAATTTAATAATTTGACTAGTTTTGGCCAAAGTTAATCTAATAATGAAAACATGGTTTCTTTTTAAAATATAATCTGTTACCGTATATCATGAGGATCTGGTAACGTTGCACCTCTGTCGAGAAGGATTTTGATTATTTCGTAGTTGTTCTTATGTGCCGCTAAAACAAGTGGAGTGAGGTCACGTGTGAAGAGCGCTGTTGTCGGATCCACTGTTTGCCAGCTCTGAAAAATATATGTAAGTTATCAGTGATAAACCACTCTATTGCGTCTGCTTAAAACTGCACTAAACTGTAGGTCAGAAAGTGGTAACTGCTACGTTACTCTAAATTCTCTTTCAAGCTGAGATAGGCCTATGTAGAAAGATCATTACAAAAAAATATTTATTTTATCATGGCTTTTGCCCGGGGTAGGCAGAGACCTCTGATCTACAAATACCCACTCACTCACACGCACACACTCACACAGTGACACACAGATACACCCATACAACTCTATTTCTGTAGGAATCTAGTTGAATGTTTGCTTAAAACTGCACTAAACTGTAGGTCAGAAAGTGGTAACTGCTACGTTACTCTAAATTCTCTTTCAAGCTGAGATAGGCCTATGTAGAAAGATCATTACAAAAAAATATTTATTTTATCATGGCTTTTGCCTGGGGTAGGCAGAGACCTCCGATCTACGAATACCCACTCACTCACACACACACTCACACAGTGACACACACAGATACACCCATACAACTCTATTTTTGTAGGAATCTAGTTGAATGTTTGCTTAAAACTGCACTAAACTGTAGGTCAGAAAGTGGTAACTGCTACGTTACTCTAAATTCTCTTTCAAGCTGAGATAGGCCTATGTAGAAAGATCATTACAAAAAAATATTTATTTTATCATGGCTTTTGCCCGGGGTAGGAAGAGACCTCCGATCTACGAATACCCACTCACTCACACACACTCACACAGTGACACACACAGATACACCCATACAACTCTATTTCTGTAGGAATCTAGTTGAATGTTTTGATTAGTTTTTTTTTTAAACGAAATTTTGTTGCCCACTCATATATGTACTTTTTTTTTGTTATGACTCAGTATGACTCTGATGTGGAATGGAAGACTGGTTATCCATATCACAGGTTCTTACCTAGTTTGGAAACCAGTCTCCCGATACCTTCTTAATTGTAATCGTACTGATTGTTTCAAATGTTATATGGGAGAATTATTATTATTATTATATCTCTTGCTAGGGTCTTGACATACCTCTCTCTATCATGACATTCACCATGTATGCTCGTCGGTTAAGCTTTTAACTGGTCCCTTCTCTAGTATGTTCTGGATTCGCTACATAATTGGTAATAATTGGTACGCTTTCATCTTGAAGGAAGGAAATACTTACACGTTCTACATTGTGGTGCGCGAAGCAAACTACTTACATATGGTGCTGGATGCTTGTGTATTAGTTCTTCATGCTCCAATAACAATTCAACAGCTTCAACGAACTCTGCGTTAATTGCTTGGAGCAAGGCATCCTTGGTCTGTACACCCATCACCACAAGGAGCTCCACCATCTCCAGGTTGTCTCCATCAATGGCGAGAGTCAAAGCACCACGACCGAGAGAATCCACACAGTTTAAATCTATGTGGTTCTTTCGGTGGGCTCTTTGGATCATTCTGGAAGATTTATTTTGTTTAACACTTAACAATAAGTCAATAACAGCTTCATTACTGAAGCTTGTGCCTGTCTTAAAAGCGCTAACCGATTCGTCAACGTGCTGCCTCTTCACCGCTTTATCCTCAGCTTGTCTTAGGGTATTAGGGATGTTAAGGCCCATAATTGTGTTAATTTGGTCAGACCAACGGGTAGGAGATCCAACTTCTCCTGCCACAACTCTTTCCTACCACACCAGTTTGTCGAGACTATTCGGCTCTCTTGACAATTCTATTAACGTTTTATAAGAGTATTTTTTAAATTTTACCGTCTAACATTCGCGATGTCCCCTCTCTCAACAGCCATGAGATACTTCTTCTCATCTAAGTTAAGACTCTTTGGCAGCATTGGTAACTTAATTGGTTTACGAATCTTCTCCGCCAAGGCATCTCCCTGGAATTATACCAACCATAAATTTATTGTTTATTTTAGCGTCCAAAATCATAGCTTTTTGTGCCGATCGGAATATATATTCCGAATTCCACTAGAATATTTATCTCGATGCTAGAGCTTTTCCTAGAACATGGTATTTTTATGTTTACGGAGCAATGTTGTATTCTGTTCTTTCACAGAATGTTTTTTTAAATCATTTTAATTTTATTTCTACAGTTTCCTATCCAAGGTTAAACAATCGACATTTTCACCTTTATCTACATTATCCGTCGACTATTCAATTTCTAGTTTCGGAACTATCTACGGGTACAGAACTTACATTTTCCAAATCCTTTTTATCCCCCATTTTGAGGGAAGAAGCAGCATACGTCCCCGCAAACGAATGCTGTGGAAACAAAAGTTATATGTAATATCTAACTCACATATCATCACACCCATAGACTATTTTTTTTATATAATAGGGGGGTAAACTTGCTTACGGGACGCCCATAAAAGGCTGGCTGCCTTTTACGGAGCCCATGGACCCTAAAAGGAGTATATATATATATATATATATATTCAACTAGTCTAATGATAACTTAATTATCATTATACCAGTAGCATTAAATGCCATCAAAGTCAAAGCTTAAGATAATTCTATTCTTACATTAATTAGTAAGTCTGTCCTCCAATTCACAGATTAGCCAAGCACGTGACATGGATGACTGGAAACCGTACAAAGCTGGTAATTGTCATATACAGTAGAGTGTGCGTCTAATTGGTTTAGCGTAAGGGTAGCAAGTAATGATGCGTAGAGTTCATTTAACCGACTTTTAAAAAATTTTACAGAAATACAAACATTATCTTTACAGACTATAGCAATACGAGAATGTCGAGAAACATTAAATAAAATATATAAACGGCTAGACCGATTTGAATTTTTTTTTTTTGTATGCGTTTGGGTTGGTTGGGGATGGTTTAGATTCACAAATCAGCCCGGCAGATGGCGCTGCAGTCGATATCTAGGTAATATCTATACAGGAAGAAAACAGCAGCTATATATATAAATCTTCTGTACATGTGTTCGTTATTAAACTCCTAAACGGCTTGTCTGTTTAAGCGGAGTCGAGAATGATTTACTTTATTAGATATTTTTTGTATTATTATAATGTAACGGGCGTGTCAAATTTTGATTATTCGCCTTGACTGTTTCGCAAAACATTCAGGAACTATTATAATAATGAAATCTTTTAAGTGATGATATTCTAGCTATTCTATTTCATGAGAAACGATCTCAATCCCAAGATTTTGAATACATAAATGGTTTTCACAAAGTGAAATGATCCCCTTATTCCAAGTTTCAACCAACTTTGAAAAAGGAGAAAATTCTCAATTTTTCATATTTTTATCATCATAAGACAAAACGCATACCTATTGTTATCGTAGCCCAATCTACGGTGTCACTTCAGGAGGCTTTAAGACAAAAATTGAGAACCTTCATTGAAGATAAAAATGCTATACAACAACGAGTATTAGAAATTATAACTATTAGAAACAAATTCTTCACAAAACAATACTTACGATCGCCGAGGCTGACGCGATACTACTGCTATTCTGGCCGTTCTGTACGCCTTATATAAACACCATAATCTTATTACCGCCAAGCTTTGATTCGTAAAAACATTCACGTGCTAAGGATGCGACCTACGCTAATAAAATTTATTTGTCTGTAGTCACAATGTAAGGCGCTTAACTTAATATAGATCAGTATTATTGTCCCGAAAATAGAATTGTATTCGTTTTAGTGGAAATAATTTGCTTACAACATCGTTTAGAACAGCATACCGGTTACATTAACCAAAATCAAAGGTCCCGGCTGAATTCTATTAGCCTTATAAAAAAATAACAGATTTTGTTAATGTAGAAAAATGATAATTATATGTTCGTAATATTACTTATAATTTTCATGTGATATAAATAAAATGTAGTTTTACTTTATACATGGGTATATTAATCACACATTCAATAATAAGTACATATTAGGTACTTAATAACGTCATCGGCTGTTTTAGTACCAAATATGAGTACATAGTCCCTTCGATGTCTTATTTTGAGTGTAGTATTTTTCCTAAGAACTTGAATTTATAATAAAGTCCTTTGAATTAATACCTAACTTAACAACTAAACTTAAACATACGTTGAAAAAATGTTTATCTTATGAACTATTTTAGACGAAAACTAAAACATCCACACAATATTAAAGAGTCTACACTAAGCATGAGAGATAGATATAATATGATAACTAATTGTGACAGAGTGGTAGCAATGGAGAGTAAAAAATACCAAGATTAACCAACTTCGAAAAAATGGAAATGTTTTGATGTCTAATCTAACACCCAAAAATATTTTTTAGAAGTTAATTCGGTAAATATGTGGAAAAAACTAGCGAACTGTGGAATCGTCTCCAAATTCAAAATTCGAGTATACTCCTCCCTCAAAGGCCGGCAACTCACCCACTAAAAATGGGTGTCTATGGGCTGCGATAACTGCCCTTTTCGGGCGTCCCGCAGGCTCGTTGGCCCCCTATTATATAAAAATAAATAAACTGTAGATAAATAGCATTTTAAATGTATATCTCTGCGTTTGACCTGGACGCAAAATCATATTTTAATTTTAGACATATGGAATATTTCAACCGCGGTTTTAACATTTAATGAAAACACAAAAATACAGTCAATAAAGATAGCGCATTCTACCCAACTCTTCTGCTTTATAATAATTATAACTAAAAAAATCTACCATCAGCAAAAGATGAACAATTTTTCCTATGTACGAATAGACTGTTCTCTGGTGCATGACTCACGTGTCAATTTAAGATTACAATCGCATTTGATTCGGATATCATACAAGTTCAATGTTGTATTATACTGTCATAAAAATTATACCTTGACAGTAATGTAATTTGCACTATAAATGGGTAGGTAGGTATACTCCGAAATATTTTATACTGCTGAGTGCTGCCAATACAACGGAACGCGCACATCGTAGAAATTATATCTGCTAAAAAAAGATTTATTTAACTGTTTTTTGTGAGACATAAGCATTAAGATTATGCTAGATTATAGTTTAAAACCTTGTTAATCTGCTCATGTAATGTCGATATACGATTTGATATGTTTTTATTATTTGAATATAATAATAAAAAAATATTTATAACTGAAATATGGCTGTGACAAAATTCATTTATCACTAGTCCCCACTGGGTAACAATTATTCCGTGGTATATGGTGCATGTTTAAAACAATTTCTTTAAGAAAAAGTAGTATTTAGACATTAAGTATGCGTGAATGTATGAGTATATGAATGAGTGTAGAATGTAGATATATCAGCGAATTATTTGTTAGTGTGTGAAAAAAGAACCGCCCTTACACGTGTGCGAACTAATATACTATACGGAATTACATTACCTGTCAGCATCGTATTCCTTAGTACAAACTAATCTGACTTTATCGTAATTCGTGTGCCCATTTCTTTTTCATGTTCTTTTTTTATTATTGTCCCTTTCACTGTTGTTGACATATGCATTGCTTTGTTCCATTAGTTTTGTCTACGTAATTTTATATCTTATGTAGTTTATAGTTGCAAGATGTGCAAATATAATTAGGTACATATTTCTTTCTCACAGTGGTTGCATGGAAGATATCACTCCAAAGAGATAAAGCCGCTTGTTGCTTTTTATTTAATTATTTTAATTGTACTGTATTTCTGCAACTGAGTTTAAATAAATAAAATAATTCTTATTTACTACGCGTCATACTTATACGTATGTACAAAATTAAGTATCAACATGAATATCTCAGTCTAATGAAGTCATAGTGTTGTCAATATTCCAAGAAAAGGTAATTCAGTTAGTTCCTCTTTACATTTATGTTTAAAATCTTTATTTCACATTACAAAAATTTTCCGTTCAACAATTTTAATCTTCTGGGCTCATTCTGTTTGTCTTTAATGCCCTTTTAAATTGATTAAACAAGTAGGTTATTTAATAATTGTGCATCCTCATAGTTAATAGACCTCTTCGAATAATTTGTGCGCGGCTTCGGCAAGAAACGCATACTCACTCGACGAGTTGTGCGTGTAGTGGTAGGTTTAATCTGCTTAAATGCTACTAAGGTGAGAGTAATTTAAAATCCTTTTAACTTAAATTTTTTTAAATGTCATTCGAGCAGAAGCGTCACCTGATGTTACTACCGTCGCCCATGGACACTCAATGCCAGAGGGCTTATATTACCAAAGGGCTGGTTTCACATAGCGCCTTCCATACAACACGCGCATGAATAACTGTCTTAATAACGCTGTTGTGGAATGAAGGACGTCGAGGTAATACGGGAAACTAGGTCTATAAACATAAAGTTGCCTTATAGTCATAATATTTGATTCTTTATTAGGTTCTTTATTGGTATCGCGCTTGTACTGTGTGATACTCATCTTTGTGAAGATCGCTACCACAACAGGAGGTAGAGTGATTATAAACGCAGATTGTAGGATGTCGCTACAAATGTTACAAAGAGGTGGCGTAGTTTATTTTAGAAATACACAAACTAGGATAGCATTTAATAGTTCGGCAAACTCCTGGAAGAGCTAACTTGTCCAGTAACAAAACAAAGAGTAACTGTTTATTAAGACATTATATAGTTTTAGCTAGCGTAGTGTTTCACTATAGCTTCTCGGACCAGCGAAGACTTAGAGTAAAGGATTTCCCCAAAAATCACACCAATATTTTTTTGATTGATGATATCTGGATAAAAAGGCGTATATAAAAAAATCATTTATTATTAACAATTTTACAACCTATTGTACATTATTAAGATATGTTAACATAATTTAAGCTCTAAATTCACGATTTTCACAAACAAAAGACTAATAAATGTAAAAAATATAACAAAAATGCATAGGAGAATAAAATATGCAACTTAAGGTCAATGAACCTTAAAGGTCATTGACTCATAAAGGTCATTCACCTACAAGCTATCAGCTGTTCATGACAATAATTTCCTTGTCTTCGTACATTTTACAGTTTTATCTTCTTAAAGTTAAATTTAAACTCTGGGTTCTCATTTACATTTTTTAAAGCCAAATATAATTTGAAGTAATTAAAAAATGTATTAATTTTCATGGAGCCTTTGAAAATATAACACAATATTTTTAATCAAATATAATATTTAATATTATGATATTTTAATAAACTATTATTATTAACAACCACTTAACATAATTTTCTTAAAATAACATTTTATTCTAATTACAATTTAATTATTTATATCTTTGATAATATTATGAATTAATTTCAATAAGAACAAGTAACTCAAATGAAGGAGTTTTTTTTATAGAACATGGGCAAACGGGCAGGAGGCTTACCTGATGTTAAGATGTTAAGTGCCCATGGACACTCTCAATGCCAGAGGGCTCGCAAGTGCGTTGCCGGTCTTTTAAGAATTGGTACGCTCTTTTCTTGAAGGCCCCTAAGTGGAATTAGTAAGCAAATATTTTAAAAACGTTAAAGTGATCCTTTAGTTGAGTTCACTTTTTTTAATAATAAACAATCTATAAAATTAGCAATAACTCATTCTAATAAAAATCAAAAATATACAGAGACAATTTTATTGTGGTCTCACAAAATCCAGTTCAATATAAACTCAATACGAAATAGATAAACTTCGATAATTCATGACTAGATATGAGCAATTTGGATAATTAAGTTGGAACTCAGTGATATACCAATTTGTTAAAACAAAAATTTAAATATACGTTTTTCACATTAACCCTTTACTCGGCCAACTCAAGCGGTGCCGATGTGAAATTCGACTAAACGGGAAACTTTACGTAATGCTAAATGTCCAAAAAGGTACTGCAAGGTTTGTTCTGACCAAAAAGGCTGGAGGTAGGCGGAAAATTTCGTAATGGGGTAATTTCACATAAAGCAACATTCGTGTATATGAATTCACATATCTTGCTAACTAGTAACGATTCTCGCTTCTAGAATACTTAAAATACACTTTAAGCTATTTTTTGGAATAATGAAAAAAAAAATTGGGTTAAACTTTTTGAAAAACTCTTGACAAAAAGGGAGTCATTAGCGCTAAGCATCGACTCTGAAATGTATTCATGAATAAAAATAATAAAGCACTGACAATTCAAATATATATGGAACAAAATTAAATTGTTTTTTTTAAATAAATTAGATTATAGATTGTTCGCATTAAATAAACTCCAAAAGTACGGGAGCTATTTGAAAAAAATATTTCACCAGCGTACATTGGGTAATAAATAAACTATATTGTTTACAATAAATTAATTCGTTAATATAAAATGCTACAGTATAATGTATAGAAACGAAAATCATTTTGGCACAGCTATTTTTGAGTATTTTCTATGTTATATCATGTAATGTAAATGTATTTAATACTAAATTTATCAAATGTGCCAAAGTCTTTTAACGAGGTAGTAAAAAAATTGGTAAAACTAAAATTTTACACTGCGCTGGCAAAAAGAAAATGACAGGATAAAGTGTCGTTAACTAGAAATCTGAGGCAATTTTGAGTATGTATAAACTATAAACTAAGATAGCCGATCCTTTCCCTGACTTAACAACTTTTAATAACAACTACTAAATTATAATTAAAACAAGAACACTGATGATTGCTCAACGAATAAGCGATCGCAATACAGCGAGGAAATTCCAGCATTAAAGATACACTGCCATGGGAACCAAACTTTTTAAATTTATTTTAGTTTTCTATAAGAATATCGTTAATACTCTATATGTTATTAAATGAATATTGTCGTAAAAAAAACATTAATTTTTTTTCAGGAATCGTATCTTAAAGTCACAATATTGTGTTAGCTTTTAATATTTATTTAACTAAATAATTTTTAAGAAACATTCTTAAGAATCTTGCTACAAGTGCGCATGTGCAATAGTTACTCATTTGACTCGTTCGTTTGTTTACGATTTGTTACGAATTGACTCGAACAACTGCCCGAAGTGGGATGTTCGAGTAGGAGTAGGGAATAGATTTTAAAAGAGGTTGTGACACATGCGCACGGGCAATTCCTTTATTTAAGTTTGAAGTTATACAGTTTATGTAAATTATAGTGAATCAAGTCATTATTGGAGTGTTTAATTTCCTACCCTAAGCACTAGATCAACTAGCCCTTACTGTATCTCTCAAACTTCTAAAGAAGAATTAAGAAATGGTACGCTCTTTTCTTGAAGGACCCTAAGTCGAATTGGTTTGGAATTACTTCAGTTGGCAGATGGTTCCACAGTGTACACGGCAATAACTGCCATAATACACAAACGACAAACAATTTGTAATATTAATAATTCACGGACTAGTTATACAGTACTAAATACAATTCCCTATAGCGAGTATTTCATCAAATATTCGTAACAAGTACGAACTTTGTTTAAGAACATGTGCGACAGAGATAGCACCATGTTATCTCTTTCTATCGATGTGCGAGTACAAAGCTAATTCACTTAAATTCCTAAGTGCAAATTAAAATTCTATTAAATATGCTATCCCCTTCATTCCATAAAGATGTGATAAAGATATAATTTTCGTATATTTAATTTGATATTTTTATGGTGGTGTAAAATATTTTTATTCCTGATTATTAAAGCTATTTACTTGAGATCTTCTTCATCTTCGGCATACAAGAGATCTTCCGCGTTGGTCTCAAATTTGTCGTTCAAGAGTTGATCAGCTGGTATAGCTTTCTGAAATTATAAAATTATTTTTACACTTCACGATGACGCAATTTTGTTAAACAAGTGTTTTTGAAGATTAGCCGACTTCAAATATATATCAATGTTATGTATAGTATCGACCGAGACCATATCACAAAAGAACCAATTTTGTATATCACCAGCTTGCTTGCTTGGTCTTGCTTGCTTGAACTCGACATTTAGTTTCCGAGAAATCAGTGCACAAACATAATATATTTAAAAATACCATGGCACTAAAACTTTAAGGGTCTAAGGCCCCAGATTTGGGTATCCGTTTCGTGTTTTGTTTCTTCAAATAGACAAGTAGGTAATCAGCCTGTCAGATGTTGTACTCAACCGTACTAGTGTCCATTGGTGCAAAGACCAACATTGCTCTTGAATTCAAATAGTAAGCGATATAGGTAAAAGTTATTTTTTCCTGAATATATTTGTGAATACCATACCTACCTACCATAATTAAAATTGTAAAAACTACGCCACCTACGACACCACGGCCGCCATTTTGATATGCCGTTGGTATCTATTGACTCTATATATATGGGTCAAGTTATGTATTTAAATTCCCTTGCTTAACACGTATTTGAAGGGGAAGTCATCCGTCTCTTTCCATCACCGAGTAAACATAATTTTAAGAAAGAGACGAAAGATTTTAGTTAAGTGTAATTAGATTTTCAAGATTAGGTATAAAATTTATAAACTATGTATATTTTGACAATTGACATTTTTTATCTAATAATTCTATACGCTACATTTAGGGCGCTCAACAATGGTTCATTATATTCAAACTCAAACTCAAAATTATATTATTGACACCCTAAACTTGTCGAACGAGTTACCAACTATAATTCGTACATTGTTAAATACTATTAATTAAAAGCTCTAGTTACTAAACATTCTATACGTAACTCGAACTCAAAATAACTTTATTCATATAGGTAACAAAGTACACTTATGAATGTCTACAGAAGAGAAGTTTAATTGATTCTAAATTTACAATTTACTAGTTTGCAAGTCAAGGGCGTAGAGCGGGCCAGAAAAAGTGACAAGAAACTCTTTCATTTCTCAACATTATTAGTTAAAAACAAACTAAAAATCAAACACATAACGATTTTGAATTATTTATTAACAAAACTGACATGAATTTAATAAAAAACTTGCACAAAATTAAATATAAAATTTTAAAAAATTCCGTAAGATCTCAATTCAAACGCGAGAAAATTGTTATGTTTTAATTACTAAGCATCATTTGGCTGTATTCCAACGGTAACAGCCTCTGCCATTAGAGAGTATTTTGACATACGGATGTCATAGACACGCGCGGACGTCAAAAATGACATTGACACACGGATGTAAATGTTGCTATAAAACAAAATAAAATTTGGAAACTCATTAAAGATCATTTATATAAAAACTATTATTAAATATTAATTTATTTGTAGAAAATTTTCCAAATTCCAGCGAATAGGGTTAAGTAATTTGAATTTTACTCTTCAGTATTAAAAGCATTAGTACCGTCTTGAGCCCAAAGTCCAATATTTATTAGGCCGTTGGGTGTCGAGACACTTGTATGGGCACTGGAAATAATTTTCTGTTAAAATCAAAATACGTTTATTCAATTTAGATGCGTCTTAGCGCATGCTTATGAATGTCAAAAACGTTTACAAAATTCGCGAAAGAGCAAGACTACGCCATCCGTTCGCAAAACTACCAGGAGGCCTTGTTCTGACGAGAACGGGCAAGAAACTCAGCAAGTTTTACCCTCCCTCTACATTACAATTATTCAAAGGAAAATGTCATAAACCACAACGTCATTAAGGTTACATAAGTAAAAAAAAGTATAAAAATCTGTTCTGTGATTTACCACATTCACCATTACACACAAATCAAATTATAAGAATATAATTACAACTATTGCCAAGCGTTTTTATCGTCCAGGTAGTCATTGACTGTAAGTAACCTTTACACATTAAGTTTTTTTTTATATGAGTTTTGAATCTGTTTAAAGGCAGTTCCAATATTTCAGTAGGAATCATGTTATAGCAGCGTATACTTAGGCCCATAAATGAAGTATTTATTTTCTGCAACCTGTAAGACGGTTGGAAAAGTTTTCCCTTATTTCTCATATCCCTATTGTGAATGTCACTGTTCTTTAAAAGAGAACTAATATTACTACGCACAAAAACGATACAGTTGTAAATATATTGGGAAGGTACCGACAAAATATCGATTTCCTTCAACAAATTTCTAAGTGAAGTGCCTGGTTTCAAGCAATAAATTGACCTAATAGCACGTTAGAAATCTAGCCCAACCTGGCGTATCTGGGGTTCTTTGTTCTATCCGGCATTATTAAATTGGTAAAAGGTTGATCAATGAACCCGCATACATTTCCTTTCTTCTGTACTAAAATGACAAAGTTTTGTTTGCTAATCTTAGAAAGCGGAGATTCTAAAGGAATTCTGGAATATCTTAGATCGTAATTCGTAAGGACCGTTTAAAGTTTCAAGAGGGAGTTTTTGGGTTAATTGAATAACTTACCATCATATGTGGTGCCGGGAATGGTGATAAGCAGATGATCAAGACAGTCATATTGTCACAACCCAAGCCCCCAGTGAGACAGTTGGGTGCCAGGCATCGCTGCATTAGGGCTTCGCAAACTGCCGGCGGCTCCCACCCGCTTAGAAGTCGGATGCGACAGAATGATATCACCTCCTGTAATTTAATTTTAAAGTGAAACTTTTATTTTATCGTTTCAAACTTTTTCGTCTGCGTGTTGCATGTCGCGTGACGGTCGGCCGCGGAGTAGGGATAATGTGAAAGACGCTCGTTATAGCACCCAAGGCCAATATGGCGGCGCCTATAGTTCGCAGCAGCTGACCGTGTAGTGTACAGACTATTATTTAATATGTGTATATAATCTAAATAATTGTTAAGTATTATGTATTTCGTACTCTCTAAGATACAGAGTTCAATAAAAATATCAGTTGGTGACTTAGTGTTAGACTACTTTTATTATTTCCCATCATCATTCCAACTTTCCAAGTATAAAATTAAGAATGATAAAGCGATTTTATACAATGTACAGTCAAAACCGTTTATAACGACATCGTTTACAACGACCTATCGGTTATTACAACCAGATTGTATGGTCCCGTCCGAATCCCTAGTAAACTATTCAGTAAAGAAACCGCTTATAACAACATCGGATACAGCGACATATCGCTTACAACGACAAAAGTTTATCGATATTCATCGGATATAACGACCAACCGCTTCTTGTCTCAGTAAAACAAAACAATAGAAACGATTTTAAATTTTATTTATAAGCATTGAATGAATATTTAGGCATATTATTACCTACGCACTTTCTCCCAACGAACAGTTTCAGCCAACAACGATTTCCGAGGCTCTTAACGCTGTAACGATTTTGCAAAAATTTGTTGCCTTTAACGAACAGTTTGATACTGGTGATACTCATACCTTGAGGAGTATGAAACGTAAAATGCAAAAAATATTTGAGACTGGGCTAAAAAAAAACAGACTGACTGATTACTTTTGTACCTAATTATTTCGTAATAAATATTTTTGTTTCTTTTTTGACTCGTTTACATATTATAATATTAACATACCATATTATAACCCATACCTACCTATTCTAGATCGATAACTAAGTACATACATATGTACTGTACTTGTGTACATGACATTGCTTATAACGACTATCGGATATAACGTCGGCAAGTATACGGTCCCTTCAATGTCGTTATAACCGGTTTTGACTGTATATATATATATATATATATATATATACGTAGTCGGTCCCAAAGTTCTGTCATAAATGGAAATAATGATAAAAACAAAAGTACTGATCAGTTTGTAATGAGTGATATATCAATTCTTAGTAAATTAATTAAGGAATAAAAAAAGCATAAAAATATTCGAAATAACCTCCCTCATTTTTAATACAGGCCCTTAAGCGTCGCGGCCAGTCGTCTATCGCAGCACGCACCATATTCGTGTCCATTTCAGTCACTGGTTTTTTTAAAGATGACTTCAGATTCTCCAAATTTTCATGAGGTTTATCACAGACCTTCCTCTCTAAGCCCTGTCATAATTTCTGGTCCAAAGGATTAAGGTCCGGACTGGAGGAAGGCCAATCCTCATGTCTAATTAAGACGATGTTTTGACGCTCAAACCAGGCTTTAGTGGTCTTGGCTTTGTATGCAGACGCAGAGTCCTGCTGGAACACGAAGTGATGTCCCGCAAATAGGGTGCTGGACATGTCTTTGACAATGCGATACAAAACCGTCTCTTGGTACACTGTAGCACTGGTTTTGACCCCCTTTTCGAAAAAATTAACCTCAGTTAGCCCGTAATAGGACACTCCCAACCAAACCATTACTGATGATGGATGATGTCCATGTTGCATCCTTGGAACTTTATTTTCAGCTTCTTCAGAACTCCTAGCGTACACTGTATAATTCTGTTTATTGTACTTCTCTTCAATATCGAAAAATTTTTCGTCCGTAAAGAGGATATCACGGTGTCGGTTTTTCGCGTACCGCTTAAACAACACCCGCGATCTCTTAAGCCTTATTGCTTTTAGACGAGCATTAAGTAAGTGCCCACTCTTTTTTTTGTATGCTCGTAGACCAAGATCTTCATTTAAAACCTTTTTTACTGTTTTCCATCTGACACCCATCTGCAAATCCATCAACTTCTGTTTTCGGACAGGATTTCTTACTATCCGCGCCTTGATAGCTTTGATTACTGCTGGTGTTCTTGCGGAGCGTGGCCAGCCAGTTCTTTTCTTGTCCTCAACACTGGAGACTTCAAGGTACCTATCAATAGTACCGTACACAAACCTAAGCGTTATATTCAAATTTTTGAGCAACTTGAAAATGGTACTCGGCGAGTGTCCACAGCGGTGCAACGCTATAACAACTATTCGGTTTACTTTCAATGTCCACTCCATCGTGAAAAATTACGGAAAGTTATTGCTTTTTGTTTTAAAACAATAATCAAACATTCCAAAATAGAATGCAATAATTTTTTTATAAAATCCTGCTCGAAATGTAGAAATAATGTGCTAGTGACAGAACTTTGGGACCAACTACGTAGAGTATTATTCCAAAAAAAATTGTAGTTATAGTATATAGTATAGTTATAATTGTTAGTTAAACGTCTATAATGTGATAAAAAGTTTCACTTTTACTGTGGTTTCATAAAACGACACAATCCTTTTTTTAATAAACTTCATAACATGACGTTTCGTAATATGGTTTGCGACTGTTTATTGCTTGTAAAAATATCCGGTCGATTCGATCGATTCAATGTATATATGTCTATCGAATAAAACCAGTAATTTAGCCGCAAAGTATTTAAAGTAGTAAATTTCGTAATTATTGGATTTTTATTATTTAAAAAAATGATGCCCTGTTAAGGTCGACCGTAGATTTGGCTCTGAAATCCATACAAATGACTTTAGTACGTTAAAAACTTATTTTGTTAATTATTATAGCAACTTACCTCATTGGAGAGGACCTCCCATATCCCATCGCAGGCGATAACTATAAACTCCCAGTCTTCATTTAACTGCCGCACTTGCACGTCTGGGTACGCTGTCAAATTTAAATATTTATGCAAAAATCAATTTTGAGAAGTCTTGGGCCAAAGAAATGGTTTTAAAAGTTTGCTATCCCAGCATCGCATAGTAAAGATTGGTATCATTAACGAATGGATTCAAAAACTGGACTGATTCAAACAATTATTTCACACTTATAATGCTACTTTATCCCTGAATAACATGCAGGGGCCCTTTAGTACATCCGACTAAAGGGCTTTTTGGGCTGCAGAAATCAATAAGCGATATTTTCGATTAAAAAATCTTATCATACTTTTTAAAAAATCCTATCATAATGTTGGAATCCTTGAGATCAATCAACTCATGTGCGCATGCGCGTCTATGAAACGGAACGGGGAATTCCCCATCGCTTGTTTTTGTTCGGTGTATTTTTTCGCGTGTGCGTCTATCACGGGGGACTTCCCCGTAATAGCCCAGAGCCCCACAAATTCACGATCCGTCCATGGTACTATGGCATCCCTGGGTGTCTTTGGTCTATACACCGAAGCATTATTAAATGAGTATAGGTTTCATCTGTACTAAAATTACAATTATTTGCTAATCATAGAAAAACAATAATAACTGAAGGTCGCCGAAAATGGGACAGGGCTAGTCGATAATAGGCCAAGCTAAGGTCGTCGCTAAATTCTTTAACGATGCAACTTTTTCAAACTACCCGCTAAATAACAATAATTAAAATAAATCAGTAGGTCTTTTTAGGTCTCATATTCCTATATCTGATGTATGATAATTTGTCAATCTAATAGGCAAGTAGGTGATCAGCCTCCTGTGCCAGGAGCTAAGGTAACCCGGTTTCCTTGCGATGTTTTCCTTCACCGTTCGATCGAACGTTTAATACGCACATAGAAAGTCCATTGGTGCAAAGTCGGGGATGAGAGTTTACACGATGAAGCTAATATAATAATAATAATAATAATCATTTATTTGCAAGAATATGGTATAAAAATCTTATGGTTGTACAATCTTAACTCCGCATATTCTGCCACATATAATAGCGTGCAAATTTATCTTACATAATTAACAATTAGAATTTTACTATATTACAATCAAACCTTATGTGATTTTATAATCACATTATTTATTTTTTATATCCGGACAATCAGCCATATATAAATAGGCATGCAAATGTCATAAATTTTTGCTTTGTCATATAATAAAAACATTAACATAATGTCATGATAATACGTCAAGCTATTTATAATCAATTGTTGTCAAACTTATAGGCCAAATATTCGCCTACGCTATAAAAGCACCTTGACTTTAGAAACCCAATCAGAAGACAAGACTTCCCTTTGAAGACATTACATGACAGCGATCTATAACTTCTGGGAAGGTGATTAAATATTCTTATAGCCATGGCGTTACAATTTTTAGAATATAGCGCGGTGCAACATGCAGGCACCCGCAGCCGTGTTGGATCCCTCGGTATATATAAGCACGTTTCTTTGTATGTATTAAATAGTTTTGGATACTTCTTGACAGTCATAACTGCTTCCAAGATATACAAACTTGGTACTGTCAGAATACCGAGTTCGTGGAAAATTGGCCTACAGCTCATAAGAGGTCCAACGCCCATGATAGCCCTAATACATTTTTTCTGAGTAATAAAAACTTTACTCACATCTACCGAATTTCCCCATAAAAGGATACCATAGCGCAAAACTGAGGCAACATAGCCGTGGTAAGCAATAATTGCTGCGTGTTTTGAAGCTACTTTTGCGAGTTCGGCTCAAAGCAAAGACAAATTTATTAAGGTGCGTGCATATCGTTAAAATATGTTGTTTCCAGTTAAGATTTTGGTCTAGTGTTATGCCTAGAAACTTGGTTGAAACAACTTCTTCAATTGACTTGTTTTTATAATTGATTTTGAGGTTATTAGGTCTGCAATTATTATAGTTCCGAAATTGTATAAAATTGTTTTTTTTTACATTTATATTTAAATTATTAATTTCCAACCATTCCGTGACATTCTTTATTGTTTCATTCAATAATGATTCGTGGTTACGCGTAGTATCATTCGACACAACCACTGAGATATCATCCGCGTAAAGAATGCATTTATTAGTAACCAAATTTGGTAAATCATTAATGTACAGAAGAAACAGCAATGGGCCCAGTATGCTCCCTTGAGGAACGCCTTTATTGCAATCTATAGCCACAGACTTGTACCCCCTTTCAATATGTTTAGGAGATGAAGTATGTGTGATTTCAACATATTGTTTACGACCGGTTAGGTAACTTTCCAGCCAATTTAAAGGCAATCCTCGGATTCCATAAAGTCTACACTTTTGAAGAAGAATGTTGTAGTCTACGCAATCAAAAGCTTGGCTCATGTCAAAAAAAACTACAGATACCTGCTTGCGCCTATCGATATGTTCTACAATTGCCTTAACTAAAGAGAAAGCTGCTAGGATAGTATTTTTACCTCTTTGAAAACCGTACTGTTCATCATTTATAACATTGAATTTGCCTAAAAAAGAGCTCAACCTATTGTGCATAAGTTTTTCCAACACTTTAGCTAAAGTTGGTATTAAAGTTATAGGTCTGTAGTTTCTAATATCCTCTGTATTACCCTTTTTAAACATAGGTTTAACTATTGATAATTTTAAAGAACTGGGAAAAATACCCTGTGTGAAAGATAAATTTATGAGATGGGTAAGGATACTTGCTAGTTGTTGTGAAGAGAATTTTAACACTTCTGTTGTTATTGAGTCATAACCTGCTGCTTTAGTATTATTAAGATTATTTATAGCTTTGAAAACTTCGTCACATGAACAAGGAGTTAGAAATAAGGATGGGTTTACAGAATGAACGTTTTGAAGATTAGTGCTAGGTTTCTTAATTGTTTCATTATTTATGTAATAGTTGTTAAATAAATTCGCTATTTCATTTGGATCAGATATCAATTGATTATTATCATTTAAGATTTTATTAGCAATTATAGGACTTCGATTCTGGTCTAGTTGGTCTTTTATAATATGCCAAGTTGCACGAGATTTATTTTTTGCGTTTTGTAGATACGCGAAATGTGTGTATTTTTTCGATGCTACAACGCATTTTTTGAGATAATTGTTATATTTTTTGTATGCTTGTTTATTTTCATTTGTTTTCGTTTTAAAATATTTAAAAGTAAGTTGTCTCTTACGCCTACTAGAGATTCTAAGCCCTGGTGTGATCCACTTGGGTGTTGTCATTTTATTGTTAACATTAACTTTAATAACTGGAAAGCAGAGATAAAAAAATAATGATAAATTGTCATGAAAAATTTGGAAAGCTTTATCGCAAGAACTTTCTTCATATACCTCGCTCCAGGACAAATTTGAAAGGCATTCCCGAAACTTTTCCATGTTTTCAGAGCAGTAGTCTCTTCTAAATATACACCACTTTAAGATAATTGGCTTTGTTTTTGTGACGGGAAACCTTAATATTTGGCACGTATCATGATCTGACATATATAAACGGAGTGTTTCGCCTTTAGCACCCTTAATATTACTCAATATATGGTCAATACAAGATAAATTTCTAGTCGGTTCATTAATAAAGTGTTTCAAGTTATAATTTGATAGAATGTCATTGTAATTCATAGTTATATTGTTTATCTTTAAAATGTCTATATTCATGTCACCACATAAAATAATTCTCTGTTTTTATTTTTTTATTTATGCAAAAGGGTTTGAAATATATTAAAAAAGCTATATACGTCAGAATCGGGCGTTCTGTAAATACAAATTATTATGCATTGAATTGCGGGTACTATTGTGCCACAACATTCAAATGTTTTTTCTATTGATATGTCGTTGCAAAAGCTAAGCGGCGAGATATCGAGAGATTTATCTATGAAAATACATACCCCGCCACGCTTTTTATTTAGCCGACTAAACGATGAGGCTAACTTAAAATTCTTCAGATTCATGTTACTTTCATCGCCTCTTCTTACAAAAGTTTCAGAAAAACATAAAATTTTAGGAGAAGTATTTTTAGTGTACCTGATTTCGCTAAGATTTAGTTCAATAGAATCTAGTTTGCTAAGAAGTCCTGCTATATTTTGGTGTAATAAGTAAGAGCTGCTTATTAGGTCATTTCGTGAGGAACTTAAGTCTTCATTAAAAAATCTCTATTGTTTACATGTGAGTTCTGGCTAGGTCTTATCACGGGAAAATAATACGGTATGGTACCCTTTCTAGGAATGTCACCACGATTACATAGTTTTTTTACATTTTTTTTCTTGAAAGTCAAAAATTTTTTAGTATAGTAATCATAGGCAAATATATAGTTTAACTTTTTACATATACTTGTAAGATATTGCCTTTTATAAGTACCACGTTCAATATCTAAATATGAACAATTTTTAGAACTATTACATATCATTTTCAACATATTATTAAGTAATTTTTCATTAAGAAATCTATTGGTACAGACATTTAATAAAATTATTTTGCTGTTTTTGATAATTTTTAGTAAAGCGCATAGTTCTATAAATATTTGGTATGGATTGGTATCATTTTCACCTAGGCATAGTATCAGGTAATTTCCCACACAGTCCTCCAAACCGTCAACTGTACTTAAGAGATCACACGTTTTTGCATTGGGTTTAATGATGGAGTTAATTTCAAAGCGTCCGTATTGTGTATTAAATCTCGATCGTATAAGCTCCGAGGCAAGTCCTCGGCATTGTTGACTGCCTATTATATGTATCTTGAATTTTGTGTTAGGCAGTTGGTCAGCTATTGGATAGCTAGCGCCATCTCTCGAGGACGGTAAACATTCTTTAGGTTTTATAAAATTGCTCCTAGAATCAGCGTTAAGAACCTCCATCGAGGTTTCTAATAATTCCAAGTTGCCACAACTTGCATTTAATTTTTGTTTCTTCTTTATTTTCCTACCTTGTTTTTTCCTCTGTTTTTTGCTTCCTGACAATGTGTTGGGAGTAGTAATATTGTAAGGTGTAGAATATTTCTTTTTAAGATTATTTATGGTTTCTTTTTGTTTTGAAATTTCAATATTTTTCATGGAATTTTCAAGTGATAGGTTTCCAATTCTTTGGTGCGCTAAATCCAATTCTGATTTTAATTGATTTATTTTCTCCAATAATTCGGAATATTCGTATACATTTCTTGTAGAAATGTCGGGTAAGCTTCTAACTTCATAACAGTCATAGTTCGATTGAGTTGAGGTAGATGAAATATTAAGGGATTCAATGGATCTTCCCTTTTTTCTTCTTATTGTAACGTAGGCATCCTCCATTGTGAGAAAAAATAAAAAAAAATAAAAAATAAAAAATAATAGTAAAGACGAACAATTTTATAGCCGTCGTGATTTGAACCGGGACGTTTCAAGCTTTATGTTAATTTCTTGACAAGTAGATAACACAATTAGCCAACTGGACTATTTCAAAAATTGTGAAATTAAGCGATATATTTCAATTTGTATAGATTGCTTAGAAAATCCGTTACAATTCAATTGAAGTGGGTCACCTTGGAGAACAAAGGATTCACTTAACTTATACGTTTCTTCACTTTTATCATCGGTCACTAGTTTATAGCACTTTACTGGTAAGTTTGTCACATTATAAGTTTGTAGATTGAGTAAGAATTGTATTTCCAAGCAAAAATATAATTTTATATGAAATGTTAGGGGCAAAAAAATTTTATTGTTATTATTGTCACTGTTTCATAAAAAAGACTTGTATAACATTACCACCACAAAGATAACTTTAAGAAACCTCACTGAGTTACTTTTTATTTGAAATAACGCGATTAAACTATTAGTAAACAATAAAATACACGGAGCTATTGTTTACACGCCAGCGCCACCAATATAATAAAAAAAATCTGAAACACTAATGAATCATATCGTTTTTAATTTTTATTGCAGTTAAATACTTACCAGTAACAATTTGTTCACGTGGCGACATTCTGTAATTCCTCTTAAAGAAGTAATCTCCCAGAGCCCGGGACAACGCCAGATTTCCATTAACCCTATTAAGTTGAACCCAACCACCCCCGGCCGTTATCCTCTCTAGTTCTTCCTTGTTAGTCGGCTTGTGATCGAACGATAATGGTTCTACCTGTGGGATTAAATTATTCGTTCAAGATTACCTAAGCACAATAGGGCAGTGGGGGGTTGATTTTATTATTTATGATGATATTGAGCGTTCAAGTATTACGTCATGCAATTTTTGGAGATTATTGAAACCCCCTCCCCCCACCCGTGTAACGCGCCGTAATGTTTTTCTGTACCCAAGTATAGTAAAACGTTTCGTGACCACCTCGTGACTCTTTATACCCTAAAAGTTACCATTATGTGGTGTAAAGTTCTGAAAAGTCAAAAATAATATTAACAATAATGCGTAATTCAATCCCCGCCCCGCACCGTGACGTTTTACAAAAGGAAAATTTTACCACTCTGAAAGCTTCAAAAATTTTAATCTGACACATTCTATGTTGGCTCTGCGTTGGTCGGTGAAGGTTTAAAAATATAAAACTATTTAAAATCACTCTATTGATATTATTATTAAAAATACCCGTTATTTTAAATAATTTAAAAAAATTAAATCGACACAAACATACCGCTCCTCCCACACTCGCGACAGCCCTAGAGTCTCCAACATTAGCGCAATAAACTGTATTATCCTTTATCAAAACGACAACTGCAGTACTCCCAGCTGCTTTTTCTTGCATATTTTCCTCCAACATCGCCTGATCCAGGTCTAGAAAAGCCTGAAAGGTGGAATTAATATATATTTAATTAAATTTCTTATGCTTTGAGGATATCAAAATAAAATAGACCATACAATCACGGCGCACTAAGCACTCACCGGCGCTAACGATTGGGTATTATACGCTTGGTGTAAAACGCAAAACATAGGGACACAATCAATATTTAATTTTATTTATAAAAAAATATTAAATTGAGACACAGTTTACTAGCGTCTCTCTCTACTAGTAGGTATGTACATTTAACTTAAAAGGAAATATACAATACAAAATAAACTAAATATAATAATTAAATATTTTCAACATTACGTTGGAGGAAATATTTAGATTATTATATTTAGATCTTTAAACTTAAGTTGTGATTAAACAAATTTCAATACCGTAAAGTATATTTTAATTCAACATTTGACAGGTAGGGTTACATGTCAATTGTCAAATCAGACGGTTGTGGTACAAACAAAATTTATTAAAATTAAAATAAAATTATAACTAATTGGAATAGATATCAAATTTCTATATTCGTATTTCAAAATTATGATTTCCTATATTTATTGAATGTAAAGCTATTTGTGTAATAGAATATGTTTTGGGGTTTGACTGAACTAATTCAAAAAGATCTTTCAACCTCCGAGAAATCGTCCTTGCTAACTGAAATATCACACTAGTTAAAATTAGCATAAACTTGATGCGTACTGTTGTGTCACCTTGACTCACAAGTTTTATGCATGCAACATTTAATATTCCTTTGCACCTTAGTTTTTTACATTTATAATGTAGGTCAGTGTAAAAGCAAGTGTGTAAATTTATTCACCAGTATAATACTCGAAACAGAAATCTAAGTGTACGGTCAACCACGCTCCAGAAGATAAACCACTCCTTATATGGCAATTGTATTCGTTTTTACAACTCCCAATCGAAACTAGAGAATGATCAATGAATAAATTCAAAACTCTTGTTAAACATTAATTAATCAATAAAGCTTTTTATAAATTTGACGATTATTTAAATGATCCTAATCCTTGGGATTGTATGACTCAAAAATTGGAGACTAAAAAGAGTGGCGAAGAGTTTTTTGCAAGTTCTTCTTGGCCGCTCTACGCCCTTGACTTGCGAACTAGTAGTAAATGTAAATTTAGAATCAATTTAACATTTTTTTCTGTTGACGTTCATAAGTGTTCTTGGTTACCTAAATGAATAGTTATTTTGAGTTTGAATAAGTAGAAGTATCCACAATTATATCACAAATCATGATCTTTCATTGTGTACATTCCTTCTAAGTAACAACAGTCAAAGTTACAGTGGTATTTAATTATTAACCACATATATTTGAAGTTGGTTAATTTGATTACCTGTTTCATTGCCTCTTCAATATTCCCCAAATGATACTCCGGCCGCGCTGTGACAAATTTGTGAAGATGTTTCCCAGCGTATTCTGCTACATTAGCACCTGCAATTAAATGGTCACACTCAATAATGAGAATAGGCACGGTCAAAGGCTTTATAATGAAATTCAGTGGCATTTTTATTTGTAGCCATGCATTGAACCTGAATCTTTAAGAGTTAAAAAATATGTTGCCATTCCTTCATCGGAATCACCTCCTCCAGTAAAATCCCAAAACTGGGTGGGTATGGACAGACACATTACTGACACATTCTTATCATAATTTTTTTATAGACAGGAATGTACATTAATCAACAGCAATAGATTATGATTGGGAACAGATTAATCAACATAGATAAAAAAAATATATTGCATAAAGCATTGTGCAAGTTAAAAAATTGCTAATTGTATCAATCATGTTTGCAACATGGTACTTGAGATAGCAAAGGCCATTGATCTCAGAACTTTGAAAATATGAGTGTTGTTTAAAATCATAATATTTTTGTTTCCTTTTTAATTTTATTTCATTAATGTAATATACTCAGCTTTAACATATATGAACAATGTGATTAACCCATAAATAGTAAAATGACTTTAATAATATCTTGTGTTACAAAACTAGTATAAATTGTTGCATCAATTTTTTTTACAAATATATAATAATTATTCAATTATTATATCTAAATTTATGAATAATCAACAAATCTTCCTTGGTTTTGTTTTAATTTTTTTACAGAAATGAAGGCATTAAAGCTAATTAAAATACCTCCATGTCCATCATAAACAGCAAAGAAAGCTGTTCCGGGATCATCAGGTAGTGAAAGAATATGTGTGTGTGAATCATCCATTGATACACGCCATCCTTGCATACAAGAAGAACCAACCAGGAACCGTGAATCCTGGCATGTTGACGACTGCTTGTCTGTTACAGGTTCTGAAAGGGTTTGACCCATTACTCTGAAAAATAAAATTTCTTTATTTAAAACTCTCTTGGAACCACTAATCGATCATAATCTTTATCTATTAAATCTGGCTATGATGGTATTAATTCTCTTGTATATGTTGTTAGATTATATTATACCATATAGATGTTATAATAGAAGGTATAGACCTACACCTTCACCTTCTAAGTTTTAACTTTAATGGTCATTTTAGCACCTAGTTAGCTCATCACTATTATTTATGAGTATAATACACCAAAATAAATATACACTCAGCAAAGATGATGTCATAGCATACTAACGCTATTGCATCTAAGCCTATAATTTATATACTGCTGAAATTGAATCGCCTTAGTTTTTTACCACCTCTCTAGACTGAACAAAATATCAATATTATACAATTATTTATTTATGAATGTAGAGATTACAATATCATTATCATTCATTTTCTTATCGGAAACAACTTACGTAGTACTTGATGCGAGATGTTTTACTTATTGTAATCCGATGAAGAATGATCACTATTACTTTATTATAGTTGATAATCAAATTATTAAATTAAAATGTTTAATGCGTAAATAACTAAATAATAACACAAAACTCAACTCGCCTGCCGATAATCATCAATGAAAACAAATTTTAAGGTCGAAACTGAAAAGTCAGAGCTATCGCTGTCAAATATGTATTGACATTGGACAATTGACTGCTCAGTTGGAATACAGCAATTCACCAATAATATGTAACGTAATAATATACTTAGGGCGCAAAATTTTGCTCTGGACCGCTGTTTTTTATTTAACTTTTGAACTCTGGAGTTCCATAATTTTTGTATATATCATGAGGCAAACGGGCAGGAGGCTTACCTAATGTTAAGGGATACCGCCGGGTATACACTCATATTGCCAGAGGGATCGTGTGTTTCCGGCTTTTTATGAATTGGTATCTACACTCCTTTCCCTATCTAGAACTAATACTAAAGTATATAATTATAGTATCAGGCGGTTAATGGCAACATTTAAAATCACGGATAATACTGTTTTATATTTAATTAAAGTATGTTCTACTATATCATACTAATGTCATTTTGCAGAATTTCAGGTAATCTACAAACAATATTCTGAATACACAATAATACTACTTGCCTTAGAATTTTTAATGCGGGTATAGGATACATCTTTCATTTATTAGTTATTAAAACAGCATAGATCAAGTTTAATATTTGCTACTAAAAAAATATCTATAAAAACATAAATTAATGTAACTAAACGGAAATTTTCGAATTAATTCAGTCTCATATCACATTTTTACAGCTGACAGTTCAATGTCATACATTTTTGTGTGAAAAAAATAAAATAATGAGGTTACATTACAATAAAACGTATTAGTCCAAACAACTCTGAACCATTATGCCATCCAATAAGTATCTTGCATAATTATTAAATCGTGCTACTCTAAAACCTGAGATCATGCGTTCAAATCTGGGCTCTGCAACAATGGATTCATCTTTTTATATGAGCAATTAACATTAATTGTAGTAGGGGAGCCCACGATGCTAAATGAGGAATTATTCAAGAGTCATAGAGATATATTGGGTTGCGAAGATTAGATAGTAATAAGAAAAAAATTTTATATAAAGGTAACACCCAACATCCTTTCATTGGTGAGGGGCTCCCCCCCTTTATATATAGTAACAATCGATAAATTAAAAAAAAACTATTTTTTAAAGTGAATGTCACATCTCTTATAACCAATAGAAAAGTAGAAAATAGCAGATTGTTTACAAATTTCAATACATTAGACAATTTTTTTTTTTTTAAACTTAGACGCGTTTCCGGCAGCAAAAATCACTTAGAGGTGTTCTAATGAAGGTCCCCCGAGACTCCTGAAATTAGAAACCACATATTACCTACGTTTTTTTTACAACTTTGCGGCCCTCCCCTTTCTTTACGTTACTTGCAAATTGTCAGATTAGGGAAATATACACTTCTTGGCATATACATAATATTTTGTAACACTATGATGCTCGAATTAGCTTTGCCTAAATTATTTAAATAAAATGGCGGTCGAGAAACGTGGTGCTGCTATTTCTGAAAATCAGAATACCTTGGTTGGTATGTCATGTTGTCAACAGGTTTTAGAGTTGTCTTGTTAACTGTCAATGTCGTAGACAAAAGACTCATATCAGAATGTGTGAGAAGAGAAGTGAGAACTGAGAACTGACAACTGAGATGTCAAAACATTTAGAAAATCGAGATTATCAGAGTGAAGTGTACGCAAATTTTGTATACAAAAAACTTTTCTTAACTTCTGTAATTCTATAAAATAATAATGAAAAAATGGTGGAACTGGATTTTGACTTTTGCTTTATTGTGTTTATTGTTCGTGGCTATACCGCTTTCCTACTCAGGAGGTAGGAGTAAAGAAGAATTACGTCCAATGTTTGAAGAATATGTAAAAAAATACAATAAAAGCTATTTTAATAACTCGGCGGAATACGAAACCAGATTCGAACATTTTGTGGTAAGTTTTTCTTCTATGAAAAATGTATTTTTAACTTTTTGTCATTTTTATTCGCGCTAGTAATTATGTTAATTTAACTGTCGTGTAGGCTATAATTATAATTCCAAGGAGATATTTTATCTTCAGTATCAATAAAACATAAATGTAAAAATAAAATGTATTTTAAAATTGTACCTCCATTATCTCTATCAATAAGTTTTTATTGATGAGTATTTTGTTTAAAAAATGTCAAGAAGTAATTAGTTAATTGCTTAGCATTTTGTATATTTATAATCAGAATTATTTTCCATACGCTGCATTTCTTATTTATAACAAAACTTTCTACCTTTTCTACTTACTTTAGTTTATACTTACATAAACATGTTTTTTTTTATATTATTATTCTGGTTTTCAGGCTTCAGTTCAGGAAATAGATGAACTTAATTCAAGATCCAGAGGGCCAGAGCAGTACCGTGCAAAGTATGGCCTAACTCATCTCTCAGATATGTCTAAAATAGAGTTTCAAGAGCTCCATCTTGCAGATGAACAACCTCATAGGAGAAAAGATTCTCATAGATCTAGAAAGCCATTGTTAACTATGTCAAATCTGGACGATAAAGATAAATATGAAACAGAAAAAGATAAAAGTGCTCCCATATCATCACATGATAATATCTATATTATTATAAGAAAGGAGAGGGCAGCTGCCTCGCTTCCTCTTCAGATTGATTGGTAAGTAAGTAGTTTTATATGCCTTTTATCACATAAATACAGTATAGAAATCAATTTAAGAGCTTGGAAATAGAAATTATCATTTCTTTTTGTTTAAGTTGCATTGTCTATAGTAGTCCATTCCCAACTAAGGGTCAAACTCTGGCTAAGCACCAATTTTTTCCCACATTTATCACAATCTTGTACTGTTAAATTGTCATGTCTTAGGGTAAATAGACAGCTCGAACTTCAGCTTCAGATTGTTGTAGCGTAATTTAATATCAATAATAACATTGCAATATTGTATTACAGTTGTGTACGGCCGTGGCTCTATTATATCTCTCTGATTCCGGAAATGTAATATGTTACCAATACTATGATTGTATATGAGACTGTATATTGCGTATGGCAAACATCAGCACTCCGTGGACTTATTTTGAACTAAACATCGTCCAAATAGAAGTCCTCTAGTATTATGTAAATTGTTGAAAGTTCAATGCGTTTGATTACATGACAAAACTCTCTTAAAGTTCTTGTCAAGACCACTGATGATATTTTTGAGAAACTGGAACCTATAATTTTGATCATTTTCAATAAAAAGTAATTATTTTTGTTTACCGACCTTTATAAACAAACAGCGATAACGATTCAAGCGCTAAGAATAGTTTTATAAATTTTGATATAACATAAATAACATAATATATATATATACAATACCCTCCAGATTCGGTAACTTCGTGGTATTAGATTTCACGGGCTATAATTACTTTTATTCCCCATTTACAATGTTCACATTAAAAAAAAGTTCACTTTGATTGGCACAGTAACAAACTGAATATATTATTTATGCTTCAAACAGCACATGTTAAAATGAGGACAATCAAACACTTAAGTAATTACTTTTTTTTGTAACGCATGTAACGCGCCGTAACGTTTTGCTGTACCCAAGTATAGTAAAAAGTTGCGTGACCACCTAGTGACTCTGTATACCTAAAAGCTACCATTATGTGGTGTAAAGTACTCGAAAGTCAAAAATAATATTAACAATAACGGGTAATTCCGCCCCACATCGTAACGTTTTACAAAAGGACCCCCCCAATTCGTTACGTAATACGATATAAAAAATGAAAATGACATGAGTGCTTAAAAACGTGCAGCGATAGCCAGATCCATGCAACGTCCTTACATTCGAGAAGTCCTCGATATACACAAATATGTACACAAATCCCGAGGGAACTTTTTGTATTGAAGAAGTCGCATGGGCCGCATATGAATAATAAAAAATAACAGTGGCGTTACAACCATTTTAGGTTTGGGCCTCAGATTTCTGTATCTGTTTCATGATTATTTGGCAAGTAGGTTAAATGTGTCTCAGACAGAAAGTCCATTTGTGCACAGCCTGGGATGAACCTACGACCACTAGCAGCCACTAGGCCAACACTCGCATATGACTTATGATCATTCTTAAGCGCAATACACATTGAGCCCGCCGGGCCGCCGCCGCCAGTTTCTCGTACATATGTTGGCAACTGTTTTGTCGGCGGTTTTTTGTGTTTTTTTTAAAAAAAAAAAAGGAGGGGGTGTGGGGTAAAAAATATAGACGAAAATTTGGACATTTACCCATGTTAAAAGAAAAGAAGATTAGGATGGACGGCAATTTCATTGCTTGCCACTAACCAAAAAAAAAAAAAAAAAAAAAAAAAAAAAAAAAAAAAAAAAAAAAAAAAAAAAAAAAAACCCAAAACCGCCGCCCCCCCAAACAAAAAAAAAGCGGGCAGGGGGAGCTGGAGAGAAAAAAAAAAAGGGTTGGGAAAGCCGGCCTCTTTTTAAATTTGCCAAAAGGGGGGGGGGGGGGCCGAAAACCCCCCAAAACCCCCCCCCCCCCCCCCCCCCCCCCCGCCCAATTTGAAAAAATTGCCCGCCCCCCGGGGGACCCCAAAAAAACGGAAAAAACCCCCGCACACCCCACCGGGCGCCCCCAACCAACCGGCAACCCCCCCCGGCGGTGTCGCCGACAGGGAGGGGGGGGGGGGGGGAAGGGGGGGGGGGGGGCTGTTCCCGGGGGTAACAATAGGGGGGAGGGGCGCCTTTTGGGCCCGCGGGGCCGCCGACAAGTCGGAAAATTTGGTCGGCGGCATGTCGGCGGCTTGATATCAGTATGATGTTGGCGTACCCAAGCCACCACATGTCTGCGGGTAACACGCGCAGGCGCATGTTGCCGACATGATTCTTTTCATACAGGCCGCCGGACTTTGTCGGCGGCCCGGCGGGCTCATTGTGTATTGCGCTTTATGTGTCAATATTAATGACATAACATACTTTGCTATTTTTATTAAAAGACGCGATATGAGAATTAATAAAGAGCAATTGATAAGTATAAAATGCTTTTATTTTTATTGAAGGTCGTTAACCTTTGTCGATCAGTATTGACGCACAATGCGACATTTATTTTTTAGTACTCTTGACTGTACCCATCTTTAAATTATCTTATTTATCAATAAGCTTGTTTTTGAATATATTGTATTATCCATTGATAAAGTGCATCCAACATTCTCGAAATATACACTAGAACTTTCATTTGTATAAGTTATTTTAAGCTTTACTGGTTAGGTTATTTTTTATTGCTGAACTTGTTTCAATAATACAAGTGCCCCATTTAATCAAAGCTGCAAACACTGCCTTAAAATACGCTTAGTTGTGGAACGACGTCGAGGTGATACGGATGGAATTTCGTATTCTGCCTCGACGTCCGATGATGAAACTCTGTTAGAAGTGTTCTATTTTTTTTACTCACAGTTTACCACTTAATACTAACGCGCACTAACATTATTCACTAGGTCAAATGGTTTATAAAAAAAAAGAAACAGAAGAATCCGTTTCATGGGTTAAACCCATTGTTGTGGATTATTACTATTATTAAAGGCCTAGGCACTGTTTGCAGTATGAAATTAATAATAAAGTAAGTTACCTAAGGCCGCATATTACTTCCAAGAACAGTTTGTACGATTAGGATGGAAATGAATGCGCTCTGTTAATAATGGGATTATTATTTTAGTCATTTGCGTCATACAACTGGTTTCGCATTTTGCTAGTTGTCGTTAAAAGCAATTTTTTATGATTTAATTAATTTTTAAAATAAATAAACTTTTAAAATCTATAAATGAAATAAGTATTAGGTCCTTATATATGAAATTGGCGTATTTCGTACTGGCCACTTTAATCACGATGTTCTCCTCTTTGGTAAGGAATTCCAAATTCAAATTTGTACAGCTATTTACTCATGTGTTTGTGCTTCGATGACCGTCATTCATTTGTTTTTTTCTTCTGTTTTTTTCTGTTTGCGTCACTCATTTTACAAAATGGAAAACTTAAAGTATCGCATTATTTACGAGTATGAGTTCCGCCGTGGCACTAGTGCTGCGGAAACGACTCGAAGGGTGAATGATGTGTATGGCGGTCATGTTGCAAAAGAAAACACAGTTCGTTTTTGATTCCAACGTTTTCGTTCTGGAAATTTCGACCTGCAGAACAAGCCCCGTGGACGGCCTAAGACCCAAGTTGATAATGAAGTATTGAAGGCTATTGTGCAAGCGGATCCATCGCAATCCACGTCCGAGTTAGCTGCAGGCTGCGGTGTTGAAGCAAATTGGGAAGATTAAAAAGCTTGAAAGATAGGTACCTCACGAATTGACTGAAGCAAACCGGCAAACGCGCGTCGACTGCTGCGTTACATTACTGAACCGGCACAATAATGAAGGTATTTTAAAGCGAATCATCATTACCTGTGATGAAAAATGGATTCTTTACGATAATCGGAAGCGCTCAGCGCAGTGGTTGGATCCTGGCCAGCCAGCCAAAACCTGCCCCAAGCGAAAATTAACCCCAAAAAAGTTACTTGTAAGCGTTTGGTGGACTAGTGCCGGTATTGTTCATTGCAGTTTTCTCAAATCTGGCCAGACTATTACGGCTGATGTCTATTGTCAGCAATTGCAAACCATGATGGAAAAGCCAGCGGCTAAACAACCTAGGCTGGTCAATCGCTCCACGCCACTGCTACTTCACGACAACGCTAGACCACACACTGCACAACAGGCGGCTACCAAATTAGAAGAGTGGTCACGGTGACCACGCACGCAACTTTAATCCGGTTAAAAAGTTTTTTCTTTAAATGTGTAAAGGTTATGTCAATAAAATACAGTTTTTATTAAGTTATATAATATATTATGGTCAGTACCCTTCGTCAATATGGCTTAGGGTACAACAAACCTTTCCATACAGCCAATCAATTATGTGATTAACGTATTTATAAAAGCATACAATTTTATGTTCTTGAGTTTAAATTTAACCATGACGGTAAATAATATCCTATTTCTGGTGTTATTTTTCTTTAAAAACTTGAAGGTTTTTGGAACAGACTCGTGAATGTTGTCTTATTAATTATTTTCCTGGTATAAAAACTAATTAAACAATATATAAATTTATTGTAGTTCGAGGTAATAATAATATGTAAGAGCAGTGTTGGCTTAGTGGCTTCAGCGTGCGACTCTCATACCCGAGGTCGCAGGTTCGATCCCCGGCTGTGCACCAATGGACTTTCTATGTGCGCATTTAACATTCGCTCGAACGGTGAAGGAAAACATCGTGGGGAAACCGACATGTCTTAGACTCAAAAAGTCGACGGCGTGTGTCAGGCACTGGAGGCTGATCACCTACTTGCCTGTTAGATTTAAAAACGATCATGTAACAGATTCAGAAATCTGAGGCCAAGAGGGACAACCTAAAGAGGTTGTAGCGTGTTTTTTTTAATAATAATATGTACATGTCTGCAGGCGGTCAAAGGGTGTCATTGGCGCCGTGAAGGACCAGGGGCTGTGTGGTGCATGCTGGGCCTTTAGTACCATCGGTGCTATGGAAGCAATGGCTGCTATTTCAACGGGAAAGTTTCAACCTCTTAGCGTGCAGGTAAGAAGAATGAATAGCAGGAATATTATGTTATATTCGATACAAAATCCACTCGAAAAGCCAAGTTATCCAAATACAGTCAAAACCGTTTACGACGACATCGTTTAGAACATACCGGTAATATTGAGCAAAATCAATGGTCCCGGCTGAATTCTATTGTATTAGGTTCTTAATAACAACGTCATCGGCTGTTACGACTATCGGTTTTTACGACCAAATATGAGTAGTCCCTTCGATGTCGTTATAACAGATTTTGACTGTGTAATATACTAATACTAGGTGACCCGGCAAACGTTTGTATTGCAAAAAATTTTTTTGGTTCTATAAAAATAACTATCTACAATAATAAAAAATAGGGGTTGATCGTAGAGGGGTGAAAATTATATATTTTTTATTATTATTAGGGGGTTATATAAGGGGTTAGAAAGATAGATAGTAGGCGTTTCTCAGACTTTCTGAATATGCATAAAAAATTTCATAAGAATCGGTCGAGCCGTTTCGGAGGAGTATGGAAACGAACATTGCCACTCGAGAATTTTATATACATAGAGATTATCAAACTCAAAACGACTTTTTTTATATAACCACGAGCAAACGAACAGGAGGCTTATCTGATGTTAAGTGATGCCGCCCATGGACACTCAATGCCAGAGGGCTCGCGAGTGCGTTGCCGGCCTTTTAAGAATTGGTACGCTCTTTTCTTGAAGAACCCTAAGTCGGAAATACCTCATTGGGCAGCTGGTTTAACGCTCAGTTGTGGAACGGCGAACGTCGAGGTGATACGGGTGGAATTTCGCCTTGACGTCCGATGATGACACTGGACAGATGGGCTATCCCTGAGTAATAATAATGCAGTGGCATAACCATTTAGGGGCTTGGCTGAAGATCGCATCCATTTCTTTGGTCATTTTTATTTTTATAGATAACTAGGTCTTCTGGCCTGAGACATGTAGGCTTTTGGGTTTTAAGACTGGTTTTTTTCATGACGCATTCACCGTAGAATAAAGTGTTAACTGCGTACATTGTATAAAAAATCTATAATGCGCTTAATACACTAGACTAACATATATCTTTTATCTTTCTCGTTAAATTTATATATCCGTTAAAGATATATTCGGTAGTGTTTCATTGAAAAATCGTCACGTTCCTAATCCGCATTAGGCCCAAATAACTTTCGCCATCGTAGTATATCACTTGCTAAAATAAGTTATTATGAGATTAAGTTTTTTTTTCTTTTTAAAAATTGTAATATTTTTGGTAAATTTTATTTGCGCTGTTATTGTCATATATTGCATAATATTACATTGTAACTTTCACTTTAAAAGGTGAAGGTGAAATTTGCTATACGTTTGAAGGTATATAATGTATATTTAATGAGCTTCTTAATAGGTTATCTTATCAACGTAATACAAGTCATCATCATCGTCAATACATCAATAATCATCTTTATGAATACATATAATTGATAATAATAATAGCCTGTATTTCTGTAAAATATTTATCCTAGTACATAAAAATGTGATGTCCTATTTAATTAATTAACACTAATACTCTATTTATTAGCTCTTCTCGGTGTCTAGCTTTACGTAGCCATATAGGGCCAGCTGCTCTACTTCTGTCATCTTTCCATCATACATATAATTAAGAATGGGGGGGGGGGGGGGGGGGGGGGGGGGGGGGGGGGGGGCGCGGGGGGGGGGGCGCGCCCCGGGGGGGGGGGGGGGGGGGGGGGGGGCGGGGGGGGGCCCCCGCCCCCCGCGGGGGGGGGGGGGGGGGGGGGGGGGGGGGGGGGGGGGGGGGGGGGGGGGGCCCGGGGGGGGGGGGGGGGGGGGGGGGGGCCCCGGGGGGGGGCGGGGGGGGGGGGGGGGGGGGCGGGGGGGGGGGGGGGGGGGGCGCGGGCCCGCCGGGCCGCGGGGGGGGGGGGGGGGGGGGGGGGGGGGGGGGGGGGGGGGGGGGGGGGGGGGGGGGGGGGGGGGGGGGGGGGCCCCGGGGGGGGGGGGGGGGGGGGGGGGGGGGGGGGGGGGGGGGGGGGGGGGGGGGGGGGGGGGGGGGGGGGGGGGGGGGGGGGGGGGGGGGGGGGGGAGGGGGGGGGGGGGGGGGGGCGGCGGGGGGGGGGGGGGGGGGGGGGGGGGGGGGGGGGGGGGGGGCCCCCCCCCCCCCCCCCCCCCCCCCCCCCCCCCCCCCCCCCCCGGCCCCGGGGCGGGGCCCCCCCCCGGGCCGGGGGGGGCCCCGGCGGGGGGGGGGGGGGGGGGGGGGGGGGGGGGGGGGGGGGGGGGGGGGGGGGGGGGGGGGGGGGGGGGGCGGCGCCCCCCCCCCCCCCCCCCCCCCCCCCCCCCCCGCGGGGCCCGGCCCCCCCCGGGGGGGGGGGGGGGGGGGGGGGGGGGGGGGGGGGGGGGGGGGGGGGGGGGGGGGGGGGGGGGGGGGGGGGGGGGGGGGCCCCGCGCGCCGCCGCGGGGGCCCCCGCCCCCCCCCCCCCGCGGTCGGGGGGGGTGGGTTCCGGGGGGGGGGGGGGGGGCCGGGCGGGGGCGGGGGGGGGGGGGGGGGGGGGGGGGGGGGGGGGGGGGGGGGGGGGGGGGGGGGGGGCGGCGGGGGGGGGGCCGCCGGGGGGGGGGGGGGAGGGGGGGGGGGGGGGGGGGGGGGGGGGGGGGGGGGGGGGGGGGGGGGGGGGGGGGGCGGCCGCGGGGGGGGGGGGGGGGGGGGGGGGGGGGGGCGGGGGGGGGGGGGGGGGGGGGGAGGGGGGGGGGGGGGGGGGGGGGGGGGGGGGGGGGGAGGGGGGGGGGGGGGGGGGGGGGGGGGGGGGGGGGGGGGGGGGGGGGGGGGGGGGGGGGGGGGCCGGGGGGGGGGGGGGGGGGGGGGGGGGGGGGGGGGGGGGGGGGGGGGGGGGGGGGGGGGGGGGGGGGGGGGGGGGGGGGGGGGGGGGGGGGGGGGGGGGGGGGGGGGGGGGGGGGGGGGGGGGGGGGGGGGGGGGGGGGGGGGGGGGGGGGGGGGGGGGGGGGGGGGGGGAAAGGGGGGAGGGGGGGGGGGGGGGGGGGGGGGGGGGGGGGGGGGGGGGGGGGGGGGGGTAAATTATATGTACTATGTAAGCTGTTTCAGCAACCTGATATATCTTTGCTAAGCTACAATCCTGGAATGTAAATGTTCGACTATGTCACTTTTGATGCGATAACATTTTTAATTCTAACACACAAATTGCAGTATTTAAAATTTTCTTAACCTGAATAGTAATAATAATTAAAAATTCATTTTGATTAAAACGAATTTAAAAAGTTAGGTACCTGTGGCAGTGTACCGTTAATGCTGGCAGCATTTCCTTGCTGTATTGCGATACTTATTCGTTGAGCGAGGAAAGCGGTACCTACTATCTACCAGGCGTAAACTTAAATCTGTAATTAGTGCCTGTGCACTTGAACCCCACAGCCCAAGAGTCTACTCCAAAGGGAAGAAAATCGAAGTTTGAGGAATGAAATGTAAAGTCACTTTTTAGTTAGATATTTGTTATGTAAGTTTCCTTTCGAAGAGTATGAATGTATCCATGTCCAAATACGAGACATATATAGTATATAAAGTAAACATACGAAAAGGTTGTATTGGTAAGTGTGTTAATTATGTAATTTCGGTGATACCTATAGCTAAAAATAACTCGGAAGAGTATTTTTGGAAATATGCAAAGATTGTTCCGCAAAGTCGAATACTACACATAATAAGTTTTATAATCATTATATAAAGATTGTAATCGGGACTGTTATTTAATTTTTGATGTCTTTAGAGTCCTCTGAATTATCAATGTCCTCAAGGGCAATGAACTTTCCAAAAATATACCTGCGTTGACATAAACCTGACTTCCAAAATGCGTACGAGTGATTGGGAATGATAAAGGATAACCGGAGAACGTTGATTTTAAAACTCATTTGCTAATTGGGGGTGTTATTGTCTAAAATTTTGTAGAGATTTCACGGGAGGTTGTTTCAGTATGTATGTGGTCGAGAAGCTTTTAGATTTCTTCTGTAGATTCGATCTTTCTAGTAGTTCTGTTCAGATGTAATTTTGTGGTCTTTATCTTAATTTATTTATAAAAGCTCGCCAACAGTGATACATTGGAACAAGAAAAATGAAATACTATTTTGAATGTGACAAGCACTTATGCAAACATAACATACACGAAGATGAAAAAAAACATAAAAATTAAACGAAAATTGATTTCAAAGTGTGAGGGAAGCAATGGATATTAGCTCGTTTATCAGAATGCTCAATCTGGACATCGGTGAGTTTTACCCCAGAACTCAATAACCTATCTCAAATCTCAATCCATTTTTGATTCCATTGAATCCATTCCAATTTATTTTAACAGATTTTAACTTACACCAGTTTACACCAATTGAAAACGCTGTTTGTTATGTTTTAAACATAGACTTGTATATTTTAATGTTATTTGTAAAGTTTTATTGGCTTTATTTGGTTTACATTGATTATCAAATATGAGTGAAAACTCGGTAAAATGGAACGACAAAGAGCATTTTATCCGTCGCCAAAAATGGATTGTCTTCGTAGGGCTTGGTTATTGGGATGCAGATAGGAGATCGATCGACTGTCACGGTCAGACTGTTTTCAATCTGAGGTTGTGGATTAATTATTGGGTTCGGGCGTTAACCAAACGCGTACTTCGTTTCCTAATTTATCTACTGACCAAGCCGTGTGTTTATAAGATCCAAAAACATAGACAGTCAAAATCTATTATAACGACATCGAAGGGACTACTCATATTTGGTCGTAAAAACCGATAGTTGTAACGTCGTTGTTATTGAACCTAATACAATATAATTCAGCCGGGACCTTTGATTTTAGTCAATAAAACCGTTCTAAACGATGTCGTCGTAAACGGTTTTGACTGTATACATATATATATTATACGTATGTCTTTACTAAGATATCATGCAACATTTCGATCTTTCTTTCTTTCTTTCGAGTGTGGGAGTCCTCCGTATGGTGCAATAGACACCTACCCACTAAAACCCAACAGCCCAATCTATTCACTATGGACGAGAGGCGCGGTAACAGTTTCCCTTAATCCGTGCCTCCGTCATAAGCGTCTGCTGTGTTAGCCCAACTTCTGAGTTGCCCAATTCGGTGTAATGGTCACAGTGAAGTACGTGCGTAATCGCGTCGTCTTCTTCCAGGCCTTTTTTGCAACATATCGATCTAGCCTAACTTAAGACTAATAAATAATTTAATTCTAACCTAATTTACTAATAATAATTTAACATAAGAAAGTGTCCAATAACACTATTAACAGTCTCTATTAAAGGGAAGACACTCTGTTCTTCTGTTAATTTTTTTTCACTCACTGCTTAGCATTTAATACTAACGTGCACTAACACTGAAACAAAGATTTAAATAATTATCTAAAGAAACCATAGGTAGGAATTAGAATTTATTGATAGTAATTCTGTACGAGCTTAATTTTCAGTATACATATTACAATTGTATCCGTTGTACTTGTAGTTAACCCTAGAAATGGTAAGCAGCTTAAATAGCTTGTGGTCATTCGATGCAAGTCGCACATTTTGTAGGTTTCGCATAGATTATGCGGTTCTTGTTTAAATGTTAGAACGTTGAACCGCAGAAGTAGGAAAAGGTTTATTTATATCAAACTCAAAATAATTTTATTCATAAAAAATAAATTAATAATTTAAAATTTATTATAAAGCGAAAATTTGGCCCGACATGGAGTACTGTTCTCACCTCTGGGCGGGAGCTCCCCAGAACCAGCTCCTTCCGCTTGACCGTATTCAACGAAGAGCGAATCGACGACCGTGCGTAGAGATGTGGGGTATCTCTGCATCTTCTACCGCATTTACCATGGACAGTGTTCAGAGGAGTTGTTCGGTCTAATACCAGCAGCTGAGTTTCATTATCGGACGTCAAGGCAAAATACTAAATACCATCCGTATCACCTCGACGTCCTTCGTTCCACAACTGAGCGTTTTCTAAGACAATTTTTTCAAGTTTTTGGAACCAGCTGCCCACTGAAGTATTTCCGAACCAATTCGACTTTGGGTCCTTCAAAAAAAAGCGTACCAATTCTAGAAAGGCCGGCATCGCACTTGCGAGCCTTCTGGAATGATTCCGATTAACATAGGTGGCCTGCCCGTTTGCCTCTTATTACATAAAAAAAATCATATAGGTAACCAAGAAACAGAAAACTTGTTTGGTAATATAAAATAACAAAATTAGGCTATTTAAAATTTCTAACTTCAGTCCGTAATATTGTTCAAGATTTAATTTAAATATAAAAGCTTAACGATAAATATTAGTTTACATACTTACTTAAATAACGACACTAACGCCTTTAGTACACCCCCTCTCCTCCCCCACCCTTTACCTTTTTTTTCTTTCCCCTCCCCCCAAAAAAAAAAAAAAAAAATAGGGGGGGGGGGGGAGGGGGGGCACCTACGCGTTCGTATGCGGCTGCGAGTCGTAGAGGAAGAAGAAAAAGAAAAAGGGGAAAAGGAAAAAAAAAAAGAAATGGGGAAAATGAATTATAAAAAAATTTGCTGAAATAATTGCGGTAGCGAAATATCTGCGGAACGTTAGTACACTGCAGAAGATTTTTTCGCAAGGAAATGTCATTGTAGCTTTATTTCTTACCATCTATCCCCGTCTTTTCTTGAATTTTAAAAAAAAAACCTCCATGCAGAACCACCTGCTTATTTGTATGCATTTTTGTAATTAACATGCCCAACCTAATATAATTCGGGATTTTTTTTTATTCTATTTTTTTTATATATTTTTTTTTTTAAAAAATATTATAATATTAAAAAATATAATAAAATTTAATATCCCAACAATAAATAAAAAAAATAAAAAAAAAAAAAAAAAAAAAAAAAAAAAAAAAAAAAAAAAAAAAAAAAAAAAAAAAAAATAAAATAAAAAAAAAAAAAAAAAAAAAATAAAATAATTTTATATAAAAGAAAAAAAAAAAAACAATAAATGGAAAAAAGGGTTGGGGGGGGGGGAGGGTGGGGGGGTGCCGGGGGGTCGGGCCCGGATTAATTTCGAATCAAAATTTACATAATAATTAACTAATATTTTCGGCTTCCATTGTAGCGAAATTCTGTCCTCACTGACAGAACGCGTGGTGAACGCATTGCGGATGCGAAACTCCGCTAGCGAAACGGCTGCGTCTGTGTAACAGCCATTTCGCAGCTTACTTTGGCGAAACAATAGCACGACAAGGACGCAATTATTTAATCTAGCTATATAATAGAGCGAGAACAAAACACATGCGAAACGTTGCCATACAACTTACAGTTTTTCGTCGTTTCGCTGCCGCATGCGATTGCGTAGTACACCAACGCAATCGCATGCGGCAGCGAAACTAAAGGCGTAAATTCATATCTCGTATATATATATATATAAGAAAAATGGTCTTCGTTTGAGGCTCCTTCACGCCTAAACCACTGTCGCCATCGTATCGACATGAAACTACTGCCATTCGCTGCGAAATTTTTCCTAGGTGGTTTATGGTTATTTATTTTTAAATTCTAACGTTCCTTCATTTTTTATTGCTGTTTTACTCTTATGAAAATTTATACATACGGACTTCACCGCGGAAACATTCGGGGAGGCTTCCTAGAACCTCAAAAGAAGTTAAAAAGAAGAATAATGAAAAAAATGAAAAAAAAATAATAATAATGAAACATAAAATTTTATTTATTTGCTATTTTAATTGGCCCAGCAAAGCGGGCGGGAAACGGATAGTTATGTATATATTGTATCTCAACGATTCGTAGTCTAGTGTAAAAAAAAAAAATGTAATTAGATATTACATATTACTAATCTTTTAAAGTAAATATCAAAATGTAATGTGTACGTTTTCTTTCTAGATTTTCTTTATGATAAAAAATAGCCTCTTCCAGTGAATTTTCTACGTTACAGACTTAAATTACTTATTAGGCTTAAGGCTAGATCGTTATGTTCCATGATATCTTAGTGAAGACACATACCGTCGACAACTGCAATCCAATAAACCAAGGAATTACAAATTAATTAAAGAATGTGGGATTGGATTTCAAAGATTCTTTATTTAATTAAAGGACAAACCCTATTAGCTCTTAATTAAATCTTGTAAATTTACTATAGAACACTTATCCTCTTTTATTTCATAGATACGGAGAGGGATAGGTATATTTTTAAACCTGGTCTAACGTTCGTGTTTATTAGGCTATGTGAAAATTAGGGGTTGTATGTATTTTTGTATGCTGTATCATAAGTAAATATAAAAAATAAATAAAAAATTGCGGTGGACACCCCTCATCACTTAGAGGGTTTCAAAGATAGTAGCCGATTCTGGGACTTATTGAATATGCATAAAAATTTAATAGGAATCGGTCGAGCGGTTTCGGAGGAGTATGGGAACGAATATTGTGACACAAGAATTTTATATACATATTAGATAATTAATAATGCCGTATTTTATTTCCATATCCTTAATTTCCATTACAAAAGTTGTTTGTATTTACTTATAGCTAAATGTTAGTTTCTCGTTCTCTTCCTGCTATTTCTATTAAGTCGGCTGATGACTTCTTTTTGGCTTGCCCAATCTTCTTTTCTCGGGCAGTCCCTTCCTTTCTGTTATCGTTAATGTAAATATAATAAAGTAATTAGATTAATGAAAGTTACGAAATAAATTAATCATAGAAGAATATTTAGCATAAGCGAAGCAGTAACGAGCGTTTAACGATGTGACGTCTACACTTAAAAGGGTGGCAACACAACGTCTACTTAACTTTAAGCTAGGCAATTTTTTCTTTTGTTCGATAGAGAAATTTTATTGAATACAAAAAATAGTTTTGATGATTTCTTTGTGATGATAGTTTTGATTCATTCACCTGTATTAATAAATTTAAAATATATAAAAATAATTATGTCTAATACCATGAACCAACAATTAAGGATATATCCATCAAGAATACAATATAAAAATATTAATATATTATGTATATGTCAACTTTGTTTGTCACACTTTCTCGCCGATACATACACAAGCATACTAAATGTAATAATAAATAAATCCCTGACGCTACATCCTTTTTATGTCTGGGTCTCAGATTTCTGAATCTTTTTCACGATCATTTGTCAATATAATAGACAAGTAGGTGATCAGCCTCCTATGCCTGAGACACGGCGTCGACATTTTTGGTCTATGGCAAGGCGGTTTCCTCACGATGTTTTCCTTCACCGTGCAAGCTAATTTTAAATGCGCACATAGACAGAAAGTCTATTAGTACACAGCCGGGGATCGAACCTACGACCTCAGGAATGAGAGTCGCACGCTGAAGCCACTAGGCAAACACTGCACTTGCAAATAATGTAATAACGTTATATATATTTGAGAATTTATTTACATTTCAGGAAGTGATAGACTGCGCCGGGCTTGGCAATAGTGGGTGCGCTGGTGGTGACATCTGTCTTCTACTGGATTGGCTCACTATGACCAAGGCTGTCGTGGAGACAGATAAAGAATACCCTCTAAAACTCACGAACGGAGCCTGCGTGTTGAACAAGAATGCGACCGGTGTTCGTGTGAAGTCATTCACTTGTGATGAGTGAGTATATTGAGCGAGGTTCATTGAGTTTAATTCCACCTTCATATCGGCGTTTATGAAATCAAAACGCAACGCAATGGACGTGAATAAAAATGTATATTAAATTTATCAGTTCTCAAATCAAGAGCGTAAGTTTAAAAACATTTAAAAATAAATAAATCAGTGGCGCTTCAAGCTCTTTAGGACTTGGCCTCAGATTTCTGAATCTGTTTCATGATGATTTTTAAATCTAATAGGCAAGTAGGTGATCAGCCTCCAGTGCCTGACGCACACCGTCGACTTTTTGGGTCTAAGACATGTCGGTTTCCTCACGATGTTTTCCTTCACCATTCGAGCAAATGCTAAATGCGCACAAAGTCACTAGGCCAACACTGCTCTAAAAACATTTCGCTTAATATAATCACCAAAATTCTATAGAGGTGAAAAGCTTGCTCCTAAATAATACACCACAATCCATATTTTTAAGCAATAAAACAAAATTAAAATTGTTGTATCTATGTCGCAGCCAACTAGCTTGATAAGCCGTTCAATTAACATCCTAGCCGTTTCACTAAACGGCGCCGTTTAACTAGCGGCCTAAAAGATGTTCAAACAGCTAGGCAAATGAATTGGATCGATAACGTTTCATTACTTGCCTAGCCTGTTGACTGTTAATTTAAATTTAATTCCACTTTCTGCCACTCTCAAACTCGAAACGATACTCTTCAAACTGTCAATATGGCATCGGCAAACCACAACTTTGATGGTGTTTTCCAAATTCTCATAAAAACCATAAAGTACAATGGGAGAGTGTAGTGAAGTAGACAATAATAATGTGAATTTGACTTAAGCAATTTAATTTTAAAAGAAATATTTTTTATGTCATATGTTCATCTTTTTATTTCTGCCAAATAATCACTATCGAATGTATTGGCCTAGCTAGCCAGCCAGTTTGATTTAATGTTGTAACAAACGCTACGGTGAAATCTTTCAGGCCGCATAGTAAAAAGGCTAGGCTGTTAATTGAACGGCTAATTAAGCTAGTTGGCTGCGACAATATATATAACCAATATTAACTAATTAGGTAACTCGCGTAAAGAATAAACCTATATTTTACCCTATTTTTAACAAAAGTATTCTTTGTTGTATGTCTAACTGAGCTTGCGCTGTGTTAAAAATTGATGAACTTTATGAATAATTGTTAGATGTATTGTTACTTTTAGTTTTACAAGTGCAGAAGACAAGATTCTAGCGTTGATTGCGACGCATGGGCCGGTAGCTGTGGCAGTTAATGCTTTAACCTGGCAGAACTACCTCGGTGGAGTGATACAATATAATTGCAGGTATTTTACAAGCAGATTTAAATTAATAAAAGGGACAAATCAGACCATATTGCGTGGTTCGAAATTTTCTAAGCAGCCCTGCGAGCGTTCTGTAACTCACATTTCGAACTCACACAGCGGTTTTCGCATCGGCGGTCGCTCTCAAATCAGTCGTGAAGCAGTCATTTTACGATTTGGCATTCTGATAAATAATAAACTACAAGCTGCCTCCTTATCAGAATGCCAAATCATAAAATGACTGCTTCAAGACTGATTTGAGAGCGACCGCCGATGCGAAAACCGCTGTGTGAGTTCGAAAAGTGAGTTACAGAATCGCAAGGCAGGTATTACACATTTTTAATCAACAATTATTGAACAAAAATAAAATAATAAATAAATCAGTGGCACTACAACCTTTTTAGGTCGGGGCTCAGATTTCTGTATCTGTTTCATGATCATTTGTCAATCTATTAAGCAACTATACTCTGGTTTTAATTTCCGTAGAATTCTGACATTTCATAAGTGTTGCTACTAAAAAAGTTCTCCACCGAAAAAGGGATAAATTTGACCCATTTGAAGGCAATAAAAAATAAAATGGACGTATCTCACGTTCTATCTACAAAAATGTAAATCTAAATATTTACTTAGTCAAGTGACCTAATACAGAAATAACAAATATTTCAATATCACGAACAATATATCAAATTAACTTTAATTACTTTATTTTATTCTTTAGCTGGCATCACTGTCTACTAATTCCAGGTTTAGTAAACCTTTTTAAAAAACAAAATGTTATCTTTACTTTTAGATTTTTTATAGTGATGAAAAGGGACGTAATTATCACTCGCCGTAAAACCACTTTTAATGTGGACCACCGCACTTAATAAAATGGATACATTCACTAACAAATAAAATGTATGAATAGACTCAGATGTTCAGACTTGTATTGAAATTGAAATATGTGCCAAAAGGTTTGTAAACTCTGACATGTAAAAAAATGATAGCTGTCAGAATTCTACGGAATTAAAAATCAATCTCCTGTGCCTAGTAGACACACGCTGTCGTCGGTTTAAGACAAGCCGATTTCCTCACGATGTTTTCCTTCACCGTTCGAGCGAATGATAAAAAGTGTAGTGCACAGCCGGGGATCGGATCGCACGCTGAAGCCACTAGGTCAAGAATTCTTAATTAATAACATTGGTATAGTTGTTGCCTTTGTACCCCATCTATGACACGAAATTGGTACTTATGAATACAGTGGAAACCAAACAATTGACTGAAGTATTTCCGAACCAATTCGACTTAGGGTCCCTAAAGAAAAGGGCGTACCAGTTCGTAAAAGACCGACACTTCCGAGCCTTCCAATGTGAGCGGCGGTATCACTTCATCAGATGAGCATCCTGTCCCCCTTGCCCCGTTAATAAAAAAAAGTATTTAAATTTTGATTAAGACTGTATATTTTCTCCATTTTAAGATTTCTCTTCTTGTAAGGTGCTTACTAGCTGAATTTTCTTTTTAGCGGGAGCCCGAAAGATCTGAACCACGCAGTGGAGTTAGTTGGTTATGACTTGACAGCTGATGTACCGTACTACATCGCGAAGAACTCGTGGGGTCCAAGTTTTGGGCTAGGTGGCTACATACACTTGGCCATTGGGGCTAATATCTGTGGATTAGCCAATGAGGTAGCGTCTGTCGATGTAACGGTGTAAGAACGAGGGTAGATTACCTTTTTTGTGTAATCAAATTCTAGCAGTATAATGAAACGAATTTATTTTGCATGTACCCACATTTTTTTGAATCTCTATAGAAATTATATTTTTTGTTATTTTTTCATTAAGATTTCAACATTATAAAAGGAGACTGATTTTTTTGTACGTCCATATTATTTTTAACTGACAAATAGTTCCAAATATATAACAAAAAATCAGTGAACAACTGAAATCATGCTGTCTCTGTCTATGACTCACGAAATGAAAGAGACAGCTTTAGTTATTAAAAACGTGACGACAGAAAACATAGTCTTTGTTGTTATTTCTTGCCAGTATTTAGGGTAGGTCTTATTTTTTTGTGTCACAAAGCTTGTCATACGATCAATGTATTGGAATTTTCTTTATTTGTATTTAGTTTGTAACACTAACTGTTTATTTAAGATATTTTAATTTTTTTGCTACTACCCGCATGTTAGAACATGTTTTTTATAGTAATTTAATTTATATCATAAAACTTGCATAATATTTTTTTGAAGAAAATCCGTCCAAATTTTTCACGATAATTTTTCATAGTACCATAAGTTGTTCTATTTATGGGTATGGGGCAGATATCAAAGCAAATCGTCAATGACTCTAAGCTAAAAGAGAGATATAAGCTTAGAGGTGCTGGAATCGAGTATACTAGAAAAAAAATTAAAGTAAATTTGCCCGATACCCACTGAGTTCAGGACTTTTTGTATTGAAAATATATTTTAAGTATCTCGAATTATGTACATTCCAATAATTAATTAAGCTAAAATGTCAATACATACTCAAAAAGTGCCTTAGTTTTGTAATCATTTTTGAATACATGTTTTTTTTTTATTTTGAGTTTTATTTAATATTTAAGTTATGTTTTAAATTTTCACCACACTAATAAGATTTAAATTATGTTTATAAAAACTCTAAATTAAGAATATCTATAGTGCTATGCCATAGTGTGTGCATGTGCATGCAGGTGCACACCCTACACACACACCCTTACTTTTACCACCACACAGCACAGCCGAACTAGGAATTACGTATTTAATAATTTTTATTGATTTTTTCCTTTTGTAAATGTTTGCAACTTTTTGTAATTATTTTGTATTCCATGTTTGGCAATATCTTTAGTATAGTAGTTTTTATGTTATATATAATGTATGTTAACTGTAGGATTAGAAAATAAAAAAAAACACCACATCAAACACAACGCAAAACCATATATAAGCAACCCAAAAAACGCACTTTCTTCTCCCAAGACTTTTTCCGAGGCCCTTTCATCTTTAACCACTTTCTCAAAAACAAAATTTTCACTGACATTTCAAACCTCACATTACATACATTTTCTAAAAATCTTAAACAATATCTTGTCAAGCTGTCCTATACTGATACAGAAAATATTCTTATTGTGCAAAAATAGTTTAATTATAAATTTGTGTTATCTAGAAATCATTTTTTTATAGAACAGGGGAGGTTGGTACAGTTGACGTGTCAATTAAGAAGGGGGGGCGCGGGGGGGTGCCCGCCCTTTAGAGTCGCTCTTGAAGGACCCTAGTCGTGGTTCGGAGATACTGCAGCTGGTTCCCAATGGTGCGCGGCAAACCGTCATCGGGGAAACTCAGCTGCAGGTATAATCGTGTGACTAGTAACACTTTTTGTAAATGCGTAGAAGATCCTTTTAATCATGAAGTAAAATACAGTTAACATGTCAAAAGGAAGAGAATAGCTACCCTCGACACAGGGAATCTTAGTGTGCTAGTACATTTTCTTTTTAATTTAAAACATCCTTTTTTATTACGCATAATAATTTTTCCTTTCTTAATTTAAAAAAGTATTCTCTCGAATTACAACGGTTCTTATCTAAATTTAAAAATATGTATCTGTCCTGTTTGCAATTGAGCCAATTCAATTCAATCAATTGAATTATAGTCTAATCTGAAGTATTTATTGGTCCCAACAAAAGTATAAATATTTTACTAAGAAACACAATAACAGGTTGTTATATATATATATTATTGCAATTATTAATTTAATAATTAGGTATCGAATGTTTAATATGAAAAGAAGGTTTCACTGAGACGCTATACACATAGATACAATTACAAGGTCAAGTGAACGGCGTGAACTTATACACGAGTGGAATTGTACTGAACTTCACATTGAAGTATAATTGAGATAACGTATCAAACAATAAAGTTGTCGAGCGTATCGTAAGGGTTAAGATCTAATTATTTTAAAGATTATCGTTGGTGGTCTATTAGTGCATGTAAGTATTTGTATTATTAATCTATCAAATTCATTTTGTGAGGTTAGCCGGTGAATCAGCTGATAATTGAAGTATTAATTTAACAGTATATTATATTTATAAACATAGTCTCCTGGTATCTTTATATAACTGGTGATGAACTGGTGTAGTTAGTATTACAAGACTGTTTTAATAATAATTTTATTATCGTCGTTAAACTAACTGTTCAACTACTTTGACGCTTATGAAATAATTACGAGTGTTTTTTTAAAATAATGTGGTGATATAAAACCGCATCTTTATCAACATTTTTCACTATAAATAAATTACTTTTACGGTTCCAAAGTTCAGTGCGTATAGTAGGCATACTTGAAGAAGTCACTAAAATAATAAATGTAAGTTATTTATTATTAGTATTTTTTAACGATTTCGATTACCCAATTTAGCAAAACTAAAATGTTGACGTGTTACGTAGTGATTTAAAACGTTAACTATAAAGTACTATAAGCAATAATTAGTTAAATAATGTTGATGAAGTGTAAAATTTATTTACACGAGAGTGATAAAAAATAATATTCTCTAATATATTGCATCTTTTAACTTTTTAGAAAGTAAATAGTGTTATGAAAAGAAATAGGTCTACATTATCGCGCGGTAGTTTTTAAATTCTGTAAAAGGCTAATAACGAATTATCGAGAGTATCCCCCGATTATAGGCTTTAAAAGCGTTATGGAGTACTAGTACATAATCATTAATTTATCAAAAGATTCGTAATTAGAAAGAATGATTTTTATATGTCACGCGAAACATAACGGTCACAGACTAGAAAAATACATGGTACGCCATAGAAACTGGTGCAACAACTGTCTTGGTTAATAAATTACGAAGGGTTATTTATTTTATGAATGTTTAAAGACATAAACGGAATTTAAAATAACAATTTGTAAAGTTTATAAAACAAAGTGAACAGGTTTTATATCTATGTCATATAGCCTAGTTCTTAATAGTGATTGCGATCCTTAAGCTGTGAAATCAGCGTATTTTAACAGAAGTAATATTAGTCAACGAACTACAGTTAACGGACCTTTTTCATCGTCATCAGTTCTACTATGATATGTTAGTGCCTATAGTAATGAATATTTTTTAATTATACATATAATATATATAACTCTTTAGCTTGTTTTTCCTAATCAATTTCTTTTGTTAAATTGTATATGATTTTTATGTCGTGTGTAATTTTTTTTATCGGTTATGCATTCTAGTTGATTTAGGATCACTAATAAATATCAAATTGCTAAAAAAAGCAACCAGCGCAGTCGTTTCTCAATATTTTGATAGTTTTGTATATTTTCAGTTGAAAAATGGTGCATCTATCGGAAGAATACTTCGGTACGTTTAAGAACGAACCAGTTAGAAAATTCACATGGTACACTGATAGCGGTATAGCTATCTCTGTCATCTCTTATGGAGCCATCGTACAATCTATTCAGGTGAGTGAGAGAAATATTGTTTTATACGACACTCCCGTATCAATCGTTACTCAATCTCACAATTGTTACTAAATTTTCACTAAAGTGCAGTTCAAATTGTAAGAAGAAACAGTAGGATTGCTGTATATTTATTGTTTTTGACATACAAGTCATATTTATCGCTAATTCGCGACTATTATTATTATCCTAACCTCTTTTCATCATACAAAAATCAGAGTCGCTTCAACCTTTCAGGTCTAGGACTTAATGTATCTGTTTCGTGATCATTATTTTATTCTAATAAACAAGTAGGTGATCAGCCTTCTGGCACCATACACACGCCGTCTTTTAAACTTGCTTGACAATGCTTATTACAGATAAAACCCAATTTGATAAAGAAACTATATAATAAGGTGATTTTATATTCGAGGTGGTTTAAATAATGTTACATTTATCAAATTTGTCAAATTTATCATTTGTAACTGTTGTATTTGTCAAATTTATCTCTTGCTATGTATAACTTACAACAATTAGAGAAAAAACTTGTATTGTATCGATTCTAAAATTAAGAACTTCCTATACGACAAACTACAAAGATGCAAGGAAGAAAAAGAAATACGAAGAAGGTATCAAATAGCCATTTCTTCCTCGTATTACTCTTTCGTGTATCATTATTGTTTAGCTTATAAGTCTCACAATACATAAAAAACCATTGAGAATAACAAAAATGCGTCATACTCGTGAACGGGTGCTACGTGTGGTGACTGTCGTACTTGAATTCGTGTATGCGGTGATGTTAGTTATTTCGATTTTCGACTATGTATTTGCGTGTTGTTCACACGAGAATGTAAGTGCGTGCTCCTATTTCACCATGCCTCCTGCTGATAGAGGACTAATCTTTGTTTTTAATTAATTTTATTATTATTAATTACTAAAGATGTCATGTGGAACATGGTGTAATGGTTGCAGCGCCTTACAAACATTGTGTAAAACAAAAAACTTGGCGAAAAGAGTGGTGGAGAGTTTATTGCCAGTTTTTCTCTTCCGTTCGCCGCCCTTGATTTGAGAACTGGCAGTAAATGTAAAATTAGAAGCATTTAATATTTATTTCTTTTGACGTTCATAAGTGTACATTGTGTTACATATATGAATAAATAATTTTGATTTGATTTGTATTTTATTTAGGTTCCCGATAAAAATGGCGTGGCCAGCGACGTCGTACTTGGCTTCGATGACATTGAAGGATATGTCACAAGGAACACACCATACCTAGGTGCAACAGTTGGTCGATGTGCGAACAGGATAGGTGGAGCCACCTTCCAAATCGACGGTCAAAAGTACGAAGTCGCTAAGAACATCGGCAAAGATCATTTACATGGTGGAATCGTTGGCTTTGATAAGGTAAGAATTTCAGAAAGTTAGTTTTATAATATTTATTATCGCGTAGTAGAAGTAGAAGTATCGCGTTCTCGTATCTGAATATCACTGTTTCCCGTATGTCAAAATCTATTTTATTCGCTATCCAACTTCAAAATTGTACGATGGATCAAAACTTTTAACGATTAGACTATACTTTATGACAATATGCAGACGCTTTGGAAACAAACCCCGACCACACATTATACACAACGCAAACTTACATGGAAGCTACCCAAAAACGCACTTCTCTCAACGCTTTTTCTCTTTCAGTCTTTAACCAGTTTTTCAAAAAAACTAAATCTTTACTTTTAACTATACATAGTTTTTTATTATGTGTAATAAAGTTTACATGCGGTCACATTTAGCGCAGTCTCGTTTATGAAAAGTACGCGTTTAAGAAAATAGTGGCACTTAAACTTGGAAAGCCCGTGCCATATTAACCGGACGCGGTTAATGACGATTAACCCATACACACCATTTATGTAAAAATGATTTGGCATAATAATTATTTAGGCTTATTTTATTCAACACACAAGACATTAACAGTAAGTAATAAAAATATTGTGTTTATTATATTTATAAAAGCCACGGGTAAAAGCCTTCAAGTGATTCCACAATTTTCTATTTTTTTCTCCCATCTTTCCCCACCGTCATCGGAATGTCGTCTATCCATCCGGCACAAGACTGGCCTCTAGGTCTTGTGCCTCGTGGTCCCGGCCATTTTACCAGTCTTTGTGTCCACCGGATCCAGCCCATTTCTATTTTCTTTGAAGGGAGAAAGTTAGTGCATCATTGATCGTTGTTGATTTTCGGATATCTGTATTTGTTATTGTCATTTTTTGATTTGGCATACATTATAAAGCCATTAAAATATTGTTGTTGGATAGTCCTTCAACATCTACTAACTACTTGTAAAACCCCCACTTTTTAATATATTTTTATGTTTATATTTATTCTAAAATTTTCAGGTAAATTGGCAAACAGCAGTAGACGGAAATAAGGTGATATTCAGCTACCTCTCCAAAGACGGCGAAGAGCATTACCCAGGCAATCTCATCACCAATGTGATATACGAGGTGAAGGATGATGAGCTGCATATCAACTATGTGGCCAGTTCCGACAAGAAGACAGTGATAAATTTGACTAACCATTCATATTTTAATTTGGCTGGACATGACGCAGGAGCAGAGGGGCTCTTTGACCATGTCATTATGATGAACGCTGACCAGTACGGACAAATTTATATACTTTTTTTGCAAGAGTTGTTTGTTCCGAAATTCAGCTTAATTGATCATTTTTTATATGGATGAACCTGCTGTTACCAACACGAAACAAATGTTCTTTAGCATGTGCGCAAACGCATCCATGGGTCACAACCATACAGAACTGGACAGATGTTTGTCCACAATCACTCCTGATGTGGCCTCTTAGAGGGCACACCTGTCCAGGAGATGGCTTATAATTTATGGGGCATGGGACACATTTCTGTACTTAGCTTTTTTGTGCAGAAATTTTATAAGCATTTCTTTACAACGATATAAACTTTTGAAACAAGTATCTTATAGACCCGTGACTGCTAAAGATATATTTAGTAGAATTGTTTTTATTTAGGATTACGGAAACAAACGAGGGGTCTATACCCACTGGCCGACTCCTCCAAGTAGGAGGTACACCGTTCGACCTGCGCGTGCCCATACGTCTGGGAGACGCGATGAAGAAGGCCGAGCTTTTGTTCGATGATAACTTCTGTATCAATCGCTTCGGTAACAAGGTAATTTTTTGCTGTCTCGTTCCAATTTCTAGTCTAGAAAAACTCATCCACGGTCGGAGTGGAGGCCACCAGACCTCTAGGCCGATCTTCTTCTTGCTGGCCCGATCAAGTAAGGGTCTTACGGGACTTACCATCACCCAGACGCAGAGGCTAGACGAAGACAGGGAAGAGAGGAGGAAGTTGTGCGACGCCACTAACACGACCTTCAGGAGAGACTGAAGAAGATGATGACATTACATGACATGATGAATTTAAATACTGAGCTTCAAAAAGAGATGTCATTGAAGTCATTATTTTAATTACGAAGTTCCGTGTTTATATACAGAATAATAAAAATAAAGCCTCATTTATTCCTTGAAATAATACTATTTACAATATTAAATAATACTATTTACAAAAGATATTCACAAAATTTACACACATATACAAAAATAGCTACCAACCGGCTGCAGCTTTCTTTTTATGTTGAGCATTTTTCCGCCAATTTTCTTTTTACTTTAAACAGTCCCATTTATTGTTTAATTTGCATTTATTTACTTATTTATTTATTTATTTCTTGGCTTTTGTTTATTTTTTAGTGTTTAAATTTGTATCATTTTCAGGATCTTACCTTCACAGCGCGTGTAACTCACCCAAAATCGGGCAGATACCTCGAAGTGTACACGAATCAGCCTGGCGTTCAGCTTTACACTGGCAATTTTCTGCCTGCCCCAACTGAATCTGCATTGGTCGGAAGGGATGGCGTTGGCTATAGGCGTCATGGAGCCTTTTGTTTGGAAACTCAGAACTACCCTGATGCTGTCAATCATAGCAATTTCCCTAATGCTGTTTTGACACCAGGAAATAGATATGACCATAAAGTTGTGTATAGATTTGGCGCGGAAAAATCTCACGCACCACACGTTATGTCTGTGTAATTTCAAAATATTAAAATATTTTTCATCTGTGGATCTGTTTTTTTTGTACATCACTTGTTATTTTGCAATATTTTATTGAAAAATCTCTAAAATAATCAATAGAAATCCGTATGTTAGTAGTGAAATAAATAAATAAAACACAGACACAGAGAAGGGAATGTAAAGCATACATCAATTTTTAATAAAATTCATAAAAAATGGATGACTCGAAATTATAATAAATATATATATATGGTATAATTGTCTTATAAATTTTTATCTAACGACAAAAGATACGTTGACCGCACAGTTATCTTTTTATACGTACTATACGTTAGGAACTCTTTATAATTTATTAAAATTCTTGGTAAAATGCGCAGACTACATACTAACATTCAATAACAACAATCCGTAGATGCTTGACAAAAAACTTTTAATTGGGTATTCTTACGTTTGTACAAGAAAGAATCAATTTAATTTATACAAAAATAGTTTTCAGCTTTGATTTAATTCGCTACAAACAGTAACGACGTCATCACAGCTGTTGTTATCTGTATTTAGTTATAGGTGTAGTTTATAGTAACAATGCATCATTATTTACCGTGCATTTATTTGACAAATCCATGGCATTTGACATTTCTCTGATTGACAATGACAACTTGAATGACGTCACTGACAGCAGACGTTTTCGAGGGAAAACATTTTTTTTAGATTTCGATTTAATTGCTTCAAACAATAAATTAAGAATAACTTGATATGTTTTATAACACCCCATTGATAAATTCCTTTAATGGTTCTGTTACAAAAGAATTATATATATACTGTTATAGAAAAACCTATAAATTAGAATTTTCCAAGCCATTTTGACTGTTTCTTTCATTTTCCTTAACGGGTTCTCCCCATGTGAGGTTTAAGTCCCGTTTCATCCCATCATCCAGAGGTGGAATGAGAGACCGAGGCAGGAGGAAGGTAGATAGATTGAATAGGTCCAGAAAAACTTTGTAGCGGTCACTGAAATGCAAAAAAAAATAGAAATTTTATAACAAATTTCTGTCCTGTTGTAACTTGTAGTTCTTCTCAGACTAAAGCGTCTCAATACTCAAAAGCCGGCAAATCATTCCGTGCTTTCTGTTATTGTAAGTAGACATTAGCCCCTCACCCGTATCTATTAATATCCATAGACGAATGTCTTTGCTTCAGCTAAGCTCTTCTTTAACAAAATCTAATTTGTAATCGTTCTTGTTTACCTGAGAGTAGATCTTAAGTATTGATACCCCGAGGATCCACCAGTACCAAGCTGCTGAGGAGCCAATCATACGCTGGACCATTATCACGTGATTGTCTGGAAAAAATTCGAAAAATTATTACGTACGTTAAGAGAAAACATTTTCTATAATATTTCTTTGTATTGGCTGTTTTATCAATCGCCGGCAGCAAAAGCCGTTATAGCAGGCTTCTCACTCTCTGCTGCCCAAAAATACTGCAAATTATTTCTTAGGTCTCTTTTAATGGGGATGAATCTAAAATGCGACATGGTTTTAAACAGATTCAAAACACATCTCAAAAAACCTTAATGTGTAAAGGTTACTACACAGTCAATGACTAGGTACCTGGAAGATAAAAACGTTTGGTAATAGTTGTAATTATATTCTTATAATTTGATTTGTGTGTAATGGTGAATGTGGTAAATCACAGAACAGATTTTTATATATTTTTTTACTTATGTAACTTTAATGACGTTGTGGCTTATGACATTTTCCTTTGAATAATTATAATGTAGAGGGAGGGTAAAACTTGCTGAGTTTCTTGCCCGTTCTCGTCAGAACAAGGCCTCCTGGTAGTTTTGCGAACGGATGGCGTAGTCTTGCTCTTTCGCGAATTTTGTAAACGCTTTTGACATTCATAAGCATGCGCTAAGACGCATCTAAAGTGAATAAACGTATTTTGATTGATTGATTCATTCATTGATAATATATATAACACATGCAGTCGACTCTCATGCGCTCTCTGGGCAGTAGAACACGTATACCTATGATACTAATATATTTTATATATGATTATATTATTGGTAAAGTCCTTGTGGTGTTTGACATGTCATTTTTGTGGACACCATTGGAACCTGGTGCTAAAATTACATAGGTTCGACGAAATATATCACATTTTTAAAACTTTCTTAAGTTTTGTTAAAAATCCTTCTTCCATTAAAAAAATACTCACATCGCCATTTGGTGATAAGACTGTCCATATCCATAAGCAGAGTTAGGAGCTGATGGGGTTGCGAAAAGCGGGGCTCATCGCGATAAAAGGTTATCATGATGGCACCCTGCAGTGCCTTGTGAGACAACCTGTATTAGAAATTGTCCAATAAGTTGAAGGATTGTTTTATTATATTGATTTTATACCGTTAGACTTGTCAACTACTTGATCCTGTAAAGGGGCGTTAGGTATTCCTGCTAATTAAGACACACATAAAATCTATGGGAATACCAAAAGTTTTGGAGTTATTTTATATAGTTGTTAAATGAAGCAAATGGTTGCAGCTCCTTACAAACGTTGTGTAAAAAAAACATGGCGATTAAAAAGAGTGGCGGAGAGTTTATTGCCAGTTCTTCTCTTCCGTTCTACGCCCTTGATTTGAGAACTGGCAGTAAATGTAAAATTAGAAGCATTAATGTGTATTTCTTTAATGACGAATCACAAGTGTATATTGTGTTACCTACGTGAATAAATTATTTTTGAATTTTTGAGTATTAACCAAAATAGATGTAATCCTTTTACAATTTACAATTATTTTAACAAATGAAAATGCTATATTCTTAATATAGAATTTTAAAAAATATACTTTCGCGAAGATATACTGGGTGAGTATATCTTCGCGAAAGTATAAATTTTTTATTGGGTGAAGGAATTGTTGTAGTTTTTAATAAATCCAAAATTGCATTAAAAAAATTTTTTACGGAATTTATTACTAAGTTTGATATGGAAGAGCTAGGTAGCTGTCAGGGACACAGGTATTTTTTTACTTAAAATAGTTCCCAAATCTTACACATTGTAATGAATTTATATTGCATAAATATATTTTTATTGTTTTATTGTAGCATAATATTTTAGATAAAAAATAATAAAAACATAGTGTGCGATGTATTTGAACCACGATCGTACAATAAGAACCTCGAAGCGGAGTTATAAATGTTCCGTCGCACACTCCGGTCCGACGTCGAATACCGGAATGAGTCATGAGAAAAATATCGGAAGGCCGGATTGCGCTTCTCCACTATATCCGATCCGACAATAATCGATACTTGTGTATTTATCATGCAACACTTATATTAACTAAAACCCATATACCTACTTTATTTTTTTAATAAAACGTTCTAAATTCTGAATATTTTCTTGTCCTGGCAAGTTTATTACTTTTTTTATATTGTCTATCTAAAAATATTCTAATCTACTTAATTAATAGTTCACTAATACTATGGTATAAAAATATAAATAAATAGCAACATAATTTCGTTTGGTCCAGGTTATACAGATTCTTTCAAATTAAAGAAACTATAAATAAACCTGTGAATAATAATTTATAACCTCTTGGATACTTAGATATAATATATAGACCGATAAAACACCGCGTTCCGATCTAGCAAGTTATCGGATCGTTAAAAACCGGATGCCGGATTAGTGGAGAAGTACGTAAGTACTGTTGTGAGTTTCTAAATCGGATCGGTAATAATTAACGTTTGCCGGACCGGAGCAGTGGAGAAACGCGTTCCTTTGAAATAATGGGAACTTAAGTGCCTTTTTGAGGAGCAGATTTCAATCAACCTTTTTAAGTTATCAAATTACATAATATAAAAGATGATACCGTCTCTCTCCTCTAGACCGTAGAGCATCGTGGACGGCAGGATCGAAAATGGAGCGATAGATTTCACGACGATTTTCAATATCTTGGAGACGGTGACGGCGGACTTCTTCGTGGGGTTCTCGCTGAAATAATTTAAAAAAAAAGAAGAGTAGAATGGAAAAAAAAACTACTTCGTTTAAAATTAAACTTTTGTTGTAAATTAAATAAGAACTACATAGTTTTAAACTATCTTAAATTTATATAAAAAATAAATCAGTAGCGCTACAACTTTTTTAGGTCTGGGCCTCAGAGTTCTGTATCTATTTCATGATCATTTGTTAATCTAATAGACAAGTAGGTGATCAGCCTCTTGTGCTTGACACGCCGTCGACTTTTTGGGTCTAAGGCGAGTCGATTTTCTCATGTTTTCTTTCACCGTTCGAGCGAATGGTAAATGCGCACATACAATCCAATCGTATTTTACATATATTTTACATATAACTTTTATATAAGCTGTTGGCTATCTAGATATAGTATGTCAAAATCTACGTTTTAAATATAAGTTTCGACTCCGATGCCTTGAAAACATACCATGGCCTCTTCAATATCCTCAGCCAGAACTTTGTCAACAACAGCTTGGAATTTTCCCCAGAAATTGAAGCCGTGGGTGTTCAAGCCGGGAGTACGCTCCAGCCACCGCTCGATTAAAGCTAAGAGCGCCGGCTCCTCTTCTGATCTGATCAAACAATCATGTTATATTTCTCATTACTTGCGCAAACGGGCAGGAGCCTCATCTGATATTAAGTGATACCACCTGCCCATGGAATCTCAAAGGCTCGCAAAGTCCGTTGCCGGCCGGATAAGCTCTTTTCTTGAAGACCTTAAAATACCCGAACCAATTCGTTCGGATATACTTCAGTGGGCAGCTGGTTCCACATAGTGGTGGTGCGCGGCAAAAACTGCCTTAAAAACGCTTAGTTGTGGAACGACTTAATGGAATTATTAACGGGCGCAATTAAAGTTTTTAATAATTTTAAAAATACAAACGCGTAATAAATTACACACAAGTTTCTTTTTTATATGAAAATAACATCGTAACACGGTAATTGTACAAATACGTATTGGAGGCTTCACATTCATCCATAGAACATAATATCTCTTGGGTCGGGGGCCCGTGGCATTTTGCCAGCCCTGCACTGAATGAGAATTAAAGTTCTTTAAACATTAATGTTTTAATTCACTCACTTTTTCAAAGCCTCCATAGCTTCTGGATCGTCTCCGAAGACTGTTTGGTAATTTTGATTGTATTTTACGCGCAGAGCTTGCTTGAGACCCAACTGGAATGAAAATTACATATTAGGTATTTATTTTATGGATGTTTAAAACTTCTAAGTAGAGTTTACTTAATATTATCTTTACAAGTTACAAATAATGTATAAAAAATACAAGTACACATGCACAGGAAAGCAGCCACTAAAACATGGGCAGTCTAAGCCAATAAACAAAGGACAAATAACAGCAAGCTTTAAGCATTGCTTTAACAAATAAATTCTTTTACATAAACAAATACAGTCAAAATCTGTTATAACGACATCGAAGGGACTTCTCATATTTGGTCGTAAAAACCGATAGTCGTATCAGCCGAAAACGTTGTTATTAAGAATCTAATACAATAGAATTCAGCCGGGACCTTTGATTTTGGTGAATAAAACCGGTATGTTGTTCTAAGCGATGTCGTCGTAAACGGTTTTGACTGTATAATCATTTTACTTTAGGTATACACTCCCATATACTTTATACTATATTTCGTTACCTTAAACATACATATAAAAACAGGTTACATAAGTTCTTAGTCAACGGTCCTTATCGGTAACAAGCGATTTCTTTCAGGCAACAGAAATGAGGGTAAAGAACAAGTGCACAAAAAATTAACAAACAAACAAAATTTTGCGTACTAGAAATACTAACTAAACAAAACTAAAAAAAGTAATAATAATATTATTAAAAATATAAAAGCTAATCTTAGTCTTAGACAAGCCAAATAAACTCGAAAACTAAATTTGTATGAAAATTTGTCGACATAATTTCATACAAATTTAGTTTTTGCCGCTAAATTTATTTGTGAGGAAGGAGAAAAAAGGGGAAAAAAAAAAAAAATTTTTGGGCGGGGGGGGGGGGGGGGGGTTTTTCCCCCCCCCCCCCCCGCCCCCAAAAAAACCCCCCCGGGGGGGAAAAGAAAAAAAAAAAAAAAAAAATTAAAAAAAAAAAAAAAAAAAACTTTTTTTTTTTTTTTAACCACCCCAAGAAAAAAAAATTAAAAAAAATAAAAAAAAAAAAGCGGGGGGGGTGGCCCCGGGCCGCCGGAGGGGGAATTCTTTTTTTTGTATTTTTTGGTGGGGAAAAAAATCATACAAATTTAGTTTTTGCCTTTCTACATACACTACTGTTAAGGCATATTGACTAAGCCTCTTGGTTTAAGAAGGTAGTTGTAATAAAATGTATGTTAATTTGAGGATCCTTTATTTGTGACAATCTTTTTTTTGTATATTTATTACATATTACCTTATTCTCAAGGAGCCTAAACTGTAAACTTTGGAAACCCGAAGCTGGACGCAGATACTGCCTGAAATCCATGAAGTCCAGAGGTGTCATTGTCTCCAAGATCATTACCTGGTCTACTAGTAGCTGAAAATATAAAACTCGTTTATTTATTAATCTAATATATAAAATTCTCGTGTCACAATGTTCGTTCCCATTAGCATTGCCGAAAGCGGTCATCTTTGGAGCGCTGTAACAGCGTTTCTTATTAACGAAATTTAAAAAAATTATAGGGGAACATCTTCAGAAAGAGTTCCTCTACAAAATTGTTCTGACATAATTTTTTGATAAAATCAAAAGAAAAAAGTTATTAAGCAAAATAGGATTTTTTTTACTTTTATACTTATAACTTTTTGAATTTTGGATTCATGATAACAAGTAACCCAGACATAATTGTAGGCAAAGCGATTTGCTACAAAATATGTCTTAACAAATTTTTTGTACGATGGATAGTTTAGGAGATATAGCCAAAAACGTGTTTTCACCCCTTTTTCCAAGATGGCGGCCGGGGGACAAGGCCGCCAACCCCACAAACTTGGGTTTACACAAATAAAATTGCGTCCTCTAACAAATGTTCAGTTTGGCCCTCAAATTGTAACATTTCAATGGACTATTGGTGCGTTCCACTAAGCGCTCACGACGATCAAAATGCTCCTTTAGCCATTCCACATACCGACCGCGGTCGTTGTGGTCACGGCGAAAACGTCACTCATGACGTCATGACAAATGCTCACGCAACGCTCACAACGACCCATCTAAAGAGGTGGGTCGTTGTGAACGTTGAGAATAATTTGGCGCAATTTTTGAAATATGACAAATAATAATATTATTATATTCAAAGCTTAAAGATGGCGACAAGAAAAATCACATTATTTGATTCAGAAAAAGAAATTGTAAAGCCATTTCGATTATATTTAAACTTAAGTTGTTTGATAACTTCACCAAAATTATTTATAAAATATTCTATTATTCTTCATTTTAAATAAATAAATTTAAGTCACAAATATCAAAACTTATTGTTTATGATTACCTAACCTCCTTAAAATTCTACTATTTTCAAACTTGACATTTGTAATATTTAATGAACGCCCGAAACGTTCCATAATCCATTCCACTTGAGTTAACGACAGTAACATTCACAATCAGTGGAATGGGGAAATCAGCGTCGTAGCGTAATCGTCGTGAGCGCTTAGTGGAACGCACCATATAAGCAATCTAGAAAATAAAGCTCAGTACTGTCAAAATTAAATATATTTTGACGTACGGGAGAGTCTTAAGGGCTATCATTAACTCTTTAAAATATCGTTATTATAGTATAAAGAAATGCCTAAATGTTAAGATAATTATTGACTTATTCAAAAACTACATTATCTAAAATATAGTTCTTAAAAATAAAATAAATCGGTGGCACTACAACCTTTATAGGTCTGGGCCTCAGATTTCTGAATCTGTTTCATGATCATTTTTCAATGTAATAGGCAAGCCGGTTTCCTCACGATGTTTTCCTTCACCGTTCGAGCGAATCTTAATGCGCACATAGTGAGTCCATTGGTGCTCAGCCGGGGATCAAACATACGACCTCAGGGATGAGAGTTGCACGCTCTTTACAAGACATGGTTCGTACTCAATTTTGGTCTCAGGATACAAGTAGATGGCACCTCTCAGTCAAAAAAAGCTTTTGTCTTTAAATTGAAATGAAGAATTAAATTAAATATAAAAGTAATAAAATATAAGTAGGTACTTTAAAAATCCTGATCAATCGTGACTTGTGTAATTCTTGTATTTCCTTTTCTTTCGTATTGCATCGCCATTCATGAATCCGGGAGATTAGCTTTTTAGTTTGTTTAATTAAATTTTTTTTTGTATTAATTTAGATTAAGGTTCTATATTTTTTTAAATAACATTCGGTTATGCATTTCTTGCACTTTACTTATCATATTTCTCGTTTCGTTTTTCCCTTACTAGGGTTTCCTGGAAGAGATCGCTTGTTAGCGATAAGGCCGCCCGTTGCATTCCTTATAATTTTTATGTATTGTGTTATTTGTGATTATTTTAAAACAACGAAGTGAATAAACAAAAACAGAGTCGTCAACACGAAAATGCGCATTCAAATGAAAAAAATGATGACATCAAGGTTTTGGTAGTAGTAGCCTCTATGGCTACTTGAAAGATTATTGTCTAAGAATTTATGAATCAAACAATTTTGCTACATTCTACAAATGGAATCAAAATATTTGTCTCCAATAGGCCCGCTATCTTTTGACTTTTGACATCGGAAACGTACGTTTAGATAAACGAAGACGTAACGAAAACATATTAAAAATGATTCACAGTCATTTAAAAGTGTTATGAATATGTGTGTAATGGTGAATGTGGTAAATCACAGAACAGATTTTTTATTTTTTTTTACTTATGTAATTTTAATGACGTTGTGGTTTATGACATTTTCCTTTGAATAATTGTAATGTAAAGGGAGGGCAAACTTGCTGAGTTTCTTGCCCGTTCTTCTCAGAACAAGGCCTCCTGGTAGTTTTGCGAACGGATGGCGTAGTCTTGCTCTTTCGTGAATTTTGTAAACGTTGCTGACATTCATAAGCATGCTCTAAGAAGCATCTAAATTGAATAAACGTATTTTGATTTGATTTGATTTGATTTGATTGAGGAGCTCCGATTATAACGATATTTTGAACTGTAATAATTTTTAAAAGCTTCACCAATTCGTTTTGAAACAGCTATGGTATGTATCAAACTTAAAATAACTTTATTCATATAGGTAAACAAGTACACTTATGAACGTCAAAAAAGAAGTTAAATTAATTGTAAATTTACATTTACTACCACTTCGCAAGTCAAGCCCGTAGAGCGGGCAAGAAGAATTGACAGCTGGCAAGAAACTTTCCGCCACTCTTTTTAATCGCTAAGTTTTCAGTCACACAAATTGTTTCAATTGGGGCAAATCAATCCCAAGGATAAGGATAATTTAAGTATTCGTCAAATTTATAAAAAGCTTGATTAATTTACGTTCAACGAGGGCTTTGAATTTATTTAGTGATAATTCTATAATTTCGCTTGGGAGTTTGTTGTAAAAACGAATACAATTTCCATATAAGAAGTGGTTTGTCTTCTGGAGCCTGGTTGGTCGTACGCTCAAATCCATCCAAATCAAATTGATATTTATTACAGTTATGTATGAATCGCTTCTTAATACAATTTTTTTTAATTTTACAATGACAATATTATTTCTCAACCTGTCCTATGCTGAAACGGATTGTATTCTTGTGCAAGAATAGTTTCATTATAAAATTTTACTGTTATGTACCGTTAATATGTCAATAGGAAGAGACTGGCTACCCACTACACTGGGAATCCTAGTGTAGGGGCTAGTGCCTTTTGTACTAAAAAAATTTAAAATTAAAACTCGTAGGATGTTAAAAAGATGAGAGCGTCTTTTACTGATAAATACCAATTGATTGCAATTACGAATCAATTACTTTTTGTCAGTCGGTAGCTATGCTATCCTGAACAATCGCTCGTAACAAATATTAATCAAGCAATGTTTACTACTAACCAATACAATTATTATCACTTACTTAGTAACTTACAATACAATAGCGAATGTTAATTTTGACATACCGCCGTCAAGTACCCTATGTCATTACATCCCTGAAATTATTTATCCGATTTTGTAAATATTTGCAAGTCACGTGACTTTTGATAACGTAATAACTTACGTAAGTAATTGAGTTTAGGTTATCGGATAAAAAGCTAATTATTATAGAATCTTTTTAAAAATGGTGGACAGAGACTGTCATGTCAAGTTGACAGACCACCATTAGTTATTCAAATAGGCGCGAAGTTCGTAATTGCCATATTCTTTTTTTACAGTTAAAAAAGTATTTAAATGTGTGGTACTCGCGTGAACCAAAGACAATTTAGCATTTCCCGCCAACAGCCAATAATAGATAAAATATGCTGTCTATTATTAGCTGTTAAATATAAATAGTTCTTACCTTTAATATAAGAACTACTCTATTCATTCTCTTGAGGATTTCCATGGTGTGACCCTCATCCAGACCTTCCACATTCAGCATAGATCTCACAGAGTCCACCTCGAAGATTATTTGCTTGAACCACAACTCGTAAGCTAGAATGTTACAAAAAATATTTTGTATACTCAAGGCATTTACCACGTTTGTACCATAAAGATATTATATAAAGATGGATGAAGGGGTATTTAAATGAAAATACCGACTATTGACTTAGTGGTTAAAACAATAATGGGATTATTACTCATTTTACACTTGTTCGTATATATCAAAGAAACCAGGATCATACAAAAGTTGATAGGTACAGACTGGTCTATAAAAGAAAAATATCAAAGAAGCAATTGCACCTCCCATTTATTAAAGATGACATAAAAAACCGAGTTGAGCATAATGTTCGGCTCTGTACATAGAGAGCAAACAACGTATATGGCGAGAGAACGTTGTGGTATTTGCTACCGCGGCTAATAAATGGACTACCCAGTCAGTTATACGAGTAGGTAGCCTAACGCTAACCAACATAAAAAGAATTGAAAAACTACTTTTATACGCATTTTTCGTGTTACTAAACAAGACTGCTATATAACATATTATTATTTTATTATAATATTTTGTAAAATAAATACATTTAAAAAAAGTGTAAAACCCTATAATAATGATTATTTTTATTGTTAACTTATTCATACTGAAGGTTCAAAATCAGCACAATTTTCTAAATTCCGTCTGCAAAAACCAACGTAGGAATTCAGGAACTTCTCATTTAAATTCTTCGCAAATATTACAGAACAAACACTACTTATCCAGAGATTGATAGGTTAAACAATTTAAAAGAAAAGCATTCGTTAAGTGTCTATCTGATACCTAATCCGCTATTTTATTGTTAAACAAAAAATTACTAGAAAAATCTAAAATTTACGTGTAATTTTATTATTTTTAAGTTTTTGTATGATTATGTACCATAATTGGCATATATTTTAGAATAATAGCTTGTATCATATACTGTAGACATAGCATTGTATATGACGCGGTGAACTTTAATAAATTGATATGCTTCCTAGACGAAGACATCAGTTAAAAGATATGCATTTCATTAATAAAACCGTAATTCTATTCTTGGCCAAGCATATGGGACATGTTGATTGAGGTTATTGAACTTAAACATATGTAGGGGAAGATCGTTACCCTTCGTACGCGGGGCACATTCATACAGTCAAAATAAAACTTGAACGAAATAAAGTACAGTCTTGCTTTTGTAGTGTGCATGAGTCGAGGTACCAACTATACATCAACGAGTTTCGTGAAATTCGACCGATGAGAGTGAAGTTAAGGCATGACGTGTTCGCCTCGGTAAGTAATTTTGATTATTTTTTATCTTGTTACTAGTAAAAGTTTTCGTGTAGAGTATTCTATCAGTAACTAGCAAAATATACTTAAGATACGTCTCCAATACTTAATTTATGACTTTTCCTATTAATATTAAAATAAGTTATATTTTGTTGTTATTCGTTGGGGTACATTCGGACAGCACTAGATGGGCACATTTGTACGAATTGTACAACTAAATTTGTATAAAATTGTCGACGCGAACTGTCTTTTTCATACAAATTAAGTTTTCGACTTTCTACATATTACACTACTGTTAAGGCATCTTGACTAAGGTTGATTTTGATGCTTGTGAACCAGATGCTGTGAATAATTTACCAATCCATCAAAGTGTTCCTTGAAGTCAGTTTTGACACCAGAGGCATTTCGACCCTATTCGCATTCTGTAAGAAGTAAACAAGCAAATGACGATGACGGCCAGGAAAACCACGAATTTATACTGCCACACCCGAAAATAAGAAGTTGTAATCCACACCAAAGAGTAAAAATGTAATTCTAAATTTAAGATACCTAACTAATTAAATTTTTGTTTTACATAAGAAAAGTATTTTATTTTTGTTTAATAGAAATTAAATCTTTATTTTTGTGTTTAATTTCATTGCTAATAAATGAATTTTGAACTACCCCACAGCGTAAGAAGGTACCCCAAACACTGTACGAAGGTGCCCCGTTGATGGGGCAGATTGTACGTTTTCCAGATTAGTTTAAACAAATTTGGTTGAAACATCGGATGAAATCATTGTCATTTTTTTATTTGAATCTCAGAGACTAATTTAAGCTATCAGGTGATTGATATGGAAAAATAAAAAAATTAAAAATAAAATGTGAAAACCGTACGAAGGGTCCCACCTTCCCTATATGTATATATATATATAATAATTAATACCGTGTATGTTGATTGACGTAGCCATATCGTTTATTATTTGTAATATATTAAACAAAATTTAAGTTCTTTGACACCTGAAAGCGGCATATTTTCTTTAAAGCACAAGATCAGCCCGAAGCACCGAATCTCTTGATTTCCCAGTAAGGTTATCTTTTATAGTAAGTTTGTATTTTTAAAATCAAATTCAAATCTCGTCGCATGACTAAAATAATGCTTTGACAGTTGTTGATTTAAAAACGTTTTATAATAATTTACAAAAGTAGAATACAACTTAGATTTTGTTGTGTGTTTTTTCTTCTACTAATCCTAATATCCTAGCTTCCTTCAGTACCATTGATCGGAACCCCTTCACGGGTAAAGACCTCCTCTAGCTTTTTCCAAATATCCATGGCTTTCTTTCTCCACTCGCTTCCTGCTACCGCTTCTATTTCTTCTATCCCATCTATTTGGAACGCCCTCGTCTTCTTTCCCTTGGTCCTTTCCATATAGTTTAAGTCTTAGTATACAAGGTCCTTTTATCTGTGCATCTTGCTATATGCCTTTATTTATTTATTTATAAAAGGTCGCCAATGCTCGGCACACTGATACATTGGTGCAAGAAAAATTAAATACAATATTTAATGTGATTGGCAAACAACATATACGTTATAGAAAAAAAGATAGAAAAATCGATTTCAAAGTGTGAGGAGAGCAACTATGACTTTTCAAAATGTTGATTTTTGCGTAGACATTTAAACTTGATAGAATACAACAAAATAATTATTATCATAATAATATTATTATAAAAATAATAGTAATAATTAGCGTGAGTTTTCAGCTGAAATAATGAAGTACCTTGATGTGTCACGATAAACAAGTGCTCATCGTGGACAGTTTTCGAGGATTCAGCACTGAGCATGCGCTGGGCAGAGAGCAGTTTATCCAGCATGAGGTATTCTCCATACAGCATCCCAGCTTCATTTCCTAGGTGGCTGCCATCCTGTCCTATATCTTCTAACGCTGATCTGAAAGTACAAAATTTTCTCCTTTATAGGAAGCGTTCAAGTATTACGTAACGAATTTTGGGAGGGGGGGTCCTTTTGTCAGACGTTACGATGCGGGGCGGGGATTGTATTACGAGTTATTGTTAATATTATTTGATTTTCGACTTTCCAGTACTTTACACCACATAATGGTAACTTATAGGTATATAAAGAGTCACTGGTTGGTCACGAAACATTTTACTATTGGGTACAGAAAAACGTTACGGCGCGTAACATGGGAGGGGGGTGTCAATAATCTCCACAAAAAAAATCGCCTCTGTGGATTCAAACTCAAACTCAAAATGACTTTATCCACATAACCAAGTACACTTATAAACGTCAACAGAAAAGATGTTAACTTGATTCTAAATTTACATATTTTACTACCAGTTCGCAAGTAAAAGAACTGGCAAGAAACTCTCCGCCACTCTTTTTAATCGCCAAGCAATCGCAAGCGTTTAGTGGACCCGCGAAGTAATAAATGTTATTAGCTCAGAAGGTTTATCGTCTGCTATCAAACAACAAATGTTTCATCAACTTTTAAAAATTAAAACACATTAAAAGAGGCTCACGTCAAAATGTTTATTAGTATTTGACAATCTAGGGTCATCAGATTAATCTCAAATTAAAACTGGTTTGAGCCAGTTCGGGAGTGACGCATGTACTCGTATGATAATGAATGATGATGACTCGTATATTATATCTAACAGATACAAAAATTTTAAGTTGTCATTTGTGATGAATTACATAACTGTTTTTCGGACAACGTTTGCCCTCTGTTTAAAAAAAAGAAACAGGTTAGAGAAGAAATAACGAGAGTTATTTCTGCCATTTTTTCCGCTAGTTGCCTACGACATACTCTTATTATAAATATGATTATGTAGTTCAGCTTTGACAAAACTATTGCATCAAATATCTAGGTCAACAGAAATATTGTTACCTACCTATTTGATATACCACTTTTAATGTATGTAAGTAACAGTTTTAAATTTGAGGCTCAAAGCTCAGTCATTCGTCAATGATTCCTAGGCTACGTGGTAATCCTAGGTGTATAGTGTTGCACGTTTGAATAACTCGGGTTGGATTTCAAAGGACTTGTGCGGGCTTTGAATTTTTGAAGTTATACTTCTTTAGGCGCGTTATGAAAAATTGATGAGAGTGAAATTTTACGATGCGCGCGCACCGTGACACAAAATTAACAGAACGAAGTTGCCCACGGAAGATGCTACGGCATTGGACATAATTTAAAAACAACAATCGAATAATAATATAATTTATGTTACACTTAATGTAAGAGAATTATAATAAATATTTATTTATTTAATTTTTCAAATGTAAACTGAACTTTATTGACTATAATGACTCCTTTTCCAGTCTTTGATTGTCTAATTGTAATTAATTATTTGCATGCAATCAAAAAAACTATTTTTAATAATGCCAAAGAAGTATAACTTCTTACGCGCGTACATAAGTACGCACCCTTTTTATTTTAGCTGAGTTTCATCATATTTATTAAGCATTCATCAACTGTAATGAATGACTAAATATACGTATATCTTAACTCTGGGGATTGGGGTTTTTAGTTAAATACTCTATATACTGTGTTGGCCTAGTGGCTTCAGCGTGCGACTCTCATCCCTAACTAAGGTCGTAGATTCGATCCCGATCCGAAGTTTCTTTCTATGTGCATTTCTTTCAGCGTGCGATTCTCATCCCTGAGGTCGTAGGTTCGATTTCCGGCTGTGCACCAATGGACTTTCTATGTGCGCATTTAACATTCGCTTGAACGGTGAAGGAAAACATCGTGAGGAAAACCGGCTTGCCTTAGACCCAAAACAGCCGATGGTGTGTGTCAGGCATAGAAGGTTGATCACCCACTTGCCTATTAACACGGTCACGGAACAGATACAGAAATCTGAAGCCCAGACCTAAAAAAAATAAACAACTGCTGAATACAAAGCACAGTAGTTTTCTAATATAGCATAAATCATGATTTTATGTATTGATTAGTAATATGGATTACAATCAAGTATACAGTATGTACAATTTTCTTAACCTACGAAGTAATAAAAAAAAAAAGTGTGTGTGTGTCAGCTACGACGCACGATTGGAGTTTACTCCTTACGAACGATAAAATGGCGAAAATGTTCTGTGGCTGTCGACCATATTTTCATACTAAAGGTGGTAAGAATATATGTTTTTATAATATAAATGTTTGTAGTAGTAATAAAACGTACCTACATCATCTATGCCCAAATAGGATTTTCTTTCTGTGACCAAAGTTACCTTTATAGTAAGAGAAGAATAAGAATGAACAATCTTTTTAGTTTTAATTTCACTGACCATTACTATTGACAAAACTCTATAGCACGCTAGACAATCTACTTTTATTTTTTACACCTGTCAACACCGACAATGTTGTAACGTGGCTGTCAAAACGTGAATTCAAAATAGAAAAGTCTGTGTAATGTATTCCATCTCATTCTTTTACACGTTCAATCCTACAGATATATATGTTTGTCTCTTTCTACATAACGCCTCAACTTTTCGTGTTACACTTGATTTTACTCCTCATAAAATTTCCGTACCGGGCCTTATAACTCAAATCGATTCTTAAGGAGTAAACTCCAATTATTAAAAAGAAAAGAAAACAAATTTAAAGAGTCTGGTCCCTGTGGCAGTGTACCTTTAACGCTGGCAGCATTTCCTGGCTGTATTGCGATACTTATTCGTTGAGCCAGGAAAGCACCAGCTCTGGGGTCACTGGTACTATCTACCAGGCGTCAACTTAAATATTTAATAAGCGCTTGTGCACTTGAACTCCATGGCCCAAGAGTCCAAAGGGAACAAAATCGAAGTTGGAGGAAAGACACTTATATTTGTGCCGTTTATTATTTTCTGCGAGCTCTGCAGCAGCCCCAGCTTTATATTATATTATTACTAGCTGACACGTCGTTTTGCCATGTTTATTATTTCTAGGAATCATTTTTTTTAGTTCAATAAAAATAACCATCTATTATAATAAAAATAGGGGTTGATCGAAAAGGGGTGACAATTAAGGTATTTTGTATGCTGTATCATAAAAACTAAAAACAAAAAGTTTTGTCTAAAAAATAAAAAATAAAATTTAGGGGTGGGACCTTTAACATTTAGGGGGATGAAAGATAGATAGTAGCCGATTCTCAGACTTACTGCATATGCATAAAAAAATTGCATAAGAATCGATCGAGCCGTTTCGGAGGAGTATGGGAACGAACATTAAGACACGAGAATTTTAAATATTAGATATTATTCTGTAAAACCAATAAATGTAAAAAACGTTATTATCCACGGTATGAATATTAAAAGTAATTAACGTTGCGCTGCGTAATTTAATCATACATGTGTAAAATAAAATTATGAGAGACAAGCCGGCGACACTGATTTTATAGCTTACTAGCTGACCGGGCAAACGTCGTTTTGCCATGTATATCATTTATAATAAAAAATAGGGGTTGATCGTAGAGGGGTGAAATTTAGGGGTTGGTATGTATTTTTTAATGCTGTATCATAAAAAAATAAAAACAGAAAAAAATATCTAAAAATAAAAAAATATATTTAGGGGTACTATCCTTAACATTTAGGGGGATGAAAAATAGATGTTGTCCGATTCTCAGACATACCCAATATGCACACAAAATTTTATGAGAATCGGTCAAGCCGTTTCGGAGGAGTTTAACCACAAACACTGCGACACGAGAATTTTATATATTAGATTATTTATAAGCTAATGACACCAAGAACCAGTTTAAATAAACTAAAAGTAAATTTTTATTGTTATTTGTGTTAGTGTTATGTAATTGCAATAAAAAGCCTTTGACACACCAGAAACAGGTCTGTTTTATCAACCGGTTTAAGAAACGAACCTACCCGACTTATAACTGTAATTATTTTCAATTTTAAACCTTAATAAATGTGGTTAAACATTGACTCATACATTCTTAATGTACAACAGTATTTTAAGTATAAAATTGTACGTATTTTGTCAAGTACCGTTAATGTGGGATATATCCTCGGGATTTGCTCTAGTTCAAATATTTATGGCTGTTGTGCCTTACAAACAATTTGTATCAAAATTTGGCGATTAAAAAGAGTGGCGGGGTTTCTTGCCCGCTCTACGCCCTTGTCTTGCTAACTATTACTTTCTTATACTATTCCTTTCTTGGCGAGTGCTTTAAGGTCTCTGCAGTTAGGCTATGGAATTCACTTCCAGTCCCTATTCGCTTAGCTCCTTCTCTATCTTCCTTTAAATTTCTTCTGTACAAACATTACCTGTCCACATCGTATCCCTAACTTTAATAATACCCACTAACTGACGTGAGACTGATCTTAAATTAAATTTTAATGATTCATGTGCACTTTTTATTATTAGGTTTTTAAAAAAATTTATGTATCCTTTATTAGTTTGTTTTTTATTCCAGTTAAGTTTCTTTTTCTCAACAACTATATGTAATACATGTATTTTTGCACTTCTTGCCTACCTTATGTAATTTAATACTTTTTTTTCTTTTCTCACAGTGGTTGCCTGGAAGATATCGCTCGAAAGCGACAAGGCCGCCAGTTGCTCTCCTTTTTATTTAATTATGTCAATTGTGCTATATTTATGTATATGCAACGAAGTGTTAATAAATAAATAAATTAATTAATTAAGAATCAATTTAAAATCTTTTTTGTTGACGTTCATAATTGTACTTGGTTACCTACATGCAATGAAAAGTTGCTATCTGTTAATGGCTTAGGGCATCCTAGTGTAGGTACTTGTGGACTTTCTAACTAAACAGCCTTTTTTGTTATGTCATATAAAGTTTTTTCTTCTTTTTTTTCCTTCATGCCTTGTTTATCAAAAATAGCGATGGTAATACAATAAAAAATTATACAATAAACTAAAACATGAATTGCGATGCAATAAAAAAGAATAAGAATTACAAAAGTAACGATTGAGCAGGATATGGTTAAGAGATCTTTATGTAGAAGAGTTTTAAAAGATGTTAGGGAAGTAGCCAATCCTATGGAGTCGGACAGCCTATTTCACAACTTAATGGCGGAGATCCTAAATTGCCTAAGAAGGATGAGCTGCGAGATGGAATTTCCAAAAAGCATCTATTAGAGGAGCGTAACATATAGTTATAATAAATATACTTTCTGCCATTTTTACCAACGCTTAGATTTATAAACTTTACGACAAATTTTAATAATAATACCTTTATGTAAGATTATATGTTTTACTTAGAGTTAGTAACAATTATGTCTTAGTTGCTATGTTAGTATTGGTTAGTAAACAAAAAGACTACTATAGTGGGGCATGGACAGCATACCAACGTTTTAAAATATGCGTGTTGTTTGTAATCAACACATACAGGATACCATTGGTGACACGCCTAACAAGATGCATTAACGATGCCACACTTTTCCGAATTTTAATCAAAAAAGTCAAACGTCAAAATCATTTATTCATTTAGGTAACACAATGTACACTTATGAACGTCAATAAAGTAATACATATTAAATGCTTCTAATTTTACATTTACTGCAAGTTTTCAAATCAAGGGCGGAGAACGGAAGAGAAGAACTGGCAATAAACTCTCCGACACTCTTTTTAATCGACAAGTTTTGTTGTTTTACACAATGTTTGTAAGCAGCTGCAACCATTACACCATGTCCCACATGACATCTTAAGTAATTAATAATAATAAAATTAATAAAAACAAAGATTAGTCCTCTATCAGCAGGAGGCATGGTGAAATAGGAGCACGTACTTACGTTCTCGTGGGAACAACACGCAAATTATACATAGTCGAAATAATTAACATCACCGCATGGCGCATACACGAATTCAAGTTCGACCAGTCACAAGTCGATAATCGATAGTAATGGAAGTTATTGAAAAAAGATTTAAAGTATGACTTCCGAATGTCAAATCATCACCAATTGACCTAGTCCCATGCTAAGCTGGTGAAGCTTGTGTTATGGGTACTAGGCAACGGATATATATACATACATATTATAGATAGATAGACATATAAATACATATTTAAACACCCAAGACCTAAGCACAACACCAAATGCTCATCAATGATGTTGTTACGGGATAACCCCGGGACCCATGGATTCGACAGTCAGGGGTACAAACTTATAGTTCAGACTTTCCCATAGATCTATTAAACTACGATTTTCCGATTGACTCTAGAGTAAATTTAAAACCTAATAATATATATGTATATCCTCATTTTAGATTTAATTGTTGACATGTAATATAACAGTCAAGGTACTAAGATTGATGTGTGGTTTAGGCTGACATAATTAATTGGGTAGCAATGTAATTAATACCGGTAAAATAAGATAATATTTTGTCAGTCCATTGAATAAAACTTATTTTAAATAGGCATCCAGCCCGAGTTGGACACTGGACTATTGTGTGTGTATAGGTATATACCATTGTGGGTACTAGACTATTCTTAAGTGGACCCTCTTTGGCCTATGTGGTTAATATTATTAATAATTATTAAATTTGTGATTTAGTTTTGATGTTGTTTTCTACCTTCCTCATCCCTCAAATATAACACAAGTTAAAATGAGGACAATCAGTACTAATAAAAATATTACTATAGAAAGGATACAAATGTGTGAAAATGACGAGAACTGAAGAAGGCGCAGTGCTAGCCATCCATGCAACTTCCTCACAATCGAGTAGCCCGCAATATGAAACGATTAATGCGTCTGTGGGAATCAAATCCGGGGTTACTATCTATAAGTAACTGAATTGAGTACTTAATTGTTATTGTCAGAGACAATTATTATTAATTTAATCGTTTTTGTTAGTACTAATATCGATTCCTGAAAGTAACGTATATATTTATGAATATTTGTTATATTAATGTGTAACCCCGAACGTATATTATTTCGTCGGGTATAATTGGTTTTAAATATATCATGTTTATGCCACGGAGGTTGTAAATACGTTGGTGGTGGGTAAAGAGTTTGTTCCGATAAACAAAACAATAAATAAAATATTATAGAATCGTTTGTTAACGAAAATAACGTTTTTAACATAGCATTTATCAGTTTGTTTATGTCACTCTAGAATGTTCTATGTTAATGATTAATCACTGTATGACAGGAATATTATTTAACTTTATATATCTAAATTGAATTAAAAAAGAACGGTTTCTTTAATAACGAATCAAATTAGGTACATTTTCCAGAGTAGCTCTAAGCCCCATGCCCCGTCATAAACACGTTTTGTTTTATCTTGCTGTTATTTTTTATTTACTAAGACTTGTATTTTCTACAGAAAGATCACAGGGAACGTTACGTTTTAAAATACCTACAAAATATGTAAAAAAATTAATGATATTTCAATTGGTTTATTTTCTGATACAAAACATTTAAAAATTAGATACATACCTCATAGGACACGACATATTTCCCAAAATCACGAATTCCAAATTCAAACACTACAAAATTCCGACACACGCGTTCTATTCCCGATGTCGTTGCACACTGACTCGTGAGTTAATGAACAGTGTTCTGTGATTGGAGATATTTGCAATTCGGCAATTTAAATGCCATAGATTCTTCACGGGTTTCTTATTTCGCTTTGCACACTTTTATTATTATTACATCATTTTTGTTTGTATGATGTTATATGTGGAAGTATTTCGTAGTTTAATAATTTATCTGTAGATTTGGAATGAATAGTTTATTTTATTAAGGTTGAAATGTTGGTGACATTTATTTTGACTAATGGAAAGAAAAAAAGGTTTGTGAGGTTTCGTTAATAGAACAATATTGAATCTAAGTAGATAATCTCTGGAAATATTAAATCCATTTAGATTTTTTTTCTATACGCGAAATTATTTTCGGCATGAACAATAACCTACTTACTACTTACCTATTTGATTGTAATAAATACACTAGACTCTAGAGTTAAGTTGGCGGTAGTTGGAGGGATGTTTAAATGTATATTAAATAAATGAAACTGTTTAAAGTTGGATGTCAACTGGCTATAATCGTTTAATACATGAGCTTATAACTACCCGACCTATTGGACATTATCGTAAACGAGAATGTTATATTACAACTTATAAGTATAGGAAAAACTAAAGGGCTCATGTCGGTTTCAAGTGTGCGATAGTTGTTAACTAAAATATACTTATGTCACTTAATTACTGTTAGGTAACATAACTCGAGTGAAGACAATATTTATTTTATGTTAGATCCTAGAACCAGGAATATTACTATAAATAGTAACAGCTTAACAGTAGCATGCACTTTTCTATATGGTAGATGAATATTTTTTTTAATTAAGCAGCTTTTTTATACGTTTCACACTCGTCATTAACCAAGTAAATGATATGGCCTATGACGTATACCTACATAATTCATGTAAGACGTTACCGTTACATAAGAGAATTATAATAAAGTCTATTAATTGCATCATTCGCGTAGAAATTAATGATAGGGTGGACTAGTGGCTATAGCAATTAATTAAAATGCAAATAATACTTGAAAACATTGTGATTACTTGTATGAGATACGTATATATGAGATATGTATATATAAGACTAATAATTAAATGACATCGCACATCTAAAAATAAAAGAAAGATAGGTATTCCAAATTTAAATGCAATGCATCATAGACAATTTTATGTGGACAGCACCACGACCTTCCAACAATTAATACTAAATTTCAATAAGGGATTACTTCTAACAATATAATTAATAACAAAAATTAGTACGTTATCACAACATACATAATATTATAATTTGTACGTAAAATATGGAAGAGAACTGAGTAATGTGCATAAATATGTAGGTATTATGTGGGATTAATTCTTTTCAATTATTAAGAAACATCACTAAAAAACGGAAATCAATTTGTTCCACGTGATAATCTAAACTGTACTTTGACAACGAATGAAGTCTAGATTTCCACGTGAGTTACCATCTGATTCCAACAAAATTTGTATTTTTCTGATGGAAGAAATCAAATATAAAAAGTTTTAAATACATAATAAGTATTAAATATAATTTTATTAAACAAATAATTTGAATTAAAGCAGTAGTGAAGTAAAGTAAAGTAGGAATAGAAAGGTATACTTTGGAATATTTTTAATTTCGAGTTTCTTAAAATATCCTCAATTATTGTAGTATGATAGATAATATTGGAGGTAAGAAGTGAGACAGAATACCCTGTATTGATTTCAAAGATGTCAAGTTTATAAATTATTGTTGAAGTAATCGCTGGTCGATAATTTATATTTATCAGTAGTTTTTTTATGTTGTTTAGTTATTTTTCAACCAACTGATGAAAAAAAAGCTAAGCAATAAGCTATTATGTTATTACCTATTGAAATCAATTAGACAAAAGGGACTAAAATTTGCCATATGTAAATTTTGTCATCGCGAAAGTCCCGTTTCTAATCACTATTGCAGCGAATAAAATATTGAACTAAGCTAATATTATAATATAGACAAAATCTGTAAAAAAAAAAAAAGGGGGCCTGGGGGGATTTTTTTGGGAAAAAAGTGTTGGCTTCTGTGGAAACTCAAAACTAATCTGTCAATCCAAACATGTCAAAAATGTTTGCAAATTGTTATTATAAGGCTATGTAGGTTCAATGGCAAAAACTTGAGCGCGTTTTCAAAGTAAATAAATAATGTATAAATTCAGGCGGCGCGGAAAAAAAGGGCGGCTTATGGTAAATTTATGTCCGTTTGCTGTTAGATGAGCTGGAATTTTAATGATAACCCATGTAATTTTGTTAATTTTCGTAATAAAAATGTTGACTTCTGTCGAAACTCAAAAACTAATCTGTCAATCCAAACATGTCAAAAATGTTTGCAAATTGTTATTATAAAAAATAAAAAAAAAAAAACCCCCCCCCCCCCCCCCCCCTCCCCCCCACCCAAGGGGGGGGGGGCCACCCCCCCCCCCCGCGGGGGCCCCCCCCCCCCAACCCCCTCCAAATTTGGGCGCGCGGTGGCGCGCGTTGACGCGCGTTACAAGAAACAAGCCAAAAATAAATACATATTGTTTTTAATAATACACATAATAAAAACTTAAAAATTATTAATTTTATATGCATATTGTAAATAAAGAATATAATATATATTTATTGTCAAGATCGTCGCGTTGGTGTAAATTTTTTACTGTTTATAATTAATACTATTATGTCTTAAAAACAAATTCTAAATCTGCTGTTCGTATACTGAATACAAAAATATATACATTATTTGTGTTATACGTTTACTCTCTATAATGTGGTAAGTTGAAAGCTATGAAAAAATTCTCATTGCTAACTATTTTATAACGGATTTTTTTTATTACTCCAAATGTTTATTACTTTTCTAGTACTCCAGACTTACCAAAAGAGTTTAAAAAATCATCTGAAGTATTGCCATTTTCAAAATATGGAGTTTCATCACTTGAAGAATTCAAACTAGCGGAAGAGCAGGTACAACATTTAGAATGGCTAAAGAAAGCTGGTTTGACCAATGAAGAAGTTAAGTTATATCAGGATAATGAAGCAGGACTTCTTGAGCAACAGAGTAAATCTGAATCCAGTATATTAAAGCAGAAACTTCAATTATTGTACAGAAAAATTAATGAATTTCAAGAGAATAAAGACGGGTATGTTACATTCTATTATTAGTTTACAACTTTTTTGCTTTTAATATTGTTTAAGTTTATTTTTTTTTGTAGAATATTCTATGTAACAAATTTACCCCTGAAGTAATTAATAATACCTTCCTGTTACATAAATATGAATACCTTATCTAATGATATACTATCTACATGTGCAATAGTGTGTGAAAACTATATTCTTATGCCATTAAATTTTTGGAAATTTAATTGGTTATTATAGTTTTTATTTATATTAAACAATGCAAAGGTGTAGGTGACACCAAACACACTAAACTGCACAAGTTGTACTATTCAAATATGTGTTGCAGCTCAGATAAAAATGAAGATCCAGTACCCAGTACTTCAACTAATAGTGAATCTAATCAAAAGAATACAATAAATTTTTACCCGGAAGGCCATCCAATGAATGAGCTCAAAAAAATTGAGGAAAGTCTTTTTGGCCATTTAAGAAATGATGACATATTGCCAATTACTAAACGAAGAAAAATCTTACGAAGGTTGGACCGAAAAAAGGAAAGGATTTTGTCTCAACAAAAAGAACTGCATATAGATCCGATACCATGTTCTTCAAAGGCTAAATTGGGCAGTTTGTGGGATGTGAAAGATATACCAGATAGACTTAAAGAGCCACCAAGCAAAAGGTTGGTTTGGTCTTAAATTGGTCTAATAAATTCTGATAAATTCTGACCTGGTAAAACAAAATTGACAAAAAACTGTTTGGAAGGCAGTTAATACCTAACTAATTAAGAAGAGACATTTAATGTCATTGAACTGAAACAGGGACTCCATTTCTTGCAGGGCTTTATTTACTGAGAAATAGGGCAAAAATTCTTTGTTTTGAAACATGTTTCAGTGTGCAAGGTACAAATGAAACAACAATAAAAAACATTTGCCAATGTGATCTGAAAATATATGACGATTAATGGAAACTATAATATAATTTGGTAATACAAGTATCTAATGAAAAGTTAGGCATTTTTTTAAACTTACCTTATGTTTTAGACCTCTTATTGGCCCAAAAAAACAGACTATGTATACCGTAAAGGATAATAAAATTGTAAGATTGGAGCAGGAAAGTCAGGAGGAGTTCCGGGCAGTTGACATTGTCCTACCACAAAATCAGGCAGAGGAACAATTGTTAGAAGGAACTAAGATGAGTCTTGACGATATTAAAAGTATTGAACGGTTCAAAGATTATAAACCTGGGATTCCATCAAAGGTATAAATATTGCCGATTTGTTATTTATAATAAATCCGCCACCTTTCTGACTAAGTAGTTGTTGCAAATGCCATATGAAGGACATTTTCTATATTAAAAATGTATGTCTTTACTGCTTATATTCATTCTCGTATCTTGTCTACAGTATTGATGGACTTGATTTTTTATTGTTATTCCTTCTAATATGATTTCAGGTTCTATACTTGAAGAATATTGCACCTTCTGTAAGTGAAGAACAGATTTCCCTATTATTCAATCAATTTCAACTTGAAAACGGTGGCCCAATTGATGTGCATCTTCTGAGTGGCCGTATGAGGGGACAAGCATTTGTTACATTTAGAAGTAAGTTTCACCTCAAGTTAAATCTGATGTTATCTGTGGTATTAACTCAATTTAAAAGCCTATTTTTATTTTTTAAGTCTGACTAAAGAGACATATTATTACATAATATAGTCAGTGCAATTATACCGTTATGTTACCTTAATTCTTAAATTCTCTTGTAGTGAGTGGCATGGCAGTTATCATCTTATATATAAAATTCTCGTGTCGCGGTGTTTGTAGTTAAACTCCTCCGAAACGGCTTGACCGATTCTCATGAAATTTTGTGTGCATGTTGGGTATGTCTGAGAATCGGACAACATCTATTTTTCATCCCCCTAAGGGTTAAGGGTGGTTTTTTTTATAGTTTTTAGATTTTATAAGGCTTATATATATATATATATATATTTAGAAGTTTCATAACCTTTTAACTAAGTAACAATAGGTCTTTGTGAAAAAGCATTGCTAAATTTCTTTGAAAAAATAATTAAACCTCCTTTATTTGTTTAAAAGGTAAATGTCATTATGTTCATTTAAATTCTTGTCATAGCTGCTACAAGTAGCGGCACGAAACTCTAGCGCTGACCGTTATTGCGCAGAAGTAAAAAATAAGGTACCTGAGGGGGGCTAGCGGAATGAAGAGCGTCGATTGGCTCTCCAGTCGCATTCCGTCCCCCGCGCGACAGTACACATGCGCAGCAATCCCCTCCACGTATCGGCCAGAGCTAGACTTACGTGCCGCTGCCTATAACTTCACGCATATTCTATTTCTTTTTACGTGTAGATTGTCTTATTCCCATCTCGCTCGCGCACGCTATAATCACACTGACAACTTTGTGTCTCAGGTGCGCGCGCATCGTAAATTTCACTCTCATCAATTTTTCATAACGCGCCTAAAGAAGTTTAACTTCAAAAATACATACAACCCCTAATTTTCACCCCTCTACGATCAACCCCTATTTTTTATTATAAATAATATACATGGCAGAACGACGTTTGCCGGATCAGCTAGAATCCAAATAAACATACCAATTTAAAAGAGGAAAATCAATGTAAAGAAAGAATATACTAAATATACATTTATTTCTAACAGGTGAAGACTTAGCAATACAAGCATTAGACGAAGTCAATGGTACAATTATGTCCGGTCGACCTATCATCGCTGAGTTTGGCAGAAACAGCAATAGAGTACAGAATGAGAGATAAATATAAAAATATTGTATTTAATCATAAGTATTACTATGCTAATTATACTCTATGTATAAACATTAAACCTAATTAAGAAAAATTACAAATCCTGCATAATATAAAGATTTTCCTAAGTTATTTTCCTTCTTAAGTGGTATTTATTTACATCCCACAATGTAACTATTCATAACTATTCGTAATTTATATTAAACCCTAAACATATGTTACTAATGGAAATGAAATTTCTGCCACAAACCCATATTTTCAATATTTATATACTAGTGCCCAATATAACCTACATATAAAAACTAAACAATATACCTTAAAAATACAAAACACGCGCGTTCCATTAAAAATTGTAGATAACCAATCACACAGACATACATTTTTTAATTCTTAAGTTTTTGTCACTGTTTAAAAAGTCTAACATTATCCAATTTTAGTCCAATTTACAGATTAAATTGTCTTTAACTCTCAAACTTAACCAACACTTGAGTGCACTCTCAGCGAGTTAAAAGGTCTCTTATCTGAAACCATATTGGTTGTCAAAAAATAATGTCAGATACAATCCACTTTTCAGTACTACACGATTTTTAGTAATTAATAAGCTATTATATACTCAAATGTCAAAAATGCATCAACACTGACTGACTGACAACAATGAACTGTCACTTTGACATTTTTAAACCTGTCAGTAGATTTAGTGAACTAAGCATGTTTTTGATCATATCCTCACTCTCCACCAGATTGAATCTCATTATTAAAGAGAAGGTTATACCGTAGTTTTAAACTTGACATTTTTGAGAAGCTAGTTAGCACTCAAGAGTGGATCCAGTGATGAGCTTAAGCGCCCTCCTTCGAGGAGGACTTGCGCCGTCTTTTGACGACGCGTTTCGGTGACAATCATTCATTCTCCTTCTTGACAGGTGGCTCTTCAGCCGCTGAAAATGTTTTATATTATTTAATATAGTTTTCGTCTTTATTACCTTAGCCATTGCGTTAATAATAAATGAAACTTGATTAAAAATAATCAATGCACCTAGACGCGAAAAATAAATTAGTAATAAGTGTTTAAATGTTCCATCCAAACCCACTAATATAATAACTATATTATTTGCAAGTTTTTAATGGAAATTTGTGAAATTTCATCAGTTTACTGTATGTTTAGGTAAACGATTATATTACTTGGCACATGGGATTATTTAGGCATTCCAATTTATAGCAAAGCTACTAATAAACCAACTCACGCTTGATCTCATGATGAGGATGCGGATGCGCGTGGTGCGGCGGGTAATGTTCCGGTCCGGGTGGGTAATAATGCGGATATCCGGCCGGGTATCCACCCGCGTAACCCGGGTAATATCGTCCACCGTATGCACCACCGTAGCCACCTACAAATATTAATCATATTATTCCCATACTAAAATACTCATATTGCTAAACATTTCTCAAGAGACATCACTTTTGTATGTAGTTGTCAAAAAGTCAAAAGTTATTTTAGACCAAACAAACACTCAAAGATAGTATTGGCATTTTTGAAGTGATAGGAGGGTATAGGTCGGTTATCGAAAGCTGGCGCGTTCACAGTACTCACACTAATGCAATTTCACTATACAGTATGTTTAAAAATATGACTTTTTTGCCAAGCTATATATTTTAGTCTACTCTGGTTTTAGTAAGGTTGGGTGGGTTGTAAATAAATAAAAATGTGTCAAATACATATAAATATTATGTGCCTACGAGGGTGGATCCAAAAGTTCTAAGCCCGACCAAGAACGTAAAAGAGTAGTTTGTGTAAATCATTTTTCGACATAATCTCCATCTAGCTCAACACACTTCACTTTTACTTCACTAACAAATCTTTCAATACTCCTCTTAGAAACCCCAGTCGCATCTGATGTCAAATTAAAAATAACCTTTTTTTCATTAAACTGTTTTTATTAAGATGCTTAAAATAATTAAAAACATTGTGCACCATTTCACGAGATTACCCTGGTAATGTTTGAAAAAAGATCAACATAAACAGTAGCAAAAGCAAAACAATAACTGTCTCTTTTATACTCATAAGCTTGACCGAGCGCGAGAGAGACGGACAGTCTTTTCATGATGTATTAAATACATTTATTAAATATATGTTATTGTATTTCAGTTTGACATCTCGCCTGGCGCTTATTCACAGACAAGCACAAAGTGTAAATGTGTTGAAGCCGCCAGCTTTAAATAACATACCAATAAACCGTTTCGGTACGTAAAAACACATTTGGAAGATAAATTGTGCTATTTGACACTTCAGCGGACTCATAACTTATGATGGACTTTATGTGACGAATAGCGCTATCTGACAGTCGTGAAACGCAACAAAAGTGTTTATCCTACCAATAAGTAATAAATAGCTAATTTGGAACTTATCTAGAACTAATCCGTAAATTGTAAAACAGACCCTAAGTGTTTAGTGTGGGTTAGACATTTACTGTTGACAGTGAGTATTTTAACCTCAAACTATCACCGTTTTTGAAAGTGATTATAAAAAAATAGTTTAATTTATTTTTATTACTTAATAAAATTTATGTAATAACCGAAGCTTTTCTCAATTTAAACAATTTCAATATAGTTCAACTTAGATTAGTTTAAGTTATCACTTTTGTCGGGCGTCCCGACTAGCACATATAAAATCATTTCAATAAAAAATAAATAAAATATGTTTATTATGGAACATAAGATACATGTATCACTTATTCCACGTCATTAAATTTGAATTTGTAGGCATCCCTACTCATAGGCAAAAAAAAATACATTATCAATACATAAAATATAAAAATTCTTTATAATATTAGTATAGTATGTTTTTAACCTGGTGGTGGAGGTGGACCTCCATGAGGTGGTTGATGCGCAGGCGCATTAGGGTTTGGTGGCATCATCATACCTAAAAGAGAAGCACCAATTATCGTTTCTAATAGTTTAAGATACATATATTGTACCTCACCTACAGTCATACTGTAATAAAATATGTACCTGCATTGGGCGGGGCTATATGCGCTTGAGGTGGCGGATGCGCAGGCGCATCTTTAGTTTCCATCTTCATTTCATGAGACTTCTCTTCTTTGCGCTCACCTAATAAAAACATATTGTATTACCTCTTATATTAATTATCTATATATCAATGGTAGTCGCCTACTCATGCTTGGGCACATTAATTGACTATGATTTTTATCGAGGGCTGAGTACCTATATAAACTGTTTTTTTTTAAATTAAGTTGTTGCATAAAATTAAACTTTTACTAAAATATTTTTCCATTAATAGCTGTGTATTATTTTAAATAATGCGTAATCCTAAAAAGGACTTTAAAACAATGTTTATTCTGTAAATCACCAAATCTATAAGGATTAGAAGAAAATACTAAAAATCTTTGTAATATTATTAATCTAATAAAATTAACAATTTCTTATACACCATGTTATTCTAAATGTCATTTTATTTCTTAAATTGTATTAATACAGTGTTTACATAATAGGGCCTTATATACATATTTATATATCTAATGGATTAATTAAATATAAAAATTCTCACCCTCATTTTCGTGCCCCGGTGTACTATCCGGTATAGCCTCTTTATTTTCAGGTTTTTGCAGCTCTGTGGTCATATTCTCGTCCATTTTCACTTCACTGGTGGAGACTTTGTCAACTTGCGTTGGCGCATTTGGTCCGTTTGTTTCTGTTTTTATCGGCTGTTGACTTGGTTCATTGGCAGGCTGAAAATATTATTACAAATAATATACCATAATCATTTTTTTTTGTAGTGATTATCAATATGACATGACGATAAATGGCATCGTACCATGTTTAATACATGAGTAGAAATATGAGTAAGAAATACCTCATCCTTTCTGTCTCTGACAGTAGTATGAGCTGGATTAACGCCACGTCTCATCTGCTCAAGGGCTCTCTCAACCATTCGAGTGAAAGTCTCTTCATCAACTGCTGGTTTGCAATGCTGAATATATAAAAATAATAATTTTAATATTTAAAAAAAAATCTTTTAAAGAAAAAACTTTTTACCGGATTAAAGTTATGTATTATTATAAATTTACAATTATTTATCATAATTTTAAATTTATCCGACGTTTCGCGTGCTTTACAGCGTGCGTGGTCACGGTGACTGAAGACAAAAGGTGTTGGATGTCAAAAAGTATCACAGCTGTAGAGAAAGTTGCATTATCTGTATTTATTTCCCCGGAGTTGGTATCGACTAAAAGATGGAGGGTTTTGGCAAAAATGGCTCACAAAAAAATCTTCATAAAAAAACTGTTTTTATCATTAATTACTTCTGAAATTGCAGCAAATTACTGGCCGATAGCTATTGATACCGTAAACAAAATTTATTACAAACAGTGAATTTTTTTTTGATAATATAACTTATCATCATACTGATTAACAAAATATTACAGTGTACCCACATTATTAATTAATATTTTTTTAAATTTGTACTAATACTGCAAATTTAAATTATATTAAGGAATGTTTTTTAGGCTTGCCAATTAATTATTAGTGTTAATTTATAAGTACTTCACATTTTTATGTACTAGTATAAGTAATTAGAGCAATAAAGGCTTTTATTATTATTATTATTAATGAAAGTTTTTTTAAATTGCCCAAACGTCTATCTTATAAATGTTTATAGTTGTTTTAAGATGATTTTAATGTACCTTCTTAAGTTCCTCCTGGAAAGCTTCGCTGCTCTCAATAAACTTGCGTTTTTTCGCTTCAAACTTCTCCTCAATCTGTTGCAACTCGTCTTCCAGTTTCTTCTGATGCATTGTGAGCGATTGAACTTGTTTCTTCAGAATCTAAATAAAATTAAATATTTAGAGTCTATGTTATTACAGCCTTTTTCAATATACACATACACAAAATTCTCATATTGAACTGGTACTTTCTGAGTTTGGCGTGTTCATTCAAAACTTATGTAAGTACAAATAAAATAGCCGTTTAAAACGATTCCATAAACCAAAATATGGTAAGTGTATATCCGACCTAATGGCCTAATCACTAGGCGCGTGTACACTGGAGGCTGTGAGTTCGAATTCTGGCTGTGCACTAATTTCTCTACCCATATTTCCTCAAATAATAGAAATAAAACCGGCATCACTTAGACATTATAATCAACGTATGTCACAGAAGATTCATAAATAATTAGGAAAACAGAAAACCAAGATCAAGGATTTTAGAGTAAACTTTTAACAGCCCATTTTAGATAAAACATAACTTTTATCTAGACTCGTATCATAAAAAATTATGTGTGTCGAATAAATTCAAAATCAACTGAAACTTTATAAAAAAGGGTGCGTGTACTTATGTAAGAAGAAGTTATACTTCTTTGGCATTATTAAAAATAGTTTTTGATTGCATGCAAATAATTAATTACAATTAAATAATCAAAGACTGGAAAAGGAGTCATTATAGTCAATAAAGTTCAGTTTACATTTGAAAAATTAAATAAATAAATATTTATTATTATTCTCTTACATTAAGTGTAACATAAATTCTATTATTATTCAAATGTTGTTTTTAAATTATGTCCAATGCCGTAGCATCTTCCGTGGGCAACTTCATTATGTTAATTTTGTGTCACGGTGCGCGCGCATCGTAAAATTTCACTCTCATAAATTTTTCATAACGCGCCTAAAGAAGTATAACTTCAAAAATCTTTCACCATAACCTCGAGTAACAAAATTTAGCCCTTCGCCCTTTTAGGTCTAAGGCATGTCGGTTTCCTCGCGATATTTCCCTTACATCGTACGCCCCCAGTGTTAAAATCACAGAGTCGTGCAGTAATTAAATAAAATTACAAACCTGCATCCTTGCGGTAGTAACAACAGATCTCACATCCGGTACAACTGTATCGGAGAATATCTCGTTGATGAGGCGGTGGTTCCTCAAATAACGCGCGTACGACACGTGCTTCACTGATAGACCTTCGTCTTGATCTGAAATATTTTAAGTTATTAAAAAAAAACGACAGACATAAAAAATATAACTGCGGGCTTTACAAAGCTCTCTAGGCACAACGTTAGAGAATATGTATAAGTGAAAAAAAAAACAAGTTTCTACTGGCGCTAGTGGTCATAGGATGAATCACAAGAGTACATGAAATCTAGTAACCTCAGCCCCATTGACATTTAATCTCCGAACTATTAAGCCATGGAGGCCGTGATAAAAAAAAAAAAAAAAAAAAAAAAAAAAAATTTTCCCCCCATTTTCCCCCCCCCCCCCCCCAGAGCCCCCCCCCGGAAAAAAAAAAAATTTTTTAAAAGGGGGGGGGGGAAACCGCAAAAAACCTTCCCTCAAAACTTTAAAGGAAAAAAACCCCCCCTTTCCACCCCGGCTGGCTGATTTATTTTTATTTTTAGATAAATATTATAATTGGCATAATTTTACTAGGACTGGTAGAGTGGTAGATTGAATTAATTTATCAAAGAAAAAACTTGAATTAATATCAAAGAAAAAAAAAATCTGCATAAATAAATAATTATAATTGCATAAGTTGAAAAAAAAAAATACAATAGCTTTACCGCAGCAGTCCCCGAGTGCCACACGTTTTTTTATATATTTTAATGGTTGCAAAAAAATTTCATTCCACCCGTTTCAATTATAAGTAGTTTTGAAATGAAGTGTTTAATAATTCACCTTCTTCATCTTCAGCAGGCTGTATATCAATTCTTCTGTCCTGCTGTTCTTTTTGTGAGCTGCCTTTCTTACTTGAGCTTTCTTCTTCCAAGGCTCCAACTATAGATGACAATTAAGCAAGCATTATTTCAAAATTCAATAGACAATCAAATATCAATTGTTTTTTATTCTTTTTTTAAGGTAATGTAAATACTAGTAAGGAACTCTAGTCGGAGTACTGAAACAAGTGCAATTAGATTTAATTTTTTAAATTAACATGCCATTAATAAAGGGTCATATTGATTATATTCTTTTATAAAGGAGTAATTCTGTCACTATCGATAGCAAAGGCGGCTTTAGTACAAACTTTTTTTTATGTTTTATGCAACTACGCTATCTGAAGCTATTTTCGTCAGTACTACACATTAAACAAATTTTATTATTTATATATCCAGTTATATCATAAACATATACATATTTGGTATAATGGCGTTATATGTCGACTTGCTGCCACAATTGCTAAACACTAAGAAAGTATGTTATTTATTAAAAATTAAGAACATTTTTTAATTAAAATAATTAAAAACCTTTTATATAAAAAGCGTTTTGATACGTTATAATTTTATTTAAACCCGGTTTACGTATGATCCTTTAGGCAGTGGCGTAATAATAGGGTGGCAGGGCTGGCAAACTGCCACGGGCCCCCGACCCAAGAGGGCCCCTGCTCAAGCGATATTATGTTCTATGGATGAATGTGAAGTCTCCAATACGCATGGGGCTAGCGTGGGGACTACAGACCATTCCCTCTCGCCTAAGAGAAGAGGCCTATGGCCATTAGTGGGACATATACAACGTGTAATTGAAAATCTCGAAGTTTATTAAAATTAAACTGATTTTAACTGATAGGGCCCTATCAAAAGAATTTTCCATGGGCCCCAGATGGTATAGTTACACCACTGCCTTTAGGCAATCACAGATTTCACAATCGAAAAAGAAATATGACAGATCAAACTTTATTACTACAGTTTTTACTGACTACACAAATTAATAAAATGTGATTCTAAAACATAACAATAATATTGTCTATGTTTAAACAGCCTGTCTATGGTTTAACTCAGTACAGCCAATAAGTTTACATCAGACTGATATTTCTTAAGTACTTACCAACAGCTTTGTTCTTGGCAGCAATGTATGCAAGATAGGTTGGTGAGTTGTGATATGCCTTCAAGGTTTTCTCGTACTCCGACTGTGCGTTAGTTATGAGGTGAATGTGCATGGAAACAAACCGTGTGCTGTTAGTCACTTAGCTTATGAAGGGATGCTGATTTCAAAGGGATGGCTGTAACCCTCAATAAAACCAATAAGGGAGCGTTCAAGTGTTACGTAAACATAGGGGGGGTGTCCTTTTGTAAAACGTTACGATGCGGGGCGGGGATTTAATTACGCGTTATTGTTAATATTATTTTCGACTTTTCCGTACTTTACACCACATAATGGTAACTTTTAGGTATAAATAGTAACGTAGAAACGTTTTATTATACTTGGGTACAGAAAAACGTTACGGAGCGTTACATGGGGGTGGGGGGGTTTAATAATGTCCAAAAATTGCGTGACGTAATACTTGAACGCTTCCTAATGAAAATCCTTGAACCCCAAAACCCAACCAATTCTTGAAAACAAATGAACGTTATTGTAAAAATAACGAATTGAATTCAGTATTATTGAAATAATTATTAGTTTCGTCTATAGAATCGCCATTGAGAGTGTTAAAGAGATTTGCATTGATACCGCTACAATCTGCCTATGTAATCCAAACAGCCAAATTTCTATACCCACTCATATATATATAATTTTAGTAGGAAAATACCTTACACGACATAGTAGATTTTTAATGATCTAACACGAGTTTGACAAACATTAAGTCCTTGACCTAGTATGACAAGTGCTGTGATACTTTTTAATTTTTCAAAATTAAGAGACAGAGCAGAGATTTTTGCTGTGTAAAACTCATAACAATGTATTTATAGGTAAAATTATAGGTACAGACCCACCAACTTATCTGTGAAATGGAGAAAATCGGAACTACGGCCGCCATGTTGAATTTCGGCAGCTACAGGTTAGTGTTGTCTACTTTCTTTTTGTAAATTACCCGATATTTTTTTCATTGATTACTTTTTAACGTAATTGTAACTTAAAAAATATAAAGCTGAGTGATTCAACTACCTATAGTTCTCGTCACGTAAAAATAACGCTGGAATAATCTGAGGGGCTCCCCCGCATAGGTATGTTTGGCTTAGCGTAAATTCGCTCCACTTTTTTTTTAATATATATTACGTTATAAAAGGGCAAGAAGATGAAGTTTATTTGCATGTTACTAAATTTTATTTGCCTACTTTGCTAAACATTTAGTTTGTAAGTGGGGTACCTACATTATATCAATTGAATGCCAAAGACTAATGCTATGTATGTATCTACCTACATTAATTTTCTTATTTTTGAAGACTATTTAATACGTATATTACCATTTTATTATTACAAAACAATGTTAGGTATTGTTTAAAATATTAAAACTTTTATTCATTTGCAACACTAAAGTGGCGCTACCACTCAGTTCACAGATAAGTTGGTGGGACTATAAAAATAGTTTGATTATTCCCGCTTTAGAAAAAATAAGACAATTAAGTACAGATAGATAGCTAGAAAATAATCATAACGCCTAGCCAAATATATATTTTCAACTAAACAAATGATAACTATTTAAGAGTTTTAAATTTCTCCGGACGTCACCTAATCTATTGAAAGGTATTTCAAGAAAATTTGTCAAATTACCATAATTTTATACTTGTAAGGAATGAAACACTAAAACAATTGTTATTAGGTGAACCAAGCGTGAGGTGAATGCAAGGGGTACACAAAATTAAACCCTGTTAGGTTGGTACCTCTGGTCTTATGTGCGAGCCATTGAATGTACGCCGATGAAGATTGGTAGGTTTTTAACATTTCTGTATACTGCGCCTACGTTGGAAATAAAAATTGCATCCATCATTTGAAATTGAGGTCAACTTCACTATGTTTTGTTACTTGATAGTGAGCCAGTAATTATAAATCAGGACTATTTTTATTCTTAGTATATTTTTGCTTAATAATTAAAATACGAAGCAAGTATAATGTAGGTATTGTAATATATTAATAGAAAAAATATAAATAAAACAATTGTAACAACATCAATGTAAGGGCCCCAAAATTTGTAAGCCATTACAAACATAGTTACAATATTATTATAAAAAAAAAATTTAAATGTATAACTTGCATAGACAATTAGCAATAATAATAAACTCCATACCTTCTCAGCTTCATATTCATCGACAAATGCATACTTCTCAGTTTGAGGTAAGTCTCTCCACATTCCACCAATAATCCGTCCAATCTCCCATAATTTTAGATCAGGGTTTGCCGCTTTTACCGTGTCCCATACTCTGCGGGAGTACCTCATGTATGGCATAAGTGGCTTTTCTGGGGGTTTTGGGGGCTTTGGTAATCCAGCACTCTGGAAATATTCAATCATTTTTAAAAAAAATATATTGATGTTTTATAATTCAAAATCTATATAATCCAAAAATGTTATGTTGTTTTGTGTATGTTCAAAAACGCAAAAAGTTCTGCACCGATCGAGCAGAAATTTTAGCATCCGCATCAAGGATTGTTTTTATCTATTTTTTTTGTTTTTTCATTTTCTTTTCCACAAGTAGTGCAAAATTAAACTTATATGAAATGTTTTGTTTCTCAATCCTCAACAATTCAATCACAATGTGCCACAGCGAAGCGTGGCAGGGAACAGCTGGTATGTTATACATCTACAACCATACATTGTCTTAATCGCGAGTAAAAAAAAAATAAGTAGGAGCCTCCTTGTAACTTACCCCACCAAGCCCCTTCCCAATCTTTTGTGGTTGGAATCCAGGATGAGAATGAACCGTAGATACAAATGGACTGGTTTTATCATCTTTTCCACTTTGGGCCGCTTGGCTTGACCCTGACGTGGCCCGCCTTGCACTCTCTGCACCAAAACGCTGTGGTTGCCACCCGTATCCTGGGTGGCCCATTGGCCCACCCTGGTATTGTGGGTGGTACTGGTATTGGTTATGGTGAGGCGGTGCATTCATACCGCCTTCAAGCCAAGCAGCGCGGCAATACAATGAAAAGAAAAACAAAAAGCGTAAGGGAAGAGGATAGGAGCGGACAGCAAAATAAAATAATGCAATTCAATAAACATTGTTTTAGTTGAAAATAAGCCTAGTTTATATAAATTCTTGTTACTTATACATCTGTTTGATGACATTGTAGATTTGTTTGTAATATCATGTGAAACAATCAATCGGCTTAATGCTTTATGTGCAATGTTGACAGATGACTGATGGAAGAGAAGCATGCAGACAGATCAAATTTAATTTATATTTTATCATTTTAAGGGTTTCTGGTTAGTTTTAAGCTTGAAGTTTCTCAGGTATTCATAATAACTTTTAGTGAAACTTTTCACAGCCTCTGCCTCTAGGCGTATTCATTTAAAGCTATTAGTTTGCATGGCAGCGAAATTATTTAGTAGGCTCTAAGAACAACAGTGATTGCGAGATGTGAATGGAAAACAGAAATGTGATAATCCCCAAAGAACCTAGATTCCAAAATATTAAAACAATTTTGAAAAATAAAAAATTCACATTGAGTCATTACCTTTCATCATACCGAAACTCATTGGTGCCCCCGCAATCATGTAGTCTGTTTCAACATAACATAACATGAAAAAAACAAAAGAAATAAGTCTATGCGTAAAGAATAAAAAAAGAGTGTTACGGATGCAAAAATTGAAACGAAGCGGAGAATGCGTCATGCTTCTCAGGATATATTAAGTTAGATACCAGCATTGGGTATGTCCATAAAATAGCGAAAAATGTTTTACCATAATAAGCCACTTTCATGCAAAATTTGTGTTGCAGTGTGGCTCGTATCAGTTAAATTTTGGTATAATAACTTATCAATATTACATTTTTTAAGACCACTAATACTTATTAATTACAATATACACTTCATATATATCGAAAAATTTATGAAAATATTTTATAGACAAAACCCACAATTAACACCCGTCAAGCCATTGGTCATATTCTGTACTTGTCAGGTTAATTATGTTAGTATCTAACGACATACTAAAAACTGAATATAATATCTATGCATTTGGCATACTAATATCTAAGTATATTCATATTGTAAAAAAATACAAACGCGGGTTGTTTTGAGGACTTGGCATCGACATTGATGCGTTTTGTTTATAACTGTTGGGTGTTGCCATAACACATTCCACTCTGAAAGAGAATGAAGAGATTCATAAGGTCATTATAACCTTTAATAGTAAGTTATATATCTACCAAGGATATTGGGAAGCAATTTAGATTAATATCTCAATCTTAGATCATTTCAAAGAACTCAAAGATCAGTAAAATTTCAGGCATTGATAAATTAATAGTCCCAGACATATGCACAGTCAATGATTATTTCGTTACATTATTATAACTCCATTGGTCTCTTTATTGAGCAGATGACAAAATATTCGAAAGTACTGTAAAATTCTGTTTTATGAAGCTAATGCAACAAAATTTACGATTAGATTAAATTTTAACTTATAAAACAGATCAAAAACTATTGTAGGCAGACCGCCTTTATAATTATTTGACAGTGTACATTACATTGAAATCAAGAAAAGTAGGAGCTTATTAATACCTGTAATGTTAAAAGTTCTTCTTTAATTTATCTGAAACGATAGAACTAAAAAACACAACATTGATAAACTAAAGCGTCACAGCAATGAACGCGACGCCATTTTCTTGTGATTTAAGTAAGTCGTCAATTGCCAATGATGTCAAAAATTAAATATTGTTGTTATTCAAGAAATTCGGCGTTGATACAGTTAATGTTTTTCACGGCTCAGCATTCGTTGTTTTATAATTTGAACATAATATAATTATTTTATATACCATTTTAATTTAGTAATAAGAAATTAATACCAACGACATCTAGGAAGTACTGTGAATTGTAATACTCATATTTGGGTGCGGTAAGTGCATGGTTTTAAACCAGATGTCGCTAATAGACCAGACATTGTAATAAAATCTCTTTTTAATAAAGTTTTCAGCTTAAATACATTATGTATTTTCACCGCTTTTGATTTTAGCTAAGACATTATCTTTTGTGGATTTACTGGTCACAACCACAGGTAGGCGCCACTTGTATATAGAGCCTAGTTTATTTTACTGGTTAGTACCCACTACCTACATACTACGTTCTTCATCAAACAACTACTATATTATTATAGTAATATAAAATATTACTTATTAGTCTGTGTATTCTAACCTTTTTTTCTCCCTACTCAGTCTCAAATTATATAAAGATTTAACGCGGCAACAAAGATTATTATTTTGTGCTAAGAAGTAAATTCCCTTGTAATATTAAATTTCATTAATTATGAATGTGACAAAATTACGATATGAACCGTAGTTTTATTTCTGTGATTTTTGAATCAATTAATATGATTGTATCATTTATAGCAACGCTGTATGCAAGTACAGTAACCTCTTGCTCTAATCTAGTTTCACTCACCCGAACCAAATGTCACTGGGTCACATCGTGGTCATTGTAATTTGCGACACCTGTCATCTGCCAATCAAATTAGCAGGTGGGAAGGTTCCGTACAATCTGTGCCAAAATGAATACTAGCATCGCCCGCATATACATTATATACTATATCTGAAATCGTGAAATTTCACGGTTGGTAGGTAAGCTAAGGGTAAAAAAGGTTTACTTTGATTAATTAAGATTATTAATACATGTATTTGCTCGTTAGTATACCAATGTATAATTTTCCGAACATCTTGAATACATAGTCTGGCACGGGCTCGCTAATGAACTTTGTGTTTATGGACTATGGCTGTCAATACCCATTTGACTTTTGTCCTACTAAAAAAAATTATGCCGACATTCGGTAAATTGCTTTAGGAATTTTGCTGAAGGTGTGAAGATAATATAGTCCTAAGATAAGGGAAAGATTCAGAGATAAGAAGGTTTTGAATTTGTGTGTGAAGGTGTGTATTTATTTATTCACAAAAATACAAACACTATCCACACACAAGCCTATACGATAATGTGGAAAAAAGTGAAATAAAATATATAATATTTACTACATAAGATACACAATATCGCTAAGCTCACTCTGCGAACATATAAAGATGTCGATAGTGTCAGAGACAGCAACAGACTGGTTCTGGTCCTTGGAAACGCCTCAGATTTCTGTATCATTCATGATCATTTGTCAATCTAATAGGCAAGTAGGCGATCAGCCTCCTGTGCTGACATACGCCGTCGACTTTTTGGGTCTAAGGCAAGACGGTTTCCTAACGAAGTGTTCCTTCACCGTTCGAGCGAATGTCAAATACGCACATAGAACCTTCATGAGTCCTTAGGGCTTAGTTTCGACTCTGAAACTGACCGTTAGTCCTTGGAACCTGAAGTCTAGTAATGAACATTATAACGAGTCGAGACTTTAAATTTTACTGTGCGTCTAATTCACGTTAATAAAGAACTAATTTTTATCTGAAATAACCAGATACTTCCAGAATCTATGTGTTTGATTTCATGACGTAATACGTCAGTTACGGTTAGTTTATTATTTAAACAATGATTCATTGATCTATGTGTAGTCATGCGTGATGAAAGTTTACTCTACTTGATTTTATGTCCCATAGATCCCTAGATGGGGCAGAGGGCCACATTTAAAGCTTCTACACTTATTATTGCTTCTACACACGGCCCTAAAATCAGAGGCAATAATAAGTGTCGGGGAACACTCTAGAGCGCTCCCTAGATCACCTCGTGTGTAGACAAATCGTACCCTAATTTGAGTATGCTACTGTCGATTCGAACTACCGATTTCTTCCCCACCACCATTGTCCTGATATCGCCACTGATTTTAGGTCCGTGTGTAGACACTTTGAGTCTCCATCGCGTACGGTCTTGAGCCTCGTATCACCTCGCTCCAAGTCTTTCCAGCTCTCTTTGCCTCACCTGCAACTGTACGACGGCAGGTTTTCTTGGGACAGTCACGCTACCGCTTCCCTTGCAGGTTCCAATCAGGCGCCTGCTTGGGGATATAATTGGAATCTTCGGAGTGAGAACTGGCAGTAAATGTAAAATTAGACTATTTATTTTTAGTTCATAAGTGTACATTTTGTTACTTATAGTCAAAGTCAAAGTCAAATCATTTATTTCAATTAGACCATCTAAAATGGCACTTTTGAACGTCAAAAAAAATACAAAGAAGATTCTAGTTGCCCCTTCCAAAAGGTAGTTTCGTGTGGAGAAGAATGGGCAAGAAACTCTACACTTACTCTTTTAAAATAGGTTTACAATATTTGTTACATTTGTTAAATAATTAATGTGAAGACAATGTACTCTTAGAATAAACTATATACTAAAAGTTAGTATACATGTTCCTCACATATTTACAAATATCGAAACCGTAGAATATTAACATTAAAGAGTAATAAAAATATTAAAAAAACACAACAAAACAGTGTGTGAGATACAATAAAATAATTACATTTGTAGCATTATAAATTAAAAAAAAAGAAATAACAAAAATATGTTAAAGCAAAAAGCAACCAAGATTTGTCCAGGCTCTATGATTGTCCTATGGAGCAGGACCAGCATGTTTCCAAGCATTCTTATCTTGAATATATATGAATAAATGATTTGAATTTGGTAAAACGTACAAAGTATTAATGAGTAATAAAGTGTTATTAGAAATATGACACAATGGTCTTCGAGAATAAACAATGGCTCTATATTTGTCAAGCACCATAAAGTTTATGTGATGATAAATTTATGATGTAATTGCGGTAAAACCACTTATCACGTGAACGTATAGGTGAACTACGTGTTACTTTCAATTTATTACGCATTTGGAGAAGATAAAGAAAAGTAGTGGCGCTACAATGTTTTTTAGGTCTGGGCCTCAGATTTCTGTATCTGTTTCATGATCATTTGTTAATCTGATAGGCAAGTAGGTGGTCACCCCCCTGTTACTGACGCACTCCGTCGACTTATTGGGTTTAAGGTAAGCCGGTTTCCTCACGATGTTTTCCTTCACCGATCGAGCGAATGTTAAATGCGCACATAGAAAGTCCATTGGTACACGGCCGAGGATCTAACCCACGACCTCAGAGATGAGAGTCGCACGCTGAAGCCACTAAGCCAATACTGCTCGATTAATTTTGTTCACCACCAGAATAATCCCAAAACAGTTACACGAATCTATCCAATTGTTAGAGCGAAATCCATTTATATCATCCTTCAGAAAGTAGTTATATTAAATACGGCATGAATTATCCGCAAACTTCTACAAGGAAACCCAAAATTAGTCTTTTCTTTCTACCGACATGCCTTTTACCCTGGATTGTAACCATGATATTCCTTTTTACAATTTAATAATATTTAATAGATGTTATCACGTTTTAATCATTAACGATTCGCGGAAATGATTACGACTTTTAAAACCCCTTTATTAAAGTATTTCATAATAGGTAAAAATAAAAATTACGAAAATATTCGAAAATGGTTTGGGTTTTTCAATGTCACTTTTTATCAAACGATAAAAATATTTCGTGGAAATGCATTATCCGAAATATCGTTAGTGATAAACGAATTAAATTACTACGAATTAAAAGCAATTAATTATACTAATTAATTAACATTATTGATGTATTTGTTTCACAGAAATTATAACAATAAACAAATCCAAAATGGCGTTCCAAATTTATTATTGCCCACTATTGTTTTAAGGTTAGAATCAGAGTCGAACTTAACACGTTTTTGACATATACAGTATACACGGGCTAAATCACGTTTCCGAATCTTACTTATGGAAGGCACCACAGAGCATTTTCTTCATAAAAAACCATAAAGTCTATACAATCAAAGACTGCACGGTTCCTGGGTCATCGGGGTGGTTTAAATAGGGGATTTTATTATTACTCTATATAAACGACTGGCTTATAACAAATGAATATACATTTATGCGAAATAATTAAGTGCTATACTCTAACTCCGACGATTTAAGTAATCGCCACGCTTATAAAACGAAGAAAGCCTGAGTGAGAAAAATGTTCAGCCTCGGCTTGTACCTACAGATATCTTATATTAACAATCTTTCTTAACGACTTTCGATAAGCACTTTATAAATAATTAAATCATCTGTCCTATTTCTGGCAACACAAAAAGTATATTTACATTAAGATGTTT